CCTGCTGCCCATGTGGGAGACCCAGATGGGGTTGATCTTGGCTTCTGACTTCAGCCCGGTCGGGCCCTGAGTGGTGTGGGTACCTGGGCAGGAGTGACTAAGTGGGCAAAGCTTGCTCACTCATATATATATTTTTAAAGGTTTATTTATTTTTATTGGAAAAGCAAATATACAGAGAGAAGGAGAGCCAGAGAGGAAGATGTTCTGTCCATTGATTCTCTCCACAAGAGGCCGCAATGGCCGGAGAGGAGTCAATCTGAAGCCAGGAGCCCAAAGCCTCTTCTGGGTCTCCCACGCAGGTACAAGGTCCCAAGATTTTGGGTCATCCTTGATAGCTTTCCCAGGCTGCAAGCAGGGAGCTTGATGGGAGGTGGGGCTGCAGGTACATGAACTGGTGCCCGTTATGGGATCCTGGTGTGTGCAAGGCAAGGACTTTAGCTGCAAGGCTACCGGGCTGGGCCCAGGGTTGTTGAAAAGTGTGAATTGAACTCACTTGTGAAAAAGCAGAGAAGGTGCCTGTGAGGTTGTGAGCATTCCATTAGTGCCCATAGTGCAATTACGCCACTGTACATTTGTTATTGCACCGTCTATTCTCGGTGTCGGTGGACTGCTAAGCGTGGTTTTGTGTTTCTCCTTCACTGCACACGCTCAGAGGAACGGAGCTGCCTGCTTATGTGGATGTGTCTGCGACTTTGCTGAGTCCAGCTAAGTTCTTTGCCAGAGCTGTCCTGCCGGGCGGCGCTCCCACCACAGAGCCTGAGCGTTTCTGTCATTCTGTCTCCTTTCCCACCTGCCTGGCCAGGCTTTCACATTGTGCTGATTTGTAACACAAAGTTTTAATTTGTAGATTTTATGTTTGTTTGGTTTATTTGATTCTTCACAAAGGATCTTCAAAGTTGATGAAAATGTGTATTTTGAAAAAAATTTTGCAGTGGTCTGAGAATATTTTTTGCAGGTCTAGCATGGTGGCACAGTGGGTTAAGTCACTACCTCTAACTCCAGTATTCTATGTGGGTGCCAGTTCAACTCCTGGCTGTCCCACGTTTATCCAGCTCCCTGCTACTGCACCTGGGTAAGCAGTGGAAGAGAGCCCAAGGACTTAGCTCCTGGAACCCATGTTGGTGACCTGGATAGAGCTCCAACCTCCTGGCTTTCTCCTGGGCCCAGTCTTGGCTGTTGTAGCCATGTAGGGAGTGAACTAGAGGGAAGAAATATCTCTCTCTCTTTCTCCATCTCATTCTCTAAAATTGCCTCTCAAAAATTTTTAGGGCCCGGCGCAGGGGCGCAAGTGGTTAAGGTCCTCGCCTTGCACGCCCGGGATCCCATATGGGCGCCGGTTCTATCCCGGCAGCCCCGCTTCCCTTCCAGCTCCCTGCCTGTGGCCTGGGAAAGCAGTCGAGGACGGCCCAAAGCTTTGGGACCCTGCACCCGTGTGGGAGACCCAGAAGAGGCTCCTGGCTTCGGATCGGCATAGCATCGGCCGTTGCACTCACTTAGGGAGTGAATCATCGGACAGAAGATCTTCCTCTCTGTCTCTCCTCTCTGTATATCCACCTTTCCAATAAAAAAAATAATAAAAATAAATCTTAAAAAAAATTTTTTTAGTAAGTTAGTACCAGAGTGAACTTTCAATTTCATTTTCTTTGAGCTTTCCAAAGTGCCTCTGATAGGAAATACTATTTTTGTGTGAGTCTGTTTTGAGATGAGAGGCGGACATTGATGGGCAGCTCTCACCTTCCGGTTCACACTCCAAATGCCACCATTGGCTGCAGGCCACAGCCAGGAGCTGGGAATTCAATCCAGGTCTTCCATGTGGCTGGCAGGAACAAAAGTGCTTGAGCTGTCACCTACTGCCTCCCAGGGTGTGTATTAACGAGAAAGTGGAGTCGAGAGTTGATGCGGGGAACCCAGCTCAGCAGCCAAAGTCCTCACCTTGCACACACTGGGGTCCGATGTGATGCGGGTTCATGTCCCAGCGGCCCCACTTCCCATTCAGCTCCCTGCTTGTGGCCTGGGAAGGCAGTCAAAGACAACCAAAAACCTTGGGATCCTGTGCCCACCTAGGAGACCCAAAAGAAGCTTCAGGTGCCTGTCTTCAGATTGGCTCGGCACCAGCCATTGCAGCCACTTGGGAAGTGGATCAACAGAGGGGAGATCTTCTCTGTCTCTCCTCTCTGTAAATCTGACTTTTCAATAAAAAATAAATCTTAAGAAAAAAAAGTTAGTGCTGGGACTGGAACCTGGCTACTTTGATATAGGGTGGGACACCTCACTGGCTGGCTCAAATGCCATCCCCCACTTGCCTGCATTCAGATTGAACTCTCTATTACTCTGTGTGTCAAGTGTTACTCCCTCCTTCCTCTCTCTCTCTCTCCCTCCCTCTCTCTCTCCCTTCCTTCTTCCCTCCCTTCCTCCCTCCTTCTCTTCCTCCCTCTTTCTCTCCCTTTCTAGTAAATATATCTTTGAAAAACAAATCTGTATACCTATGCATGCTTTTTCTATGACGTACATTTTCCACAAACATTTTGGAGGGAATTTTCTTGTTTTCTCTGTATGCACTAAGATAAAATTATCTTATGATTTCATTTTTATCAACTTTACAAAAAAAAGTCTCTTTTGCTTGCCTGCAGTTGAGTGCTACGTACAGGGCAGCCAGGCAAACAGTAGGTTGGCTTTATGCCTGCTGCTAAGGTTATAGAACAGGGAGCTGCGAGGCTGGCTCCCAGCTCTGGGTTTCCAATTGGAGGAACACAGTAGTTGGGCCCCTGGGGGGATTGTCCATTCTCTGACCTAACCTGGTACACAGCATGTGGCAGGCATTGTAACTGCCAGGACCCTGTGGGTACTGAAGTCACAGATCACTGCTCTATGACCACCCACAGTAGCATCCTGTACCAAGATGGGCTCCCCCCTTTGGTATAATTTAATTGGACAGAATTCAATTTTCTTATCTTTAATTGAATCTCTTTCCTGTCTCCTGGCTCATTCTGGCCAGAGATGGCTGGGGCTGGGTCTAAAGCCAAGAATTTCTTCTTGGGTCTCCCACACAGATAGAGACCCAAGGATTTGGGCCACCATCTGCTACTCTCCAAGGCCATCAACAGGGAGCTGGTTTGGAAGTGGAGCAGCTAGGCCTCCTGTTCAGAATGCTGGCTTTGCAAGGGGAGACTTAGCTTGCTGTGCCACCGCGTTGGCCGCTGTGCCTCCGTTTGGAACCATCCGGAGCCTTCATGATATCACGGGCTTCTAAAGCCTTGCTTTCAGTCTTGGGTTGATGCTGATTTTGTTTATCTTAGCTCCCTGTGGGCCGGGTGGGGCAACATCTGGTGGATTTCCTGATTTTTTTTCTTTTTAGGACTTTTGATTACAGAGAATGTCAACCGTATGCAAAGTAAACAGTATGATTATAACCTCGGCCCCTGCCTAGCAACCCATTTCAACAGTTTCTCCAGCTTTTCTCTATTCCAATGATTTTTTTTTTCCAATAAAATTCACAAATGTTGAAATCTTCATACCACAGCCTGACCAATGGAATCATGGGTGTAATCACAGTCCCGGCTAATCAGAGAACTGACAACCCCCCAGCCAGGCGACCAATGTGACTTGTTTTCACCCTCGATTAGTCTTGGTTGTCCTAGAGTTTCACAGAAGCGCGATCATACAGTACTGGCTCTTGTGTGGTTGCGAGCCGCGTCCAGCCATTGTCAAGGGCACCAGGGCTGCCCGTGAGGGTGCCGCCGCTGCTTCTATTGCGCAGGCGCTCCTCCAGGGCCCGCGCTCCAGCGGACAAGTCTTTGGAATCTTTCCAGCTGGGGGTCGTTGACAACCAAGTTGAGCGTCCCTGGAACTTGATGTTCAAGTCTTTTTCTCTGGACAGATGCTGACACTTCTCTTGTACAGCTAACTTAGAAGTTGAATTTCTGAATCAAAGGCTGGAGGCATAGTTAACTTTATTAGGAACTGCCAGCCTTTTACTTACTGGGGATCCGATGCCTCCACCTTCTTACTGTCAGTTGAGTGTTCTCTGTCTGTCCCAGGGCCCTTGCCAGTGTGTTACAGTTGCAGTTCTTTGTAAATTTTTTTTTTTTTTTAGCTATTCTGGTGCTATCTCCCTGTGACGTTTAATTTGCATTTCCCTTGATGATGAAGAATGCTGATAACGAGCATTTTTATTACGGTGTACTTTTTGATCATTTGCCTTCTTTTATGAAGTCTTCAACTTTTCACTAATTTTTATTGCATTCGGTTGAGTTCTGGGTGTCTTTTATCTGGATACAAATCTTTTACAAGGTATATGCAATATGTGGCTTGCCTATGTTTTTAACAAGATTTTATTCTTTTATTTGAAAGGTAGAATGACTGGGAGTGGGCAAAGAGAAAGAGTTTTCATTCACTCATTTACTCTCTGAATCATGCCAGTAGCCAGGGCTGAACCAGGCCAAGTTAGGTACCAGGAACCCCAGCCAGGTATCCCATGTGGCTGATGGGAACCCAGGCACTTGACATCAGCCACTGCCTGCAGCGTAGAGTACAGAGTGTCTTAGCACACTGAACACCATGCGGCTAAACACACCTGAGCATGGAAAAGGTACAGGAGAATTACTAAGCAATAGGAATTTTCCAGATCTGTTGCCATCTTGTGGGACCACAGCCTTGTAAGTATGAAGTGTCCTTGACTGAAATAATTGTGCAATGGTGTGTGTGTGTGTGTGTTGTGGTGCGTGCACACACACACACACACACACATGCTTGCGTCACTATTATTTCATATCCCTAGCCAGGTAATAAGCTCTAAGTGAAGACAGCATGCTTCAGCCCGGGCTCTCCACCCTGCTAGGGTTTCTTGTCCTTCCCACACACTGATCATGTAAGAGACCAGGCTAAGATGATAATTCCATGCGTCCTAGATGTACAGTAGACATCACCAATTGATAGCAACCAGGGAATGTCCTGTTTTCCTGCAGAAAGACGAGGTGAGGAGACGGCACATCCGCCTGCACATGGAAGGGGCGCTGACTGCCAGGGACAAGGTTGGGGTGCAGGATTTTGTGCTCCTGGACGCCTACACCAGCGAATCTGCCTTCGTGGAAAACCTTCGCAAGCGCTTCAGCGAGAACCTCATATACGTAATGTTCAGCCCTTTCTCCAAGTGTGTGTCCCCCTTCCCTGACTTGGCAGCCCTGATGGCTTGAACAATATCACTCTATGGGGTCGGCCAGCAGAGGGGGGTGGGCACTTGGCCCCTTTAGACTGCCGCTTGAGACAGACCCAGCAAAGGGGGCTTGGCTGACTCAGGCAGCGTTAGGATCCAGACAGAGCCATGGGGGCCCCCAAGGCTGTCTTCAGAGCTTCATCTCTTTGTCCCGCCTTCTTCTGCACCATAGTCTCCCAGCACCGGCAAGGTGGATGCGGGCAGGTTTCATTTGATTGACTGTGTGTTGTGACTGCGATGGGAGCTCTCATTACTACTGAACTCTGAGCGCTGACTGACCACTGCTCAACTCTGATTGGCCCATCTTGGGTCACGTGCCTACCTTGGCTTGGCCAGGCGGGATCAGCCAGGCCCACCCTTGGGGTAAGGGGGTTGAAGTTACAAACCCACCAACCTTACTGAGAGCTGAGGCAGAGGACTCCTCCCAGGATTCCCCGAGAGAGAAGGAGAAAGAGGTGCCAGTTGGGCAAAATACAACTCTACCTTATTCCCTAACTCTTCAAAAGCAAGACCATAACATTGTATCAACTTCTCAAATGGAACCTGTTGCATTGAGTAGTGGTCTTTATATATGAATTCTCCTTAATCCTCCATGTATCACCGAAGCTAAACTCCATAGTGCCTCTGCGTGTGTCACAGGACGCTATGAAAATCATTTAATGTTTTGGAGATTTTGTTAGCTTTTACTCTGTAAATAAGCCAAAGCAGTTTCAAATGTTTTCATGAAAATATCGTATAGCTATTTTACTGTAACGCTGCCTGTGACTTTATCTGTCGCAGTCAAGGCGATCGGAAGATGTGTCTTGGAGAATATACTAGAGTCCTTCAAAAAGTCTGTGGAAAACAGAGTTTTCAAAATAGTATTAATTTGAGCCTAAAATGCATTTCAAAATCTACGCATAGAAGGGCTCCTCAGATAGTTTGTGGAAAATGTTGATTAAGGGAAAATTGCAAGGCTTTCTGTTTGGACAGAGGTGCCAAACTAAACTGGCCTTTTTAAGTTCTTTTGGAAGCCACGGAATGACTTTCAAAATGACCACCTCAATTATAGAGAGAGAAGCACCACACTACCGTTCTGTTTCCGGAGGGGGGATTGGGTGTACAGAGAAAGACAAGTAAAATGACAGGTGCATCCTGTCCGAGCTCAAACTTCTGACATGAACTGATACTTTTCAGAAACTTTCACTCTGGAGACTCCCACTTCTCTGCCACAGTGGTCCCCTAGCCAGCCTGCCAGCCTGCCAGCCAGCCAGCCAGCCAGCCAGCCAACCAGCCTGCCACATTGGGCCCTTCCTTTCAAAAGGCCCATCTGCCTACTTGTTCTGTACTGGACCCCTGAGGGTCTCTACCCAAGCACTTGCTTGCACAACTCCCCTAGGGGATCATGATGAGTGACAGCCTTCTGTATCCCAGAATCCTTCACATGCCCTGTGTCCTTCCCGGTCCCCTGCCCTACCCTAGACATACATCGGGACCCTGCTGGTGTCTGTGAACCCATACCAGGACCTCGGCATCTACACCGTGAGCCAGATGGAGCTCTACCAAGGAGTCAATTTCTTTGAGCTGCCACCACATGTGTAAGTAGCATCCACCGAGTCACTTCCTAGGAGTGTTGTCTCATTCCTTCGTTCCCTTCTTCCTTCCTTCCCTCACATCCATCTCTCCAAATCCATGGGAGCATCTCCATTCTGTAAGACCTGCACATTGTATGTTCATTAGGTTAACCCTTCTTTGAAGTAAGTCAGGACAGGTGAGCTTTGTGTGAAGACTGAGAGCCTGAAGAGGGTGGCTAGACAGGCGTCTTCTCAGGCAAATGGAGGGCTACAGTGCCATCTACTGGCACATGGCTGTCAGGGCCACTAAGAGGAGGCCCATTAAGGAAAAACTCCACTAACTTTGTTAGTAGCAAGATAGCCAGACTGTGGGACTTGAAGATGGATGGCTGCAGGCTAAGTCTCCCAGGGCTCCTCCCAGAACACCCCTCATTTTTTTTTTTTTTTAGATTGTCATTGGAAAGGCAGATCAGATTTATAGAGAAAAGGAGAGAGAGATTTTCCATCTGCTGGTTTATTCCCCAAACAGCCACAACAGCCAGAGCTGAGGTGATCAGAAGTCAGAAGCTTCTTCTGGGTTTCCCACATGGTGCAGGAGCCCAAGGACTTGGGCCACCCTCCTCTGCTTTCCCAGGCCACAGGCAGGGAGCTGCACGGGAAGTGGTGCCACCGGTACACGAACCAGTAGCCATAAGGGGTGCTGACTGCAGGTACTACCTTAGCCTATTAAACTATGAGAGCAGCCCTTAGTTTCCCATCTTGGAGATAAAGTGCTTAGAATGATGTTATCACCTAAGCATTTCATTCTCTTTGGTTTCTTCTTGCTTGTATGTTCTTAGTACTTCAGGGTTTGAGAGAAACCGAAAACAGGAGATCCTAGTACATATTGAGTTATTTAACATCTTGACAAAATTTCTACCATTAGCTAGTAGGATATCTCTTGGGGGAAATACTTGAGTATCTGACTCGATCTGTGGGTTTGTTTTTTTCATTTTTCTTTTATTTGAGAGGGGAGAGAGGGAGTGAGAGGAAGTGAATGCCTCTACAAGGTTTACTCCCCACATGCCTGCCACAGGTGGGGCTGGGCCAGTTCAAAGCCAGGAGCTAGGAGCTCTGGGTCTCCCACTTGGGGGGGGGGTGCAGGAACCCAATTACTTGAACCATCTCTTACACATTAGCAGGAAATTGGAGTCATAAACAGAGGTGGGTCTCAAACCTAGGCCCTCTCATCGTGGACACGGACAACCCAAGTGATGTCTTAACTGCTTGGGCAAATGCTCCAGTACCTGGATTTTTTTTAATTATTATTTTATTCTAATGATCTTTACACGGTTGATTAGAACTCAAAGAGTCAAGGGCTACAGGAAAATGGGTGAGACCATTGTTTCCACATTCTCTTTTTCCCTTCCTGTATCTGGGGAAAGGGGAGGGATAAAGGGAGAAGCCCCACCCAGCCTCCCAACCATCCCAGGGACCCCGATGTGGGGCATGCTCCGAGAGCACTGCCCAAGTGCTTTCGATAGTTCAACCATTCTGAATTGCTGCCAGGCTCGCCATTCCAAGCATCATGAAATCTCTCCAAAACCCACTGACTGGCATAGTCCAGCTTAGAATCTCCGTTTTCCCAGATATTCACTGGCAACACTTGGCTAGAGTAGTTGATTGATTTGTTCTGCCCTCTGTCATGGTACCAAGTGTCCTCTGCAGGTTCCAAAGGAATGCCATTTCTTCCATGTACACCACGTGCTGTCCATTGCTCCATCTGAGCCTCTGAGGAGGCACAGAGTCCGGCACAGACCACCACCCCAGTCAGCCTATGCATGTGCTGGTGGTTGCAGTTCTGCCTCCAGCCCGATCTTCATGAAGGGAGAAGCCTCTCAGGTCCAAGCAAACCTGGGACGCACTCACCGCCCAGCAGCAGTGACCGACCTGGCTCAGGTACCCCCAGCAGACGCTGGGGAAGCTCTCACTACCCAAGCCCCTGGATTATTTATTTAGTCATTAAGAATTAGTGATGCACCCAGAACACTGGCTCAATTGGCTAATCCTCCACCTCCAAGCACCAGGATTCCGTATGGGCACTGGTTCATGTCCCGACTGCTTCACTTCCCATCCAGCTCCCTGCTTGTGGCCTGAGGAAAAAAGTGGAGGATGGCACAAGGCCTTGGGACCCTGCACCCACATTGGAGACATGGAGGAAGTCCATGGCTTTGGATCGGCTCAGCCTCAGCTACTGTGGCTATCCAGGGAGTGAACCAGCAGATAGAAGATCTTTATCGCTCCTTCTCTTTGTGGATCTGCCTTTCCAATAAAAATAAAGAAATCTGATTTTTTTTTTTTTTAAGTGATGAATGGGCCTGGTGTGAATGGCCTAGAGGCTAAAGCCCTCACCTTGCATGCACTGGGATCCCATATGGGCATTGGTTCTAAGCCCGGCTGCTCTACTTCCCATCCAGCTCACTGCTTGTGGCCTGGGAAAGCAGTCGAAGACGGCCCAAAGCTTTGGGACCCTGCACCCATGTGGGAGACCCAGATGAAGCTTCGGGCTCCTGGTTTCAAATCAGCTCAGCTTTGGCTGTTGCGGCCACTTGGAGAGTGAATCAGCAGACAGAAGATCTTCCTCTCTGTGTATCTGACTTTCCAATAAAAATAAATAGACCTTTTTTAAAAAAAAAGTTTAAAAATGATTTTTTAAAAAATAAATTTGATACATCTTGAAAAATATTTTTATTACTGCTGCAAATCTTCAACTCCTAAAACTGTGGAATTTTCTCATCTTGTTCACTGACCCATTTGTCCGTGAGTGGTGGGGGACCTCCCTGTGGAAGGTCAGTGTCCTTGCTACACCGTGTGGACGTCCCTTCCTGGAGGCAGGCCCCGTTGTGCCTCGGCCCTGATGGGCCTGGGTCAAGGGCAGTGGCCTTGGCAGCCGCTCACCGTGGTCCCTTTCTCTCACAGGTACGCCATCGCCGACAACGCCTACCGCATGATGTGCTCGGAGCTCAGTAACCACTTCATCCTTATTTCTGGAGAGAGTGGGGCCGGGAAAACAGAAGCCTCCAAGAAGATCCTTCAGTATTTTGCAGTGATGTGCCCCATGACCGAGTCCCTGCAGGTAGCCCGCGACCGGCTCCTGCTTTCCAACCCCGTGCTAGAGGTAAGCGGAGGCCGAGCACTGCAAGAGGCTGAACCAAGCAGGTCACTGGGAATGAGCCGTTGCATCAGCAGCATCCCGGGGAAGACCTGACCCTGAAGGCAATGTGGCAGGCTCAGGTTCCGATCTTGACAAGTCTCTCTGCATCTCAGAGTCTGAGTTGTATAGACTGGGTCTGGCTCATTAGTACTTGTCTTTGAACAGGGTGGTGTATGTGTGTGTGTGCACGCTCGCATGTCTTGTAGAAGATGAACATACAAAAGCTACACAGCCCCATTAGCAAGCACACAAATGATGCCTGATGACTTATTGAGCCTTTCACTCAATTAAAATTAATGTACTGACCGTAATTCAATTCTGTTATAATCCACTGCCTTACCAGCTGACCTTGAACAAATTTTTTTTCCCCCTCCCTTGTGTTTTTTTGCTTTTTCACTGACTATTGAAGAGACACAATTGGCTCTAAAGCAGCGTCTGCAGATGGGGACTGTCAATGGAGAACTTTCTAGAACATCCAGGGCCTGTGGGGCGGGGCCTGTCTCTATTTAACCCCTTCTACTAGGTTCCCAGACTGGGATTCCAACGGGATGATGTTTTTTGCTGCCTTCTCCCTGGGTCTAACTCTAGCATTGGACATGGCCTGTGGGTCACATGATCTGCCCTTTTGAGAAAATCGAGTTGGGTGCTCCTCCCACCCCTGTTCCTCCTCCTCTTTCTTGAACAGCATGTCTGTTGCGAGTGGGGGAGTCAGGGGCTTGGTGGTCACAGTGGGCTTAACCGACAGCGAGTGACCCTTTGTATTTCAAGGCTTTCGGAAATGCCAAGACACTCCGCAATGACAACTCCAGCCGGTTTGGAAAATACATGGACATCCAGTTTGACTTTCAGGTACGCTCCAGCTCCTCTTGCTGGTTCCAGGGGACCCCTTATTTTGCCAGGGATGGACCCTGACCCAAGACACGGCACTGGAGGAAGAAGCATTTATTGGTTCGAATGGTTTTAGGCCATGGGGATGGCAGCCATGCTGAGAAGGCATTTCAAACCTTGTAGATGGGCAGAAACAGATCCTGGCAAACAGGTAGCTCATTAGGCTGGTAGGGCATGCATTGATATACTCCACTGGAAAAGCAATAGGTTGCACCAAAACTATGATATCTGCTTGTCCAGTTGAAATCCCATCCTCCAAGGTCCCCCTAAAGCATGTCCACAAAGCACTTGTCAGGTTGATTAAAAAAAAAACGACTGGAAACCACCAGCATACCCCCAAAAGAACTCCATGTTCATCAACAGGAGAATGGCTGGTCACTTCTGCAGTCAGTTCACATAAGGGCAGATTACATGAAGAGCAAATGAGTTATAGTTGCCCACAGGTGTACGACTCTTGGGACCACGCTCATACCAGTGTGATGCCACATGGCAAAATTACAGGACTGCCAACCTCTAGTTCGCTCGCTAACTTCCCACAATGGCTCCTGGCAAGGCCAAAAGCTAGGAGCTGCCTGAGTAGGTGGAAAGAGCCCAGCTCTTTGGAGCCATCACTCTTCTGCCCACAGGTCCCAGCAGCAAGAATGCAGAGTCGGGAACCAAACGCAGCAGGCACTCCAATGTGAGATGTAGGCTTCTGGCCTGAGACCAGTTTGTATAAAGCTTGAAAGCAAAAGTGACCACCACCCTGGGTGCGCATGTCTGCTTAGGGGCAAGGATCCAACAAACTGAGACAAAGCTACATAGTAAAGAGTTTGGGCTCTTGTAGGTCACAGAACTACGACGTCTGTTGCAACTGTTCAACTCATGGTTGTGACATTAAAGCAGCCATGGAGAAGGCGGTTGTGAACAAGGATGGTGACTGTGGTAAACACAGAGGTTAAGTGGGGCTAATGCCAAGTGCTTAGACGGGGGTCAAGGACACAGAATCCCAAGCAGCAAGTAACAGACTGGGGCAGAGTGGTTCTCCCAGCACCAAGTTCAATGGCAAGGACAGAATGGCTTAACAGTTCCTAATGGCTGCTAGGGGGCCATCTGGTGGAGTGGGCTTGGAAAGTTGAAGGAAATTCCCTAGCTTTGTTTATCCTAAGGTTGGCTTAACCTAAAGCTTTTATCTTTTTTTTTTTTTTTAAACAAAGAGCTTCTTTTTTAAGGTTTGTTTATTTTTATTGGAAAGTCATAAGGAGAGACAGAGAGGAAGATCTTCTGTCCAATGGTTCACTCCCCAAGTGACCACAATGGCCCGTGCTATGCTGATCCGAAGCCAGGAGCCAGAAACTTCCTCCAGGTCTCCCACGTAGGTGCAGGGTCCCAGGGCTTTGGACCATCCTCCACTGCTTCCCCAGGCCACAGGCAGGGAGCTGGATGGGAAGTGGAGCTGCCAGGATTAGAACTGGCACCCATATAGGATACCAGTGCATTCAAGGCGAGGACTTCAGCTGCTAGGCCATGGCATCGGGCCCTAAAGCTTTTATCTTAAAGCTGTGAGTTCAGCACAGCAGCTGAGAAGGACACTTAACAGGCAGGGAACTTGATGGTTCTTTACAGGCATGTCTACATGGGTACCAGGCACTTGCGTAAAGAGGTCAACATTTCTAGAAGGTTCTCCTGCTCCTCCCCAACAGTATTCCCCTTCCCAGAGGCTATCACTTGTCAGGGTTTGGATGTGGTTTCAGAGTTCCCTGAGGTTTCAGGTGTTGAAATCGAATCCCCACGGTAAAGCATTAAGATGTTAGACATTTAATCCAGCTGTGGGGATGGCGCTGCTAGGAGGTGACTAAGGTATCCTGGTGGCTTTAACACGGAAGGAGAAACACACACAGACCTGCTTACTTCCTGTCCCCTCCATGGAATGTTCCACACCATCTTATGAATCTCCCAGCATGAAGGCCATCACCGGATGACAGCCCTAAACCTTGTCCGTGCCCCCGCCTTAGCATGCAGGCTCCCTTGGCATTTTACTAGATTCCTGAACAAACAGCCCCCCCTGTTCTGACTTCTGTCATCAAAGATGTGCGTTGCTGGTTCTTGAGCACCCCGCACATGGGATGGCATCCTGTTTTACTTTATATCTAGTTTCTTTTCATTCTATCTGACAATCACACATGTTGTTCCATGTAGCAGTTGTCCGTTTTTATAATGGCAACACAAGATCACAATTTATCTGTCCTGTTGATGGGCATTCGACTTGTCAGAATTAGGGACCATTACCGCTAGTTTCCTGCATGTCCTCATGTGTGTCTTTCATTCGATGTAAGCGCCGAGGGTGGTTGTGCATACAACTCATGACTGTTCCACCTGCTTCACATCTTTCCCTACATTTTTATGGTTAATCCTTTTAATTTTCAAGATTCTGGTGGTGAGTAAAGTGGGCTGTTTTTTTTTTTTTACTGTGATTTGAGTTAGTGTATCCCTGGAAATTTGTGAAGATTTGCTTTTGGAGCATTTAAAGGATTTTCTGTGCAAGTCTTTGAAACCCAGTTTTTGAAAGATTTCTAAAATTTTTGTTGGGAAGTCAGAAGTACAGAGAGGAGCAGAGATGGAGAGGAAGATTTTCCATCCATTGATTCACTCCCCAAGCAGCCGCAACAGCCATAGCTGAACTGAGCTGTACAGGCACAGGGTCCCAAGGCTTTGGGCCATCCTTGGCTGCTTTCCCATTCCACACGCAGGGAGCAGAAGTGGAACTGCTATAGTTAGAACCAGCACCCATATGGGATCCAGTGTGTGCAAAGCAGGGACTTTAGCCGCTAGGCTACCACACCAGGCTTTAAACCAGTTTTAATTGGGCATTTTATTCTTTGTTATTGCTGCATAAAAGCCCTTACTAGATATAGTATTGAAAATAATTATTAAGTCTGACATTGAAGTGGGGGGTAAGAAATCAATGGACCAGAAGTGAGTCCACAAGACCCCCACATACGCAAGTTACCTGTCTTAAGATAGAAGTATACACCATTGTGATTCAGCAGGGATAAAATATTCTCCAATCAATGGTGTTGATCAGCTGCATACCAGTATGTGTAAGAAGACCTTTGATCCCTCGCCCGCTCCATGTATTAAATAGTGATTTATCATCGTTATAAACAGTGAAACAATCACTTCTAAGCAACGGCAGCAAAGATCGTCACGATCGTGGGGTGGGCAAAAATCTTGTTAAACAGAACCCAGAAAGCACAAATACCAAAGCGATGACTCATGCAGGGGAAGGATTTCTGGTCTTCAGAAGACGCCAGCAGATGGGTGGGCTTGGTCGCCGCCGTCAGTGACCCGTGTCTGTTTTGTTTTGAAGGGTGTTCCTGTAGGCGGCCACATCATCAGTTACCTGATAGAGAAGTCTCGTGTTGTGTATCAAAACCTGGGGGAGCGGAACTTCCACATCTTCTACCAGCTGCTGGCAGGTGGTGAAGCGGAGCGTCTGGCTTACCTGGGGCTCGAGCGAGACCCCCAGCTGTACAAGTACCTCTCACAGGTTGGAAGGACAGGACTGGGCTTTGATGGCTCTGGAGGAGGGGCTCCAGGAGTGTTGGCAGGGGCTGCTGTAGGATGCTGCAGGACTCTCAGCGCCATTCTAGGCTTCTCCTGTGGATGGATTTCCTACCTGTCAGGAGCAAGCTCATGCAGGTCATTTTATGACTCACTGCTCATCATCTTGGCAAAAGAGCCCCAAGACCAGGCAGGTGGTTCTCAGCTTTGGCTGAGATTAGAATCGTTGGGAAAAGTCATGAACAAACACACCACCTGCCTGGGGGCCCTACCTCCAGAGACTCGTCTTTATTTGGTCTGGGTTTAGACATCGGGCTATTGTAAATGATCTCTGGTGGTTGAATGCATAGCTGGAGGTGGGAGCTGCCACCTCCATCCTTCTGTGTGTCTACAATCCGTGCTGATTCTGCCTTCAAACTCCTTTTTATTTTTGTGAATGAAGGGAGAGAGAGACAGAGAGATGGAGTGTGAGTTTCCATTTACTGGTTCCGTTTACCAAATGCCAGCAACAGCCGAGGCTGGGCTGGGCTGAAGCTAGGAGCCTAGGACTGAAGACTGGAGTCTCCCAAGTTTTTGGCAGGAACCCACCCGAGCCCTCACTGCTGCTTCCCAGGGTCTGGGTAGACAGGAAGCTGGACTCAGGAGCAGAACCAGCACCCCAAAACTTTGTGGAATGCAGGCCTCTTAAACACCTTAGCCACTAAGCCAACAACCCACCCCAAGAAAATTTGGACTAGAGTATTGAGAAATCCTCTTCCAAAAGTGAATTTTATGCACTCATTTTTCTGCAGTCTGTGCTGGGGTTCCAGAATGATTCAATTGTACAGCACCCTGAATAGGAGAGTGCTTCAAAATGCTTGTTGAAGAGAAGCTTACACTGGTGAAATCTATGCTGGGAGAGGAAATCAACAAGGTTATGGAAAAGACAAACTATAAAAACAATGCTTAGATTTCACAGTGTACTTGAACCAAAATAAATTAGTCTTTTAACTGCACCTTTCCACAGATTTTTTTTTCAGATACCAAGGTATTTGGTTTCTCATTGATCCTACCTTTGTCCTAAGGTTACTTGGCAAGGTGCAAGGAGAGAGAGAATATAACCTTCTAAAGTGAATTTCATAGAAGGAGGATGGATATTTTGTACAGATTGTGAAAGGAAAGAAGGCTCGACTGCAGTTGGTGTTTAAAAATGAAATGAGGGATCCACTTGTTGGCATGATGAGTTAAGCCACCACTTCTGGCACCAGCATCCTGTGGGAATGCTGTTTTGGGTTCTGGCTGCTCCACTTCCAGTCTAGCTCCTGCTAATGTGCTTGGAAACGCAGTGAAAGGTGGCCCAAATGCTTGGGCCCCTGCCACCCACATGAGGGACCAAGATGGAATTCCAGGCTTCTGGCTTTGGCCAGCCCCTACTCTGGCCTTGTTGTTTGGGGAGTGCATGCCAGTCTCTCCTCCCAACCCCCACCAGCCTCTGTAACTCTACCTTTCAAATAAAAATAAGTGATGTAAGATGATAAAGGAATCTTATATTCTCATTGGATATTTAACAATTTTTTAATTAAGTCTTTGGACAAAGAAGAAATCAAACTTCGTGGTTTTTTTTTTTTTTTTTTTTTTTGGTTAAAGATTCTTTCAGTTTTATTGGAAAGGTAGTTATACAGACAGGAGGAGCTACAGAGTAAGATTTTCCATCCAAGGGTTCACTCCCCAAGTGACTGCAACGGCCAAAGCTGAGCTGAGCTGGAGTCAGGAACCAGGAGTCTGGGTCCCCCACTTGGGAAATGAACTAGCAGATGAACAATCTTTCTGTATCTCCCTCACTCTGTATTTCTGCCTTTCCAATAAAAATAAATTTTTTTTTAGCTACTTACAGTAGCTGCGATATTGTATCATTTAAGGGAGTGAATGATAAGGGGAAATGTCTATACTCAGGACACACACATTTTTTCCCCAAATGTATTTTTAAAGCCATTTTTCTTTGAAAGGTATGATAGGAGAATGGGGGGTCCTCCATCCACTGTTCTCCCCAAAATAGTCCCAAAAGTCAAGAACTAAAAACTCTATCCTGGTCTCCCACATGGGCAGCAGGGGCCCAAGCACCTAGGCCATCTTCCACTGCTTTCCCAGGCGCATTAGCAGGGACCTGGATCAGGAGCAGAACAGCCAGGGATTTGAACTGGTTCTTGGATAGGGATCCTGGCACTGAAAGTAGCAGTCCAACCTATTGAGCCACAATGCTAGGTCCTTCAATATTTTTGGTCTGTGATTGGTTAAGCACACAGGTGCAGGGCCCACAGATTAAAAGAGTTGTGGTTGTGAGGTGGCATGCTGTGTACCGGATCCTTCACTAGTACTCATTTTCATAGTAAGATGCCTTTGGTTGGAACCAATGGATGGAAGAAATTCTCTCTCTTTCAAACCTATAAATAAATACTTTTCAAAACATTTTTACATATGTAACTTTGAGATTCCAACCCCTGCCCTCTAGCCAGGAGACAGGTAAATAGAGTAAAAACAATTTTTTTTCTCAGTCCAGTACATTAGGGAACTGACTCTTGCATGCTTGGCGAGAAAGCCATTTTAGTTTAAATGTTGTGCACTTCACTGTCCTTGCGAGAGGATGCTATTAAGTGACCTGATTTTGTCCCAGGGTCGTTGTGCCAAAGAGTCATCTATTAATGACAAGAATGACTGGGCCACTGTTTCCAATGCCTTTTCTGTCATTGACTTCACTGAAGCTGACCTTGAGGTACGGACCCTGGGGTTAAGGAAATCAACCTTGCTTTCCTGGAGCCAAAGGGGCTGGGCTGCCAAATTCCACAAGGAAAACTACAAAGGAAAACTTACATTTCTGTAAGTTTGCAAAAAAAAAATTTTTTTTGAATAAAAAGATAAATGTATTTGGGTGCAAAAAGATTAAAATCCATGCCCTGTTTTTTCATTAGGGGCCTTTCCCTTGAATTGTTGACAGTCCCCTTGAGGATACCCATGACGGATAAATAGAGAAGTACTTTTGGGGGCGTGTACATATGTGTGTATGTAAAAAATTTAGTTACTTTTTTGAAACTTTGAAACTATAGCTGGGTAGTCTGTGTTTTGTCTGACAACTCCATTCTCCCAGCATTGGCGTGGTGGAGACAATGTTCACCTTTGCCTAGATGAAATCCAATCTCAATGACTGAGATTTCATAGAGTTTGCAGGGTTTTCACTTGCGAAAGTTTCTACATTGACTGAAAATATGAGATTTATAAAACATCCTGTGTTTACATCTTTGCGTCTTCCCCCACCCCCACCCCCGTTTTGATTTAAATTATCTTTCAAGAACCACCGTGGTTTTTTTTTTAATCTATTTTGTTTTTAGTGGAGTTTTTTGGTTTTGTTTTTTAATCTGAGACCATGGCATTTGTAAGTTAGGGCATTTATTCATGGGCTTTGTTTGAGAAGCACTTTTGGTAAAAGGTTTTAAGCATATGATCTCTTTTTGTTAAGAGTAAGTTGACTTCTTTTTACGGAGCTTGTCACAGAGATGGCCGAGGCCCTGGGCTGGAGACAGAGCCAGCTCTGCTGAACAACCCAAGACATAAAGGCTGATTTCAGCTGGGGGAGGAGGAGCAGGCTTGGGTTCCACCAGCTCGGGGCTGGCATCAGATGGTGGGTGATGGCCTCGGGGGGCCTCTGTCGATGTCCTGGATCGATGGGGCAGCTCCTGTTTCCTCCCTGGCCCTTCCCACCTCCTAGAATCTCTTTGGGATCCTTGCCAGCGTTCTGCACCTGGGCAACGTTTGTTTTGAAGAAGACGCCCAGGGCTGTGCCGCCATCCCAGACACACATGAGATCAAGTGGATTGCCAAGGTGGGGCTATACTACTGGAGGAAGGCAGAGGTTGGTCCAGGGTGGGGTGAGAGGAGAGACGGGGCTTGCTGGCAGCTCCTGGCTGGACAGCTGACACCACCTTTTAGGAAACCTATTGGAGGTTGAAAGAGTGAGGCAGGGCAGGGGAGTGGCTGGTGGGCTGTGGGATCAGAATGACCCAGCATACTGACAGGGCAGGGTTGGTCACCCTGGACCTGGGATTCCGTAGACTCTTAACTAAGTTTGGAACTTTAGCTGATCACTGATGGGCTTTGGGTTCCTTCTGCTCAGCTCCTGGGCGTCTACCCATCAGTCCTTCTGGAAGCTCTCACCCACAGAAAGATTGAAGCCAAAACAGAGGAGGTAAAATGGCTCTTGGCAGGCATGCCTCTGCACTCTTCTCTGGGGCTGAGTCCCTTATGTGTTGATGGGGTGTGGCCCCCAGAAGGGTCAAGCCCTTGAAAGTAGCCCGTCAGGCCCTGCATGATCCGGCTCCTGCCAGTGTTTCCTGCCTCACCATCACCACCACACACCACGCTCCATGCCTGCCCTGTCCTTGCCACACCCTCACTTTGCTTGTGCGGTCTCTTCCGCTTGAATGCTGTTCCCTGCACTTCATCTAGCTGACTCTTCATCCTTAGCATAGCTACTGCATGAACAAGAGCAGTGGGATGGCTGTGCCCTTTGGAGACTCATGTGCAAACTCAGGGACCTCCTGGATGTCTTTCTTTTTGTCAGGTGATCTGCCCCCTGACCCTGGAGCTCTCTATCTATGCCAGAGACGCGATGGCGAAGGCTGTCTATGGACGGACATTTACATGGCTGGTCAACAAGATTAATTCCTCCTTAGTAAACAAGGTTGGGCAACATGTGTCCCATCGCGTGCTCTCACTAATGTGATGGGATTTCACCATTGTGTTTATAGGAAAACTGGAAGCATGTGGGCAGACACAGCGTCTTGTCATGTTCACACTTTCAGTGGGTCAGCGTACAGCAAGCAGATGACTTTGGTGGCCTGTCCCAAAGCACAGTCCAAAGGGCCTGCATAGTACAGTGATTAGGTTATCACCTGCAATGCTGGCTTCCTTTAGTGGAACATGGTTCAAGTCCCAGCTGTTCCACTTCCGATTCAACTTCCTACGAATGTGCTTGGAAAGATGGTAGAAAAAAGAAACAATTGTTTAGGCCCATGCACCCATGTGGGATACTGATTTTGATTTGTGTCTCATGGCTCCAGCCCTGCCCAGCTTTATTTCTTGTGATTTGGTGATTGAACCAGCAAATGGCAGATTTCTCTGTCTCTTTCTCTGTCTCTGTTGGTCTGCCTTGCAAATAAACAGCATTTGGTTCACTGGGTAGCTCCAGGGATAGATAGAAATGGTTAATATCACCAATAGTGCAATGTACTTCAAAAAGCCATGGAAAATAGAAACACTTATTTTGGTACTAAAAAAAAAAAACTTTCAAATTTCATGCCTAGATTTTTCCTCTGTGCATATCTGTGAATTTTTGAAGGCCCCCTGAGATGCATGGATTTCAAATATTTTGACTACCAAAATAAACTTTTAATGGTTTATTTATTTTCATTGGAAAGGTAGATTTGCAGAGGGGACAGAAAAATCTTCTATCCACTGGTTCATTCCACCAGTGGCCGCAACAGCTGGAGCTGAGCGGATCTGAGGCCAGGAGCCAGGAGCTTCTTCCAGGTCTCCCATGCAGGTACAGGGTCCCAAGGCTTTGGGCCATCCTGTGCTGCTTTCCCAGGCCACAAGCAGGGAGCTAGATGGGAAGTGGACATCTGGGACAAGAACTGGTACCCATAAAAAAATGGGAGGATTAGCTAATTGAGCCACTGCACTGGGCCCCCAAAATAAACTTTTATTTCACTTTGCCAGGAAGTTTTTGAAGTATGCTCAAATATCCTCATGGGTCTAGGAAAGTTAGAACTATCCTTCAAATTCACCCTAAGATCATGCTTCCTACTTAAATGGAGTTATTTAAATAAAAGGGAGTTTATCTAAAGCTAGCCAAGGAGGAGAGGCATGTAGGGCGTAGGGTGAGTGATGCCAGCGGAGGTTGTAAAAGAGAGGCTGAGGAGACAGCGCAAAGGACACACACTGGGAGCAAAGGACACACACTGGGAGCAAAGGACACACACTGGGAGCGGTCACAGCGTCCCGTCCCGTTAGCAGGGAGAGTGCAGCGTGAATAATGAGCCCATTTTCTGTTGCTACAATGTAATACTTAAGAGCCGGCAGTGGATAAAGAAGAGACTGAGAAATCCAAATGTTTTGTGAGGACTTCCTGCTGCAAAACAAAACAAAGCACAGCATGTACACACATACACACACACACACACACACACACACACACACACACACACACAGAGAGCCAGGGCCAACACTGTGGTTCAGCGTGCCAATCTTCTCTCTGCTGACACCAGTATCCCATATGGGCACTGATTCGATCCTAGCTGGTCCACTTCCCATGCAGCTCCCTGCTTGATGGACAAAGAAAGTAGTGGAGGATTTTGCAAGTTCTTGAAACGCTGAACCCACATGGGAGACCAGGAAGAAGCTCCTGGCTCCATGTTGGCTCAGCTCTGGCCATTGTGGTCACTTCTGGAGTCAACAAGTGAATGGAAGAATTTAAAAAGACAGAAAGAGAAAGATGGCAGAGGGCATCTGATAGTAAGACTGAGTGAGGGGATAACTCAGATGTCTTCCTTTCCTTCAAAAGCTACGACTGCCTCATTGTACGCAGGCTTTCATCTGGACCTCAGCCACCTGGGAACTGGGGGAGTAGCTTCCCACCCATGGGATTTGGGGGGCATTGTCTTGAAATAGCCATCCTGGCCTGATAACATGGGGTTCTGTGTCAAACGCCATGCCATGTGTCCCCTCACTTGGGTAGCATCTTGTTGACTGCATGACTCTGGATTGAAGGTGAATTGAGAGATGAAGGGAGCTGACACAAAGCAATAGATCTCAAGGGGATGTTTTCATCATCCCTGGGGTGGGGGCCAGGTACAGAGGCTGTGATGGGCTCCAGGTAGGTAGTAAATTAGGAAGAATGAATTGAGAAAATTATCCATACTGTGAGCCCCTGTTGGAAACCACTTCCCAGCTTTGGGGTTCAACAATAGGGCTTGGGGCAGTGTGCGGGGCATAGGGGTGCGGCGCAAGGTGCAAGTCCCAAGCACTAATAAATAGTATGTATTGTTTTGACTAGGATTTCACCAGGAAAACCGTGATCGGCTTGTTGGATATCTATGGGTTTGAAGTCTTCGATAAGAATGGGTGAGTTTGGTGATTGGCTATAATTGATACTCTTTTCTGTTGCAATAACAGCATACGAGAGGATGGGTCCTTGATAGAGCAAGCAGGTCTATGGAGCCCATGGTTGGGGAGGCTGGAGGGCTGAGGTCAGGTGGTGCCCACTCACTCAGTCTCCGATGAGAGCCTTGTTGGCTCCATAACGAGGCTGGGGGCGGCATGGCACCAGTCAGGGCACGTGCGGAACGGAGTGTGTGATTAGAGAGACTCAAAGCGCTGTTCAGCTTCCAAGACAGTTTTCTCTTTCAAGAACTGGTTCCACAGGACCAGCCTCAACCCTTCAGTGGTCTGCTCACCTCCCACTAAGACAGCACCTCTTACTGAGAACCAAACCTCCAACACACGAGCCTTTTAGGTTCATGTCCACTTCGCAGTACCCACCCGCCCGTCCTTCAGCCTGTTGATAGCATCGGTTGGTCCAAGTCATTTCTAGGGCGCTGTGTTTGTGTAGCTCCTAACATGAAAACATGTTTACCTCGTATCCTATGATCTGTTGAGTAAATTGTTTTATTTTTTTTATTATTTTTTTAAAGATTTATTTTTATTATTTTTTCATTGGAAAGGCGGATATACAGAGAGGAGAGACAGAGAGGAAGATCTTCCGTCCGATGATTCACTCCCCAAGTGAGCGCAATGGGTCGATGCTATGCCGATCCGAAGCCAGGAGCCTCCTCCGGGTCTCCCACACGGGTGCAGGGTCCCGAGGCTTTGGGCCGTCCTCGACTGCTTTCCCAGGCCACAGGCAGGGAGCTGGATGGGAAGCGGGGCTGCCGGGATTAGAACTGGCGCCCATATGGGATCCCGGGCATGCAAGGCGAGGACCTTTAACCACTTGCGCCACCGCGCCGGGCCCAATTGTTTTATTTTTTAAAAGATTTCTTTTTGTTTTCCTTCCTCTCTATTCAAAACCCTCCTTTAAAATGTTATGATTTTCAGTCCGAAAATCTCCTCCTCTCTGTACATCTGACTTTCCAATAAAAATAATAAATGTTTTTTTTTTTTGAAAAAGTGTTAATGTTTTGGGAAAATGAGTCATTTTTATGTAACAGTAGTGACCTAGACCCTTTGCCTCTCCAGCTTTGAACAGTTCTGCATCAATTACTGCAATGAGAAGCTCCAGCAGCTGTTAATAGAGAGAACGCTGAAAGCGGAGCAGGCGGAGTATGAGGCAGAAGGCATCGAGGTGAACGCTGCAATGCTTTCTTGTTGGGTTTTCTTCACCTAGCTAAAAGCATGGCTCTGAGAAATGCTATGTCATTGGAAATTATCCTAATGTCTGTTAAGGATGATTCTTCACTCCGACTCTGCATATTTCCTGAGAAGCTATTCACAAAGCCTTACGTTTTCAAGTTTTAGTGAACGTGTAACCCTTACACATTAGAGGACACAGTACAATATTTTTTTTTAACTTTTTCCATCTTTTTGCTGTATTTTTGACAATCTCTTCTTTAAGGTTTTATTTATTTTTATTACAAAGTCAGATATACAGAGAGGAGGAGAGAGAGAGAGGAAGATCTTCCGTCTGATGATTCACTCCCCAAGTGAGCGCAATGGCTGGTGCTGCGCTGATCCGAAGCCAGGAGCCAGAAACTTCCTATAGGTCTCCCACGCGGGTGCAGGGTTCCAAGGCTTTGGGCCGTCCTCGACTGCTTTCCCAGGCCACAATCAGAGAGCTGGATGGGAAGTGGAGCTGCCGGGATTAGAACCGGTACCCATATGGGATCCCGGCGTGTTCAAGGCAAGGACTTTACCCACTAGGCCACGACATTGGGCCCTATTTTTGACAATCTTTACATAGTTAATTAGGGTAAAAATGTTCAAGGGCTACAGGAAAGTGGGTAAGACTATTATTTCCATATTGTTTCCTTCATGTATCTGAGCAGTGCAATATTTCAACACATGCACAAAGCATGAATGTATCATCAAGTAACATTTCCTTAAGAGAATATTTTTGGGTTTTTTTTTAAAGATGTATTTATTTTTATTGGAAAGGCAGATCAGATGTATGGAGAGGAGGAGAAAGAAAAAGATCTTCCATTCACAGATTCACTCCACAAGTGGCCACAGTGGCTGAAATTAAGCCAATCTGGAGCCAGGAGCCAGTAGCTTCCTCTCCCAGGCAGGTGCAGGGTCCCAAGGACTTGGGCCATGCTCCACTGCTTTCCCAGGTCCCAGGCAGGGAGCTGGATGCGAAGCAGAGCGGCCAGGACATGAATTAGCACCTAGATGAGATGCCGGTGCTGGAAGGGGAGGACTTGTCGATTGAGCCATTGCACCAGGCCCAAGAGAGTGTATGAAAATCAGAAAAACAATTTGGAAAATCACTTTAAATCCAATATACTTTTGTCATTGTTGTTGTCGTAAATACATGTCAGAGAATTCTTTCTTGTTGGTCGTTTCAGTGGGAGCCGATCCAGTACTTCAACAACAAGATCATCTGTGACTTGGTAGAAGAGAGACACAAAGGAATCATATCCATTCTGGTGAGGAAAGCTGGTGGGCATGGCGCCCCCACCTCTGGCATCTACAGCATGGGTGCTGGCTTCACAACGGAGTTGCTAGTAGAATCCTTCTCAGGCTTCATGACAAAGGGTTGCAGGTGGAATCCACTGGGTTATTGAAGCGTTCAAGTTGAGCTTACATACTGATTTCCTGCTTGGAGCTGTGCGCTGAGGTCCATGTGTTGAAATCTTTGGGCTTTTAGAACTTGCTAGCAAAGACCTTTAAAATGAAAGTGTGCCTGCATACCTTCCACAGGGGTGGGGCAGGAGTGAGAGAACCACAGAACTGGTATAGGCAGTGCTTGGGTAGCCATGGGTCGCTTCTATTGCCCTCATTCATGCTGCCACCAACTGTTTGGGGACCCAGCATTCTAAAGTACAACTGGTAGTGTCTGGGGTCACCTGGGTCTGCTGTGTCATGTTAGGCAGGTGTCTTGCATGCCTCAGAGCTCCAGAGGTACAGTGAAAGGGTAAGGTCAAGTTCATTGAGGTAATGCATGCTGATTATGGTAAGCATTCAGACTCTATTCGTATAGCACGCATATATTGAGTGCTTCCTTGGAGCCGAGAGAATGCCTTGTGCTGTGGAACTCAGCAGGGAATGGAACAGCTCAGCACCCCTGCTTGGGGTTTTAGCCTTGAAAGATGGAGCCAACAGCTTCATGCTCAAAGTAGACATCACAGAGAAAAAAAACTGGAAAAGGAAGGACAAGTGTGCTGGCAGCGGGAAGGATCTCATTCTGGGGTAATATAAATTGGGGGTGAAGAGGGAGCATCAGTGGGAAGGGGCCATTTGAGCAAAGACCTTAGTGAGGTGAGGGGTTGTGCCGTGTAGACACCAGGGCAAGGGGAATTCACCATCCAGGTTTCTGCGCAGTGTTGGCATGGGTCGCTGGACTGATACTTGTAAAGAGCTTAGTAATTATTGCTTGCTTGTAGTTGGTTTTCCAGATGGAATTAGAAAGTGTTAGAATGCTAACTTGTAATAGTTAGCTCCCTGACTTTAACCCAGATTGGGTTGAATCGTGTGTCAGTGACTGAGATGACCCATGACCTGTTGTTACTCTTGAGGACAGAATCTAGGAACAGGAGGGCTTGAGAGACAGGAAAGGGTAAGCCCAACTGGTCTTAGAGCTTTTTTGCTAAAAAAAAAAAAAAAAGAAAAAAGTTATTTGAAAAGTGGAGGATGGAAAAGGAGAAAGAGCCAAAAAGATTCCTTCCATATACTGGTTTACTCCCTGCAAATACCCGCCATGGAGCTGGTCCAGACCAAATCCAGGAGCCCAGAAGTCCATCTTGGTCTCCTACGTGGAGAGTGGGGGCCCAAGGACTTGGGCCATCTTCTGCTGCCTTCTGGGGTACTTTAACAGGGAGCTGAAGCTGAGATAGAGCAATCCAAATTTGATCCAGTATTCTAACATAGGATGCCAGTGTCAGAAGGGGCAGGTTAGCCCGGTGTGCCCCAACAGTCTGTTCTAGAATGTCCTGCCAAGGCTGGTGAAAGCCTTTACATGTGGAGTCGCTGGTGTGCAATGCTGTGGACTGAGGTTTCTCTTTTTCTTTGGAAGGATGAGGAATGCATTCGCCCTGGTCATGCTACAGACTTGAGTTTCCTGGAGAAGTTGGAGGAGAAAGTGGGCAAGCACGCACACTTCCAAACGTATGTTCTTTATTGGATGAGCAGTTGCGTGTCGTGTGTCTGTTGTCTTGGGCGAGTGCCTAGGCTCCCCCGAGTACAGCTGCCGTTTTCATGGATTTCTCGTGTGACCCCCCCCCCCCAACTCACACACGTCCCCACCTTCGTCAGGAGAGATCCAACGCAGATGAGTCACACGTAGAGACGATTCTACAAGTTGCTTTATTCCGGACAATTGCTGTATTCTGGACATACATACCACGTATGTGAGATAGTCTCTCTCTCTTTTAAAAATGCAGTGATGTACGTAGACCTGAAATATATAACCCCATGGTTTTTTCATTTGTACCTGTATAACCACAGGTGCAGATGAAAGAGACACAGTACTGAGTACTCAAATCAACCGGAAACCAACTTAGAGACCAGGAGAGAAGAACTGAAGGGTGTATGTTCTGAAATCCCAAAGACCTCATCCCCGCTTGGCCATTTTCTAGATATGTGACTTGAACCAGCACCTTACTGCTGCATTTGTGTTGCCCTTCTACAAGACAGGGGTGATAATATAGCATCATAAATAGCATCATAAATAGCCTCACGCAATTTCTGGCTGTGGTAGAGACTCGACAGGTGAGAGTGGCTTTTTCGCAGACTTGTTATAGATTACCAAAAGGTTAAGTAAATGAAGTCGCATAAAAGCCAGGATGGAGGACAAAGCAGACATACACCGACAAAGGAACGCACAGGTCCTCGTTCAGCAGACTCACCTGTAACTGCGTCCATTGAGACACACGAGATGACCCCACTGCAGAGATTACAGAAGTTTGCCAAAGCAACTGGGGCAACTAGAGGTCAGGTTGTGAGCGGAGAGGGTTCAGGGTCAGAATGCTTAGGAGCCTCACAATGTTCTGTCTTTTCGTCTGGATGCAAGAACGCCATTGCCTCGTGCGCTTGAGAATACGTGTGCTGTCAGGATACACGTGAACACACTTTCAAAAGGTTCACGGGAAAATGGAACTTAGCAAAAAGGTTTTTTTTTTGGGGGGGGGGTGCAAATATAAATTGAAATCCATCATGGGCCTGGAGCACACAAGTTAGTTAACCTTCTGCTTGGGCCATCCCATTTTGAAGCACCTGGGTCCAAGTCCAGGCTCCGCTTCTGACTCCAGCTTCCTGCTAATGTGCACCCTGGGAGGCAGCAAGTGACGGCTCAAGGACCTAAGTAGTTGGGCTCCTGCCACCCACGTGAGAGACTGGAATTCAGCTCCTGGTTTCCAGCTTTGCCTGACCCAGTCCCAGCTATGGTGGGTGTCTGGGGAGTGAATTAGTAGGTGAAAGCTCTGTATGTATGTCTGTCTCTTTCAAATAAATTTTAAAAATTGAAGTTCATGCATAATTTTTTTTTTACTTATTTTTATTGGAAAGTCAGATTCACAGAGAGAAGGAGATACAGAGAGAAAGATCCCCCATCTGCTGATTCACTCCCCAAGTGGATGCAACAGCTGCAGCTGAGCCAATCCAAAGCCAGGAGCTAGGAGTTTCTTCTAGGTCTTCTATGTGTTACAGCATCCCAAAATGTTGGGCCGTCCTCTACTGCTTTCCCAGGTCACAAGCAGGGAGCTGGATGGGAAGTGAAACAGCTGGGACACAAACTGGCACCCAAATGGGATCCTGGTGCATGCAAGGTGAGGATTTAGCCACTAGGCTACCACGCAGGGCCCCATGCTTAGTTTTATAATGATATATTCTCCATGAAATTTCTGCTTACCAAGAGTCTTCCGAATGGTGCGTGCCATTTCAATTTCTTTGCACCAAAAAATATCCCACTTTTATTCCATTTGCTCTGAACTTTTTGAACCACTTTTGTATTCATGTATAAAGTTTTGTGACTAATCAGAGTCTGAATCAGGTTAGTTATTTTTATTTCATCTTTAATATGCATGCATTTCTGTGGCTCACTTAGGAATTTTTAATTCTCAGAAGAAGAAATCTTTTGCACCCATCTGTGTGTCTCTTGCAGCCGGAAGCTGGCCGGTCCCAAGGGCCGCAAGAGGATTGGTTGGATGGAGTTCCGGCTCCTGCACTACGCAGGGGAGGTCACGTACTGTACCAAGGGTGAGTGGCCGGGGCTGCAGCAGCTGCTCCGGAGAAGCAGCTCGTGGCCGTCCCAAAGGACCCCGACCGCACACTCACCTGTGCCGTTGGAAAAGACTTTCTCATTTCCTTGATAATTTTATATCCGAGCGGTTTCTGAAAGTTTCAGGGGAAGTGTGTACTATAAAAATAGGTATGTGTGGTTTTCAAAATAGCCCCCAAAACTGCATTTTCTGTGAACTCTGTTGAAGGCCCCTCTAGCCCCTTGTGGAGATGGACTTTGTGCACCATCCGTATCCACCTGCATTTCAGCCATCTGCCCAGCCCTTGCTGCAGTTACACTTACACATTTCAGCAGCCAGAATGGAAGCCCTGTTCCCAGTTCCCACCATTCCCCCTATCCTGCCTCCCTGAGCAACCACTATAGCCTCAGGCCACAAACTCACCTGCTTTCTATACCCGTGCTTCTTCCAGACACTGCCTTTGAAAAGATTGTTTTGTTATTTGAAAGGCAGATTTACAGAGAGAAGGAGTGACACAGAGAAAGATCTTTCATCTGCTGCTTAACTCACCAAATGACAAGGGTCAGAACTGAGCTAGTCGCAAGCCAGGAGCCAGGAGTTTCTTATGGATCTTCCACATAGATGCAGGGTCCCAAGGCTTTGGGCCATCCTCTACTGTTTTTCCAGGTTATAAGCAGGAAACTAGATGGGAAGTGGAGCTGCTGGGACATGAACTAATATCCATATAGGATGCCAGCACTTGCAGGCAGAGGATTAGCAAATTGAGCCATTGTACCACCACCCTCCCCACCCCCATCCTAAATTCTTTCATCTCTGTGATGTGGCCTGAATTAGTATCCTCCTTTCAATCCATGAGGAAAGTGAGCTCAGAGAAGTTGAATGACATATCTAAGGTCACACAGCCGGTAAGTGACAGAACTAGAGTTCAAATTTGGGCTCTCAACAATCTGAGCCAACACCTGCTGTCTCCCGTGGTACACATTAGCAGGGAGCAGGACGGGAGACCCACTCCTAAGGCACTTGGATATGGGCGTCTCAACTGATGATGTCAAACCACTTTACTCCCTCCACCCCTCCACCCTTCTACCACTCCACCCCTCTACCCTTCCAACCCCTCCACCATTATTTTTGGATGGTCCTCATTTGTATCTCACTGCTACTGGACTGTGACATGCGCACAAGTCTCGGCACGAAGGCTGTGATGGGTGTGCAGTGTCAGGGTTGCGTCTACCACGCGTCCTAAGCTCAGTTCCAAGGACCTACTTTCTCGGCTGTTGCCCATATGAGCCCGGGGCTGTCGGCGGGGACCTGGAGAGCCTCTTGGTTGTCCCACATGGCGAAAGTGCTACTGGCATCCAGTGTGAGCAGCCACCAGCAATGTGACCCAGCATCCTACCAGGCCATCACATGGCCCCAAGTAATCAGGGTGCCGAGGTTGGGAAGCTGGGTTCTAACCCTAAGAAATTACTTTTAGGGTTTCCCTCTGCCATCTGAATTATGATTTTTTAGAAGAAAAGCTAAAGATTTAAAGGCTTTTTTTTTTTCATGGTCACCACTGATTTTTTTTTTTTCATGATTTTTTAAATTGGATGTTTTACAGGATTCCTGGAAAAAAACAACGACCTCCTCTACAGACATCTGAAAGAAGTAAGTGGGTCTGTGATGGGCTCGGGGTGCCACCTGGGGACCTAGTTTGGGAACAGCTTTGGATTTGTTGTGTTTTCTCAGCTGTGCACTGTGGAGTTAGAACTCTGTCGTTAGTGTCATGGCCGGGCCACACATTCACGGACCTCTGTGTGAGCCCTTCGCTTGGCAACCAGGCTCAAGTGTGTGGGACCCCCGGGCGGGCAGCCCTGTGATTTCAGTGGTGGATAAGACCGGGTCCTAGTCCTTACGAGGCTCCCAGATGGAATGGAGGGCGGGGGGGGAGGGGACTGGTGCAGTGGGTAAAGCTGCCGCCTGCAGTTCAGCAACATTAAAGCACATTCACCTTGAGATGAATCTCCATAACTCTTCTTGCAAAAGTTAAATGCAACCCCCTTTAAAAAGAAGATTTATTTAAAAGGAAATTTTATAGAGGAGAGACAGAGAAAGATCTTCCATCTGCTGGTTCACTTCCCAAATGGCCACAATGGTGGGATCTGAATCAGTTCAAAGCCAGGAGTGAGCTTCTTCCGGGTCTCCCACACAGGTGCAGGGTCCCAAGGCTTTGGGCCATCCTCTGCTGCTTTCCCAGGCCACAGACAGGGAGCTGGAAAGGAAGTGGAGCAGCCAGGACATGAAGCAGTACCTACATGGGTGCTGATGTTTGAAGTTGGAGGGTTAGCCTGTTGAGCCATGGTGCCAGCCCCAGATTCGATCCCCTTTACCCAACAACTTGCCCTTCCCTCAGGCCTGGCCCCGGCCAGCACCGTCCTTCCGTCTGTGTCTGCAGTCCGCATACCACCGGCAGTCATCATTTCTTTTTGGCTCATTGGCACTTGGCAGAACATTGTCAAGGTTCCTCTGTGTTGGAGCTTGGATCAGAATTGACCTCTAAGACAGAATAAGGACTCACATTGCAACCCTGCAGGATAAGCCACTGCTTGTGATGCTGGCATCCCATATCGGAGCACTGGTTCGAGTCCCAGCTGCTCCTTTTCTCATCTAGCTCTCTGCTGATGCAGCAGGGATGGCCTATGTGCTTGGGTTCTGGCCACCCACATGGGAGACCCAGACGGAGCTCCAGGATCCTGGCTGCAGCCTGGCCCAGCCCTGACCACTGCAGCCATTGGTAGAAGTCCCCACAAAAGGAAGATCTCTCGCTTTCACTCTCCACACACCGTGCACATCTGCACCTTCCTCTTGTCACTTCATGTCAAAACTTTGCAAAGAGCCAGTTCACTCTGTAGTGGCTGAATTCAACTGGGGAAATGCTTGTTGAGTCTTAGCAGAAGAAAAATAGCCTTGGCAAGAAGAGAATGCAGTGGATACAGTAGGGTGAAGCTTTCCTTTTATAGTTTTTTTTTTTAAATATTCCTTTGAAAGGTTCACTCCCCACATGCCCGTAACAACTGGGGCTGGGCCAGGCTGAAGCTGGGAATTCAGTTCAGGTTTCCCCCATGGCTGGGGTGACAGCAACATGACTGTGTGAGCTGCTGCCTCCCAGGGTGCATGTTAGCAGGAAGCAGGAATCAGAAGTGGAGCCAGGACTCAAAACCAGCACTCCACTGATATGGGCATCCTAAGGGACCTGTTGATAGCAGCACCCAATATGCACCCCATTCTATGGCACCTGCGTCTTCCCCTCTGTCCCAGTTGAAGCATCTTCTGGCACCCATGACGCAGGTGGCTGTTGCCCAGTGCGTACTTCTGCAACCTGCCTGCAGGTGCTTTGGCTATTGCTGGCCCAAGGGGAAGAACACTCCTTTGTTTCCCTTGCAGGTGCTGTGCAGGTCTAAGAACAGCATCCTCAAGGAATGCTTCCTGGCGGCCGAGCTGGAGAATCGCCGGAGGCCACCCACGGTGAGTGGATGAGATGCCCAGGAAGGACCGGAAGTGGGATCAGAGAGTTCCCCGGCAGGGGTGTTGGCCACGAGCCCCCTGCACCTTGGATGCCACTCTCCTCCATTCCCAAGGCAACCCTCTCTACTGGGATCTACTAAGCATGTACTTATTGCAAGGTTCGCACCAGTTTATGAACGTGAAGGTGTTCCCTGATGCACCTGCTACAGGCCAGGCACTGTGCAGGGCTCAGGGGTTAGTCAGCCAAGCTCTTCTCCCTCCTCAGGCTGATGATCATGGGGTCAGGGGGAGGGCCTCGGAAGATGTCCTGAAAGAGGCCTGACTCGGGGCAGTGATGCTGAGTGGCAGCTTCAGCGATAATGCAGGTTCCGCCGAGCAATCCTCGCGGACATGCTGACATGTCCTGCATGAATGGCTTGTCCAACTTCCCCCCTTGATGCAAGGCTGCTTTTCTCTACTTCTTAGGCCAGGAGGCCAGGTGAGCAGGTGACCTGCCAAGTGAGCAGGGCCCTGTGCCCCAGCCATCTTCTCTGTATTGTCCCGGGGAGCTGCGGTGCCAACTCAGCTCCTGTTCTCTCTCTTTCTCTCTGGGCAGGTGGGGACGCAGTTTAAGAACAGCTTGAGCAGCCTCCTGGAAATTCTTATCTCAAAGGAGCCCTCATATATCCGCTGCATCAAGCCCAACGAGAGGAAAGAACCTAGTGAGTTACGACTCGTTCTGGGCACTGAGCTCGGAGAAAAAATGGCCAAGTGAGGCCAGCCAAGAGGGTGCGGGCGAAAAGGCTTGCTTCTGGTCCCATGCGTGGGAATGCGTTGCATTTTTTTTTAAAAGATATTTGAATGTTGCCTTTAAATCTATCTTATTTGAAAGGAGAGAGAGATTTCCCACTTGCTGATTCATTTCCCCAAATGCCTGCGACAGCTAGGCCTGAGTCAGGCCGAAGTCAGGGGCTGAGACCTCCATCCAGATGTCCCACATGGGTGGGCTGGAACCCAACTACTTGAGCCATCCCAGCTGTCTCCTGGGGTGTGCATTTAGCAGGAAGCTGGAATCGGATGCAGAGCAGAGGCTGAAATCCAAGCACCCAGGGTAGGGTGCTGGTAGAATCACAAATAGTTTAACCACTGTACCAAATGCCTGTCCCCTCCCCTCCCCTACGGTTTTCCATTGTCCATTGGAAATAGTAGAGAACAGGTGCATTGTGGAGTAGCAAGTTAAGCTACCACCTGCCGTGCTGGTATCCCACATCAGAACACCAGTTTGAGTCCCAGTTGCTCTGCTTCCAATCCAGCTCCCTTGGGAAAGCAGTAGAGGATGGCCCAGGCGCTTGCGTCCCTGATTTCTCTGTGGGAGAACCTGGGTGGGGTTCCAGACCCCAGGCACTGCAGCCTGAGGAGCAGCACAGCTCAGCTGGACAGGAGCAGGCGGTGGGAAGGAGCCATAATACTCCTTTCCAGCTGTTGAACTGCTTCCTAGGATGGTCCGTGATGTGGATGTTTGCTCAGCTGTTGCCATGGAGATGAATGACGTCATACACTCCAAGGCTTGTAGGAGCTGGGTAGGAATAGCAGATGCATAAAGCAGGTTGGGTGGAAGGCAATAGGGAGTGGAGGAGACTGCAACAAACTGGATAGCTGGTCTATATGGCAAGCCACCCGAGTCCCTTCCAGGCAGAAGCTACCATGTGAGACTCCAGGCCCAGGATAGCTGAATCTCACAGTGTTTTCTAAGGAAATTTTAAAAATCCATACTTTTTTTTAACCCCTATAAAATTCACTCTTTGGAAAAACACAAAGGGTTAAACGTTGGGTAGAGTGGTTAAGTCGCTGTTCGTAACGCCTACCTACCAGAGTGCCTGGTTCAAGTCTCAGTTACTCTGCTTCCCCTCTAGCCTCCTACCAAAGTGCATACCGGGAGGCAGCAGGTGGCAGCTCAAGGCCTTGGATCCCTTCCACTCATGTGGGAGACCCGGATGGAGCTCCAAGCTCCTGGCTATCAAAAGTTTTGGGGAGACAAACCAGGAGTTCTCTTTCTCTTTGCCTTACTTATTTTCTTTTTAAAAAAAGATGTACTTATTTTTATTGAAAAGGCAGATTAGATTTATAAAGAGCAGGAGAGACACAGATTTTCCATCTGCTGGTTCATTCCCCAAATGGCTGCAATGACTGGAGCTGAGCTGAGCTGAAGCCAGGAGCTTATTCCAGGTCCCCCTCATAGGTGCAGGGTCCCAAGACTTTGAGCCATCCTGCACTGCTTTCCCAGGCCACAAGCAGGGAGCTGGATGGGAAGTAAAGCAGCCAGGACATGAACTGGTGCCCATATGGGATGCTGGTGCCTGCAAGGTGAGGATTTAACCATTGAGCCATCACGCAGAGCCCTCGTTCTGCCTTGTACAAACAGAGTGAAGATAGATGACGTTGGCGAACACTGTTTTAGAAACAGAATTAGACTCTCGGCTTGCAGCGCATGGTCTGTCTTGGCTGAAATGGAGCCACTGGGGCGCTTCACTGTCATTCTCACCTCTGTTTCCCCGAAGGCAAGTTTGATGATCTTCTCATAAGACATCAGATCAAATACCTGGGCCTCATGGAGCACCTGCGGGTGAGGCGGGCCGGCTTCGCGTACCGTCGCAAGTACGAGCACTTCTTGCAAAGGTAAAGGTCTTTGTGCGTGTCTGAAGCCAACGAGCTCGAGCACCTGCCAGGGTCCTCGACCAAGTTTTGGGAATAACAGAATCTATAGGAAGCTTTGAGGCCGGCATTGTGGTTCGGCAGGTAAAGCCGCTGCCTGCAGTGCCGGCTTCCTGTGTCGGAATGTCATCCCAGCTGTGCCACTTCTGATCCAGTGCCCAACCAGCATGCCTGGGAAAGCCGCAGGAGACGGCTCAAGAACTTGAACCCCTGCCACCCACAGAGGAGACCTTGGGTGAGTTCCAGGATCCTGGATTTGGCCTGGCCTGACACTTCATCCAACCCTGGTTTTGCAGCCATGTGGGGAGTATACCAGTTAGTTGGAAAACCTGTTTATTTCTCTCCCTCTCTCTGTCACTCTGCCTTTCAAATAAATACACCTTTTGGTGTGGAATTTGTGTGTGTGTGTGTGTAGGAAATTTTGAAATCTATGCACAGAATTTTTCGTATTTTCCATGAACTTTTTGAACACCTCATGTGTGCATGTATTTTAAACATTTGTACACCAAAAATGATTTTTTTTAATTTGTGTATTGTTATTGGAAAGGCAGATCTTCAGGGAGGAGAGACAGAGAATTTTCATCTGCTGGTTCACTCCTCAAATGGTTGCAACTGCCAGAGCTGAGCCAATCCAAAGCCAGGGGCCAGGAGCTTCTTCTAGGTCTCTCATGTGGGTGCAGGGTCCCAAAGACTTGAACCATTCTCTTCTGCCTTCATTGGTCCATAAGAAGGAAACTGGAGGGCCTGGTGCGGTGGCTTAAAGACTAAAGTCCTTGTCTTGCATGTGTCAGGATCCCATATGGGTTATTTTTTAAAGGTTTATTTTATTTTTATTGGAAATGCAGATGTACAGAGAAGAGGAGAGGCAGAGAGGAAGATCCTCCGTCCGATTGTTCACTCCCCAAGTGGCTTCAACAGCTGGTGCTGTGCCAATCCAAAGCCAGGAGCCAGGAACTTCCTCCAGGTCTCCCATGCTGGTGCCAGGATCCAAGGCTTTGAGTCGTCCTCGACTGCTTTCCCAGGTCACAAGCAGAGAACTGGATGGGAGGTGGAACTGCCAGGACTAGAACCAGTGCCCATATGGGATCCCGGAGCATGCAAGACAAGAACGCTAATCACTAGGCCACCGTACGGCCACCGATTCAAATACTGGCAGCCCTGCTTCCCATCCAGCTCCCTGCTTGTGGCCTGGGAAAGCAGTTGAGGACGGCCCAAAGCCTTGGGACCCTGCACCCTCATGGGAGACCTGGAAGAGGCTCCTTGCTCCTGGCTTCGAATTAGCTCAGTTCTGGCCATTGCAGCCACTTGGAGAGTGAACCATCGGACGGAAGATCTTCCTCTCTGTCTCTCCTCTTCTCTGAATATGTGACTTTCAAATAAAATAAATCTTAAAAAAAAGAAGGGAATTGGAAGGTAAGTGAAGCAGCCTGAACATGAATCTACCTCCATATGGGATGCTGGCATTAGCAGACAGGATTAGCCTGTTGAGCTGCCATGCCAGCTCCACCAAAACTGATCTTGAAATTCTGTTATTCTGGGCACTTGTTGAAATATCTTCATGCCATATAAAAGTCTCTTGGATAGGCTAATAAATAAAATGGCATCCCTCAGGGAACTCAGTCTGTTCAGCACTATAGCTGTGATCAGTTCAAACAAAACAATCACATTGCATTGAAGGCCTAACTAACTCAGCCTTCAAGGAAGCACAAGGCCAAGTGCACAGAACTGCCACCAGGGGGCAGATGTGAGCAGGATCTGTCTTGGGTTTGACTTGACTGGGAAGATTTCACTAGTGACTGCAGCTGCCTGCTGGAGGGAATTGGCCTCACGGGATGGTGTTCACAGGGGGTGTAGGGCTGGAGGTCCAAATCCCGTCTTTCAGAGGCGTGCCCTGTTTCCTAGCCTGCACCGTGAGGGCTGTGTGGTCTGCTCCCAGGAAGTTATAGTGGCTTCGTGAGATACACCCACCCACGTTCCTCCGGTTGCTTACACACCAACACTTATCTGATGAACTGGTTATACCAAAATAGCCACGAGGGGGCAGCACTGTGACATGGCCACCACTTGGACGGCGGCTTTCCCAGCTGCAGGTGCAGGTGCCTGCCAAGGTGGCAGGGGATGGATGACCCGAGGGCTGGGAACCCTGCCACCCCTGTGGGAGACACGGATGGAAGCTCAGGCCCCGGGCTTCCGCCTGGCACAGTCCTAGCTGTTGCAATCATCTGAGGAGTGAATTGATGATAGAATCACTTTCTGTCTCTTTATACTCCCTCCCCTGCTCTGTCTCTCCCTCTCTCATACTCTGCCTTTCAAATATGCTCTTTTAAAGACTGATTTATTTTATTGGAAAGGCAGATTTACAGAGAGCGAGAGACAGAGAGAAAGATCTTCCATCCACTGGTTCACCAGCTCCCCACCCCACCCCCACAAATGGCTGCAATGGCCGAAGCTGAGCCAATCTGAAGCCAGGAGCTTCTTCCAGGTCTCCCATAGGGTACAGCATCCCAAAACTTTGGGCCGTCCTCTAGTGCTTTCCCAGGCCACAGCAGGGAGCTGGATAGGAAGTAAAACAGCCAGGACACAAACTGGCGTCCATACGAGATGTTGGCACTTGCAAGAAAAGGATCAGCCAGTTGAGCCATTGCACAGTCAGTCCCTCCTCCACATCTAACACAAGTTTTGTTTTTTATTTTTTATCAGCAATGCCTTCCCTAGAGGCATAATTAAAATGGTCATTTCTGCAGGTCTGAAAGATTGTGTCATCCCAGTTCTATCTGGTTTGGCTTCATATTGGGATTCCTTCACATGTCGCCATCCTGGCAATTGTTAAATGATTCTTTTCTTCTTTCTTCTTTCTGGACGCACGTCTTTATGGCCACTGCTTTTGTCATCAAGGATTTGTCATTCTTGTACCCTCATCCCCTCCAGTGTTCTGAGGGTAGCTGACATGTCAGCTGCAGCTAGGAGCCCCCCTGTCATACACACACACACACACACACACACTTGGTGTCACCATCCTCCTGTGTGTGTTTGAACTTGAGCCACGTCTGCTCAGTGTGGTTGCCAGTCAGTCCTAGTGAGCGCTTCCTCTGGGCCGGTGCTGGGGTGACAGCAGGGAGCAAGACAGAATCCCCACATGCAACCCCGTGGAGTTCACTTCCTCCTGGGAGAGGCCATTTGCTTTCCGAGGAGGGGAAGGACAGAAGGGGTGTCTTTGTTGGCTGAGGGGAGCGGGGAGGACCCCAGTTGGGAGACAGCCCTGAGCATTACGTGGCCAAGTGGCTGCTGTAAACTTAGTGGCTCACACACTGCAGAATGGGAAGTACAAAATCAAGGTGCGGGGGGGGGGGGGGGGCAGATGGGGTGGCTGGTGTGGGCTCCACCTTCCCTCCCGCCCCTCCCTGGCTTCCTACTCACAAAGGCTCCGCCCACTGACCTATCACCTCCTGCAAGCCCCACCTCCTAACACCACCACCTGCTGCCTTGTGGTGATCTTTGCAGTACAGGTACATTAGCAAGGACTGACATGCTGGAACCAAGTTCTTAAGTCTCTTCCCGAGCATGGGACATTAAGTTGCCTGTTCAGCTGGCTTTTGTGGCTATGATGAATGAGGCTTTTTTTTTTTTACCTCTTTCTCTGAATCCTCTCTCTAAATCTGCCTTTCAACTGGCATCCCACTTGGACACTGGTTCAAGTCCTGGCTGCTCCACTTTCCATCCAGCTCCCTGCTTGTGGCCTGAAAGGGCAGTGGAGGATGGCCGGAGTCCTTGGGACCCTGCACCCACATGTGAGACCAGAGGAAGCTCCTGGCTCCTGGCTTTGGATCGGCTCAGCGCCAGCCCTTGTGACCCTTTGGGGAGTGATCCAGTAGAGGGAAGATCTCGCTCTAAATCTGCCTTTTAAAGAAAACTAGATCTTTGAATGAGGCTGCTATGAACACTGTTTCCTTAACAACTACATTAGGCAGTTACATAGAGGGAGAGAGGGGAAGGGAGGAGGTGTGTCTTCCACCTACTGGTTCGTTCACCAAAAGGCCAGGCTGCAGCCAGGAGCTTCTTCCAGGTCTTCCACATGAGTGCAAACACTTGGACCATCTTCCATAGCTTTCCCAGGCACATTAGCAGGGAGCTGGATTGGAAGTGGAGCAGCTGGACCCTGAACTAGTGCTGATGCGGGATTCTGGTTTAACCTGCTGTGCCACACAGGCCTCTGCCATGAGCATTCTCGCGCAACTGTTCATTTGTCTGTTTTTGCACGGGTCCACGTTTTCATCATTCTTGACTGTTGAAGGGATCTTCAGAGCGTTTACTGAGATTACACTGCCTTTTCATTCCACCTCTGCAAAGAACTTTGTGCAGCAGCCTCCTCCACCTGGGAGTGAGATTGGGGTTAACTCCCAGCTCTGTTCCCAGAGTGGATTGCTTGTGGGACTAACATTCCTAGATGTCCCAGATCCATTATGTAAAATGATGTCATACTGGCACAGATGCTGTATGCTCAGCCGCCTGTAAGCAGATGGTTTATGAAACCTGAAGAGTTTTGTTATTCACACTGTGTTGTTCAGGGCATTGAGACCAGAATATTCTGTCCACACATGTATAGGACAACCACGAGCTTTTCCAAGTGCCTTCTTTGCCCAGAAGTGGAATCCATGGGTACAGAGGACCGAGTGTCTGATGAAATCACGGTTGTATGCAGATAAGCTAACCCACCCAGTTGGCTGGGAGTTCCTGCTTTTTCCTCGCCAGGCGTGAGTTGTCGGACTCGAGGAAGCTCTGGTGATCACCGGGCTGCGTTCTACACTGAGTCACCACAGCCAAGCTCAGCAGACCTCCGGCCAGGAGGGCAGATGGAGGAAGGTAGAGCCACTGCTTCTAGTATCTGTTTCCTGTCCATGCCAGGTACAAGTCCCTGTGCCCAGACACCTGGCCGCACTGGCACGGGCCTCCGGCAGAAGGCGTAGAACGCCTGATCAAGTACATCGGCTACAAACCCGAGGAGTACAAGTTAGGGAGGTAAGCAGCCCCGCCCGCTGGTTTTTTCCTCAAATGTTTCTGGTACAGATCTGTGTGTGCCTATAGCCTGGAGGTTCAAATGCTGCCAGTCACTCAATTTAAGCACAATTCTGGGTGCTTAGGAGGAGATGGTACAGAACCCTTTGAAACCCCACTCGCTGGCTGGGCTACGGAAATAAAGAGGGGACCAGGCAGGCCACATGGCCCCCTTGTGTTCCTAGGTCGTCATTACTGCAGAAGGGGGGTTGTCTGAGCCGGGGACCTGTATACATGTGGGGCATTGGGTCAGTCACATGGGTCAGGACAGGGCTCCATCTGTCCACTCCTGTAGAGCCCTCTTCTGGGAGGTGGGGTGGGCAGTCCGGATCCCTGAGCTAAGAGGTCACAGTTGTGCCATCATGTTGGTGTGAGGTAGGAGCATGGCTGTGGTGCGCTGCTGCCCTCCAGTGGTTGACCTGAGAAGTTCTCACACCGTGGATGTGTAGATATGTGGGTGGGACTGGCAGATGGGGATCAGGAGATGTAATGTCGCTGACGGTTAGGGGTTGGGGGAGTGCAGAGAGATTACAGCAATCTTACTTGTTCATTTACGTACTCGGATACTTATTCAGGTTTCTGATGTGTTGAGGGGTGGCCATGCCCCCTTGGGAGGCTCTAGAAGGATCCTCTCTGCCTCTGGCAGCTTCCGACAGCTCCTGCCATAGCTTGGCTTGGAGCTGCCTCTCCCTTAGAGTTCTGCCTTCCTCTTCCTGCTGCCTTCTCCCCTGCCTGTTCTTGCAAGGACACTCTGACTATATTTGGGACTCACCCCAACATCTCTCGCCCTGCCATGAGCAGACACCCTCTTTACTGAGCTCCAAGTCTCAGCCCACCAAGGATCTTAATTAACAATTAGTAATTAAAACCTACTCTTTTTTTCCCACTTCTAGAACCAAAATATTTATTCGGTTTCCCAGAACTCTGTTTGCTACTGAAGACGCCTTTGAATTCAGTAAACATCAGTTAGGTATGGTTTTCCTGCCTTGGTTGTCACACACTGATTGAGACAAACACATTTAGATGGGGGAAGAGGTAAATCTTAAACATGGGCATCTGATAGCATGTTTAGAAGCATTTGTTTGGAATGCAAGGAATGAACCAGACGGGACAATTAGGCTCATACGGATTTTAAGGCTTGGGCACGTCAGATGCAAGCAGCATCGTCTGCGCACGTTGGGACGAAGGTGGGCTTGGATGCATGCACAAACTCCCATGCTGTTGTGCCTTGTTAGGTCCTAAAACCAGGTGAGCCCACCCACCCCATCCCCATTAATGTCTTTTTTAGGAAGTTTGTATGCATGAATGGCTGGTGTTAGAAGGTGTAGTTTCCCTGTCTGCAGCCAGGCTGTTGGTTCTGAATGATGAACAAGGAATGTTCAGATGGGGGAAAGTCATGCAGAATCATTGTACTGAGGTGGGGGGAGGCTTGTCCTTGGAGCCCCCAGCCGGTGGAGGAGCCTCCAGCATCTGCCCCTGAGTGACGTGGGGTCTGCTGCAGGCCTGGTGCTCTTCACACCTTACTCTCAACCCTGTGGCCATCTCTGCTTTCTACATGGGGAAATTGAGGCCCAGGTGTGGGCAGCTTCCTGAAGGCTGCACTGCCTGTAAGCAGCTGGGCCGGGGGCTGAAGATGCTCTGGTTTCTAAGTCTACTTGTGTCATCATCACACCTGCTGGGTCTGATTTTTAATGTTGGTGCTGTTCCAGTTTTGTTTCGAAATTTGGTTATTTGAGAGACAGAGGCCTTCCATCAGCTGGTATACTTCCTCACCCCCCAAAAGACCCCACCATGTGCAGCTGGGCCAAGCCAAAGCCAGGAGCTCCATCCTGGTCTCCTAGGTGGCTGCCAGGGAACCCAAATGCCTGGGCCATTTGCTGTCTCTTAGCTCTTGCGGTAGCAGGGAGCTAATTTGCGAAGTGGAGACAGGACAAGCACCAATACTCCAATGGGATGAGGAGCCTCCCAAGCCACGGCCTCACCCACTGTGCCACAAAGCCCATTCCTGCCGCTGGATTTGGAGCTCTGTAGCAGCAGGTAGCTGCTGAGTATGAGGGCAGGTGCAGGCTCAGCCAGGCTGCAGGGAGCCTCAGTCGGCACCAGATCCACTCCCAGGGACTGACACTGTTGAAGGCGCTTAATGACTGTGGCCTGTGGTAGGGACCTTGGTAGCTGTGCGGCCACAGAAGGGCTCTCCACCCTGTGTGCCTGGGTGCCAAGTGATGATGGAGGGGTGAAGCCCTCGTGTAGGTGGGCAGGACGAAAGCAGGTACCTGGCCTGGACCTGAGGATCCTGGACCTCTTCCTCACCTGTGGAAAGGGAAGTGAAACTCCAGCCGGCAGCAGGTGCAGTATCACGTGCCACACTCCCAACAGTGATGCTGAACCAAGGGCATCGCTGCACTGAGAGCCGTGTCTGATGTCCCCCTGTGGCTCTCGCAACCACCTGGACAAACACACAAAGTCCTTTGACTTTAATTTTTTTCTTCTAAGTTGCCAGAATCCAAGCCACATATAAAGGCTGCTTGGAAAGGAGAGAATATGTGAAGAAACGACAAGCAGGTAAGAGTTCAGCCGAGTGCCCAACCCCACCCCCTGGGGTTCTCTCCCCACTCCAGCCTGGAAACTGCAGGTCAAGGGGGCTGCCTTGGGGTCCTGTTCTGGAGGCACTGCTTGCTCAGACCCTGCTGTCCTGTGAGATCTACAATATGCACACAGTGAAAGAATAACTTTTTAAAAGACATATTTATTTGAAAACCATAGTTAGAGAGAGGGAAAGAGATTTCCCATCTGCTAGTTCAATCCCAAAAAGGATCACAAAAGTCAGGGACTGGGCCAGAATGAAGCTAGGAGCTTTTTCTGCATCTCGCATGTGGATGCTGGGGCCGTCTTGGACTGCTCTGCCCAGGCCATCAGCAGGAAGCAGGATCACACTAAGGCAGCATCACTGTACGTACATGTGTCACCCTGGAGGGGGTGTGGCACCGAGAGGTGCCTGTGTCACTTCTAGCATTTAGCTTACTCCTGTGAGAAATGAAAGCTCTTAAAAACCAGGAGACAAAAGGGCACCTGGTTTTCATGTCCTAGGAGTCACGGCTAGGGACTGACCAAAAGCAGTGACAAGATCACCTCAGCTGTCACAGCAGCCACTCCTGCCCGAGGGCGTGGCCCTCTCCCTGAAAGCTCAGGGCTGCCCAGGGCACCTCCTGTCCTTCTGCCCCTGTCGCCACCTCCCATCCACTTGTCTGTCCAGGTGTTCCCAGACTCCACGATCCGCGCTTGCATCTCCCGGGCTGGCAGGGGGCACAGAGGTGTGCTGAGGGCACAGAAGGCCTGCTGTGTGTTCACACACGGCTGGGCATGCCTTCTGACACCAGGACCCAACTCTTTCAGCCATCAAACTGGAAGCATACTGGCGCGGAGCCCTGGCCCGGATGGAGACCCACAGGAGAAAGTGGGCCGTACAGGTTGTCAGAAAGTGAGTCCTTGCGTCTGCTACGGGCGAGGCGCAGCATGGGGGCCTTCTGCACATGCCCTGAGGGGTCTTTAAAAACTTGGTCTGTCTGCCCTTAGCTCCTGGGTTGGGTGGTGCCCCCAAGGCTCAGAACATTTGTATTTTGTCACTCTCGCTTGAGTCAAGCCAGGCAGGCCGAGTGGCTGACCAGCTCTCTTAAGCCAGGGCAACACAGCAGGGGAGGGCTGGGGCTCCATCCCCACCCAAGGGCAGTAGACCGTTCCATTCCAGTCAGCTGCCACTTGGAAGAAAGGCCAGGCTGGCACTGCGAGATGGCTTGGTCTTTCAAGGAAAGCAGAACCCTGGCTTTTAGGCAAATAAGCACATAGCACTCATGTATTTTTGCTTGGCAAGTCATTCAGTGACTTGACCCGAGGTCTATCTGTGGGGTAGATTAAGCTCACCCCCCGTCCCGGGGCGTGATGGGGGAGAGGTCTCACCCACAGAACCTCTCCCATGCTGGCCTTGCCTCAGTCCGACTCCAGCATGCTCTGCAGATTCATCAAGGGCTTCATCCACCGCCACCGGCCCCTGTGCCCTGACAACGAGCAGTTCGTCGTGCTTGTACGCAAGAATTACATCTTGAATCTGCGCTATCACATCCCCAAGACCGTGCTGGACAAGAGCTGGCTGAGACCTCCGGGCATTCTGGAAAATGTGAGGACCCATCTGGGCCTTGGGGGCCACCCCCTGCATATCCGCCTTTCTTTCTGTGGGCTCCCTTAGCACGGTATGACCTTGCAAAAGGACCACACCAGGCATCTGGCCTGGAGGTTAAGGCTCCCATGTCTACCTTGCCAAGGACTTACTCAGCCTGACCCTGCTTAGCTTCCAAGATGAGAATCAGAGGCCTTCTGGGTGCAATGGCCATAAGCAGGATGTTTTAGTCCCAGCCCACGATTCCTCCTTCCTGCCAATAGATGCCCTCACAGATGGAGGATTGAGTAGCCAAGACTTTGACAGCACACAGGAGACCTGAGGGAGTTCTTAGCTGTGCTTTGGCCTGACTGTGGCCCTTGTGGACATCTGGGAAGCTCCACTGCCATTAATAATATAAACTATGAGAGGAAGCCCCCAGGCTTGGTAACAGCCTCCCAGTAAGCACCACAAAGCCAAGGGCAATGTGCTTGAAGCACTTCTAACGGTGGCTTTCCTGGATCTCACCTCCCAGCAGGGTTTACAGACTCTGGCCTCAGACAGTGGAGGCTGTGGGGAGATTCCTGCCTCCACACTGGCCCCGTGGAGCCGGAGCTCCTTAGAGCCGGCTCCACGATGACCCCTTATGGAGCATACCCAAGCGGGGGGGCCTCGTTAACCAACACAGGACAGAGACTGCACGGTTAGCTGCTTGTTCTAAAACACCAGAGTTCTGGAGCCCTTGAAACCCAATAGAGAGCTTCCATTCACTGATTCACTCCCCCAGCCAGCCAGGAGTCAGGAGCTTCTTCCAGACCTCCCACCTGGGTGTAGGGCCCCAAGGACTTGGACCAGCTTCTCAAGCAGGGAGCTGGGACATGAACCTATGCTCATGTAGGATGCCAAGAAGCCTGACCTATGTGACAACGCCAGCCCCTCAACTGTACTCATAAGCATCTCTGGTTCGGCTGCCCTAGCCCCGGTGTTCAACAAGTGTGTTCTCCACACACACAGGCTTCCACTTTGCTCAGAAAGATGTGCATGAGGAACCTGGTGCGGAAGTACTGCCATGGTGTCACAGCAGAGTGGAGAGCGATGGTAGGGATGGGGCATCAGGAGGGCAGTGCATGGGGGTGTGGGTACCTCAGCCAGATCTTCAGTGTCACGAGTTCTTGTCCGCCCTGTTGACCACAGACACTGGTCCCAGGCGGGTCTTGCAGCTGAGGATGAAGGTACAGACCCTGAGGAGGGTTGCCTGGTTGTTGCTATGGTTACCGTCTATGCTGTTACCATGGGTACCCACTCCAAATGGCCCCTGCTCCACCAAGAGAGCAGGACCCCTTCTGCCACAGGTTTCTATAAATGACAACACGGTTGGGGTTTCAGGCCTGGAATGTGTAGCATGAACGTGGGCAGCCCAGCCACGTGTCACATTAAAGTTACACAAGTAGGCAGCAGGCTGTATTTGGCCAACAATGCAAGCAAAGGTGCCAACCCCAGCAGCTACCAGGGGCATGCCCAGGGTACCATGGCCCAAACCAAGAATTTGCTGTGACTCCCCTGCAGGAGCACACAGCTCCTGTAACACCCATGATGTGTGTGGGACACTGCCGGTAGACCTGCAGCTCCCCAGCCCAGAGAGGGTGTCAGAGAAGCAGTAAAACTGCCTCCTGGGATCCCGCATCCTCTGCCATAGTACCTGGGTGTTAGTCCTGTGTCCGTCAGTGACTCCAGTTTCCTGTTCTTGCAGGCCAGGAGGGAGGCGAGTAGTGATGGCTCACGTACTAGAGGCACTGCCTCTCACACAAGACAACTGGCTGGAGCTCCTGGCTCCCAGCTTTGGCCCGTTGCAGCCTTGGTGGTTGTAGACACTGGGGGGAGTGGGCAGTGGTTGGGGCTGGGGCAGAGATCCCTCTCTCAAATAATGATGAAAATGAAGAGATTTAGATCTTGCTATCGTTAAGCATCACACCAAGCGAAGTTTCTGGCTGCTTTCATCTGGCTGTTGTAGCCATTTGGCAGGTGTTGGGGCGGTGTGAGAACTAGTAGTCAGGAGGCCTTTCAAATACATGTTAAAGTTTCTCCCGGGAGGCTCCTGGGCCACCATCCTTCTGTCTCCTAGATGCAGCAGAAGGTGATCACCAGTGAGATATTCAGGGGCAAGAAAGAAGGCTATGCAGAAAGCTTGAGTCAGCCTTTCGCCGACAGCCGGATAGGTAAATGCTTCCCCAGCCTACAGATGGCTGCTCACTTTCCCAAATCTACCTTTGGGGGTATTGATTCCTGGTTCCCGGGCTGTTCTCAGCACATGTGGGGACCCCACAAGAGCCAGCAGCCAGCTGCGGCTTTTCTGCAGGGCCGGGCTCCAGCCCTGACTTGGGCTGGTCTGGTTCCCCCCCACCTTAGATGAAGGAGACATTAACCCCAAGGTGCTTCAGCAAATTAGCAACGAGAACATCCAGGTATGGCAGCGTGCATCCCCTGCCTCAACCAGTACTCCCCGCTGCACTGTGAGAACAGGGGGGGTGTGTGTGCTGTGACACAGCGACGAGCTGGGGGACCAGAGCTCCGATGCTCAGGGCAAGGTGCCAAGTATTGCCCACCACATACCTGCTGCTGCTCTTATTAGTCTTCTTCCCTCACCCTAGAAATTAAGGTACAATTCTAAAAAACACCCTGCATCCCATCACAGGATGTCCCCGATTAGGGAGAGGTGCCAGGGGCTGACCAAGAGGCAGTGCCCATGACCTTCTCCGTGTGCTCCACAGGTCACTGTCCCCTTGGACCTGGGTTACAGTCCCTGCTAGGCAGTTCTCATGCCTGCCGGCCTCTTGGGACAGACCCCTGAGGCAGGGCAGCATGGTTCAGGCTTCCTCTGCAGCCAGAGCTGGGTGCAGAAACAGTTTGTGCGTCTCTGATCACCCGGGGGCTCCACTGCCCCCATGGTGATGGTGACCTCCTTGCAGTACGGTATCCCAGTCATTAAATATGACAGGAAAGGCTTCAAGGCGCGCCAGCGGCAGCTCCTCCTGACTCAGAGGACGGCTTACGTGGTGGAACTCGCCAAAATCAAGCAGAAAATCCATTACTCAGCACTCAAAGGTACTCAGCAGGTGGTGAAGAAGCCTCCAGTGGTGGACATTAAGCACAGGGGGCAGGCCTCTGTGCTCACGGCTGCCCTTCTCCTAGCACAAGTATCAAGGCTGGCACCTGCTTCCCTCTGGCATCCAAGAGGGACAATAACAGCCTTGCACAATGGCCTGGGTAGCATTTTACTCAGCATGCACACACTCACGTGGGCGAATTTCAGGAAGGAGGTGGTGGGAAGAGGCCTTTATTTCCCTGGGCCCAGCTGTTCCCTTCCTGGTCCCTAACTCCGGATCTGCCTTCAGGCATCTCCACCAGCAACCTGAGTGACGGAATCTTAGTTATCCACGTCTTGCCTGAGGACAGCAGGCACAAGGTAGATGGCGGCCACCACACAATGCTCTGATGGGGAATAGGGAAGGTCAGACAGTGCCATGATGTGAGGGTGGCCATTGTGAAACCTCCACCTTTGGGTGTTCTCCCTTGGAGCTTTAGGCACTGACCTGCTGCGTGGTCTTCTCCTGCCTGCTGCAGGGCGATGTCATCCTGCAGTGCGAGCACGTGTTCGAGGCCGTCACTAAGCTCGTCATGCTGGTTAAGAATGAGAACCTTGTCAACATCGTCCAAGGAAGGTGGGCGATTCCAGCCTCAGCTGGGAAAGCCGTTCTGACATAGGGCAACACAGGGCAATGTGGGGGTTGCAAACTGTAATTTTGTCTTTCCACCCACATCTACAGGCAGACCCTGCTGGCTCCCAGCATGGGGTGGAGAGGGCAGACACTCCAGACTCCTGTCCCTAGGCCAGGGCAGGGTGCGGCCATGCCTTGGTTCTGGGTACTGGTGGAACAGCAGTTTGAGCCCACAGGACTGCCACGTGGGGTCTGTTTATTGATCTGAAAAAGCGCTACAATTTCTCAAGGGTATAAAAACAAGCAAAAAACTGGCCCACAGAATTGAATAGTGTTACTGAATTTTCTCAGTAACTCTGAGGCAACTGCCACCTTTTCAGTGTTACATGGGCGGCAGGTGAAGCGCAAGGACACCAAGCCGCAGAGCTGAGGGGCCCGCGGGGATTCTCCCGCACAGCCCACCGGAGCTGGCTGCTCCGAGGCAGGACTGGGGCTTCTTCCTCCTCGCTTCTGCTGTTCCAGCCTGCCCAGTAATTCCTGCCAAGCAAGCGGGAGGCTGCCTTTACGGCCTGATGTAAGAATGTGGAGTTGTTTCTGCCTTGCTGGGGGAACACTTAATCCACTGTGAATTCAGCAGGAAGAGGCATGGGCGGCTGGCCCTGAGAACACCTGCATGTGCCATCCTGGTTTTAGAGGAACTGCCATTAGTTACATGGCTAATGGAAATAGGCTTCCCCCCCACCAACTGCTCAACTCTGCAATACAGAAAGAATTCAAATATGAAACTAGTGAGGAGTATGCCAGTAACAGGTCGCTCTGTCTTTCAAGTTTACAGTTTTATATCAGTCCTGGAAAAGAAGGCACAATAGTTTTCGACACGGGACCAGAAGAACAAATCTATAAAGATAAAAACGGACAGTTAACAGTGGTGAGTGGCTGGGCTTGGGGAGAGGTAGGCAGCGCACAGCACTAGAGGAACCAGGGGTGCAGTCTAGGCATGCCAGTGCTGCATGGCCACTGGACGCGTGAGCCAGGGCAGTCTTCCCCTCACACCGTGTCCCTCAGCAGTGCATGCCACATGTGCTCAGGGAACCCACTGGCATCTAATGCCAAGGAGACTGCTGAGTTCCTCAGCACCTCCCAAGTCCCTGCCTTGCCTCAGGGTACTGCGGCCAGTTCCTCACAGCCTGTGCGTGCCCACTGTGCTGACGCAGAGATGGCAGGACTAGGTGTGGCGGCTCAGCAGGTCTCCAACACTGTGGTGCCTCTCCCCTAGGTGTCGGTGCGGAGCAAGTCCTGATCAAGCAAGCGTGGCATCTGCCCCCAGCCATTGCCATTTTGGCTCCGCTGGAGGAAGGTGCCAGGACAGTGGGACTTGGATCCAGTCAGCTGTGTCTCCAAGGAAACTTACTGGAGGAGAAGGATGGCAGCTGAGGCGGCAGGGTGGTGTCTCAAGCGCAGCCCTGGGCCGGCCTCTCTGGCTCTGCCTCCAATCTGCTGCCAGAAGCTGGTCCTATCGGTCGTGGGGGTGGACGGCCTTACCATGGAGTGTGAGTGATGGATCCTCTGCCTGCGTCAGGCTGCCCCAGGCACTGCTGTGACACATCACGTGGGGAAGCAAGCGAGCTCTTACAAAGTTCCAAAGGTTGGACTGAAGATTCTCCTAAGACACTCAGCAGGTGAATGGAGTCCATAAGGGTAAGAGCAGCAGCTCACCTGGTGTCGGTGCACGGCTGGAAGGCCTCAGGTCTGCTCTCCACCCCGTGCCACTCGAGCAGCTGCCACCAAGTGCAGGCCACCCCCGCATCACACTCTAGGGGCTTGACCCCACTGGGCATTTCCGAAAAGACCCCGAGGACAGACCTCAATGGAAGCAAGACATACCTTTATTTTACATATTCCACAAATGCTTACACGACAGACAGGGACAGCTGCCAAGACCTGGGATGTCTTGTCATAGTGCAGAGACAAGGGAAATGACACTACCGCGCATGACAGGGATGCTAGGGGGAGACAGCACACACTGCAACACACTGGACTGCGCAGCCCAAGCTCAGCCAGAGTTATGCAAAACAAACTCAACTCGTTGATAGCATACCAAAGTCTGTTTTTGTTTTTTTCTTCTTAAACTAGAAGCTAGTACAATGCAATAAAGGCTTACTCTTTATCCACTCTTAGGCCCGTGTTTTACTTGGACCATTCTTAACTGTTCATATTTAACTTCTGCTTTCATGCTGGCATGAGGAAAAGCAGATCCTTTTACGGTATGCTGGGCAACAGTGTGGCTCCAGGCCAGCAGCAGCTTTGCAGCATCACTCACTGGAATGTTTCACAACCCTGTCGACATCCTAGGGAGGCAGGACTCACAACACCGGGGCAGAACCGGAGCAGAGAAGGTTCAGCGAGCTGCCTCAAGTGACAAGTCCCAGGGAGGGAAAGGCAAGCAAGGCTGATTGTCCACAAACGTCATCTTGACACAAACGTTTAAGAAACAATGTCTACAATGGCTTTTCCTTTCTTACAGAAAACAGAATGGAAAGTCATTTTGATTTTCTACAAAAATTCAACCCTCATGGCAGGGTTGGTCTTCAGAACTCAAAGAGTAGAAAATATTTACGAAACGTTATTTTGTAAGCCCCCCCTTTCCTTAACAAAATCCAAATGGCCTGGTATAAAAGTTTCCCCCAGGACAGGTTAAAAAGCATCTACCCCAAGTGTGATTGCTAGGGCAGCATGAGCACAGGCTATGCTGCGGCATACAAAATAGAGGCATACTCCTGTCACTGGGAGGCCAGTACCAAACTGTCTTAAGCTGTGAAAAACGCTTCAAATATAAACTCAGGTTGGGGAATACTGTGTGTAAAGGCTGCCCCGCCAATACCTTTGGTATATAAAATAGTAAGAGTCCCTTGAGAAGCAAACACCCATTCGCCACCTGGAACACACTTCCATAGCCTTCTAACTGCACTACCTCATCTACTCTCAACCACTCACACCAGTCACAGCGCATTTCCGCCCCCCCGCCGGCCCAGTGGCGCAGAGGGAGGGAGGTAACTGCCAACATCTGCCTGACATGACGCCAGCGAGCACACATCCCCCCACGGTCATACACATCCCCTCAACAGACACAAACGTGGACATGACCCAGACCCAAGGGCACCTGCACAACCTCTCAGCCTACTCCCTGACAGTCACTCTTCTGCAAGGACTGCCCAAGGGCCAGCAGCATGCATAGCACCTGGCCAGCTCCCTTGGGGCAGGCACTGTGAGCCGTCAATCACTGGGAGGCTACATTTCATCTCCAAGCAAAGGACAGAGCATCCATTCGGGGCTCAGAAAAGGTCAAAGGTATGGAGTGGATTCCTTGGAGCAGCAGTGGGCTTAAAGCCCAGCTGAAGCAGGAAGGCTACAGGCATGGAGTGGATTCACTGGAGCAGCAATTTGGAGCTCTGCAGGCCACCAGAAACAGGGGGCTGGCTTGGACTGTGAGGGTTGACAGGAAAGTGCCTGCCAGTAGCCAGGGAGGGAGTTTAGCCCACAGTGTGAGGGAAAGCTCAGCTTCCGGCCACACTAGGCTGGGACTCCCAGAAATCACCAGAGGTCTGGGCAGCAAAAGGTTTGCCTCTTACACCAAGCTTTGCACTCAAAGCTACACCGCTTATGACAGTGCAGGCTCATGATGCCCCTATGGTCCTGTCTCCACAGCCCTAAACTCCAGTCACCCCCCACACTGCAGGACAGGTTTATAGCAAAGCAATGCAGACTAGGCTTGGTCCAAACACACAGGAACCAGCAGCCAGGACCCAAGGGCTGCAGGCAAGACACCTCTGGCATCACCAACTGCAGACCCTCTCAGAACAGTCAAACTAAACCCTTCACTGGGTGGCCCCCAGGAAACTCACAAGAGGTCATCAACACCATAAAAATAAATACTGCAAACAAGAGTTCTTACACAGCACACTCATTCATCTTCTCTTCCCATGATCACCAAATAGAGCCTGGCTCAGATTCTCAGCAAAAGTCGGGACGTTACACACAGGCTGTTCAACAGTAAGGGCGTAGACACCTGGTTAAGACAATCAGGTTGCCTGGTGGTGAAGTATCATCTGGCTTATTATAAAAGTGGAAAGATACCAAATATCATCTGGCTTGTTACAAAAGTTATCTGCAGACTCCAGGCGTGCTGGAAGCAGGAGCCCCCGGAGCCTGCCTGTGGGAATCTGCATGGGGCTGGCTGGGAGGGCGGAGGCGAGGAGGGCGCAGGGAGGTCTGGGGTGCTTGTCTGCTCACTGGTGGAGGTGGGCCCGGTCGTCAGGGCGCTTGATGTGGATCCGTCGCACGCGCTCGATCCGTTCCCGCTCCCGCTCCTCATCCTCGTCCAAATGGTGGGAGCGCCCGGCCGCCCCGCCTGTGGCCTCCAGGAGCGCATTGTCAGGTCCCCGGCCATCCTGGGCCTCGTACAGCAAGATATTCAGGGTCTCCTCATAAATCCGAGCTTCAGGAAACTCAACCTGTGACCCCACAGAATACACAGAATACACAGCAGGTAAGGCAGTGCAGAGCTTGCACATACACATGCACACTCATTCTGGAACAGGGCCAGCAGGCTGAGGCAGTCCCTGGGTTCCACTGAAGACTGCCACTGTCATGTTCTATTAGTAACATGTACACACAGTGCTGGGTCCACCACAGACCAAAGGGACCTGGTGAGGTCGTTTCCCTACCTGGGTGGGGGCCTGGGGATGAGGGGGACCAATTCCAGGCACAGACACAGCTCCACATCTAGCCATAATCACCCACTCTACTCAACACCTAGATTCAAATCCCCCTGCCTCCTGTCCCCATCTTAACCTGGAGACCTTGGCCCAGCAGCCATGATCCAGCAGCTCATGCTGATGGACATGCAGCCCAATAGGCCCTGTGCCCACACCCTCCCCAGCAGCAAGCAGTCTTTACAGCTCTTTTCTTCTTACCCAGGTGACAGGATTCCTCCTGGGTGGCAAGGTGCTGTTGCATGCTGCCCCTCATGCTGAGGCACCCTGAAGCCAGGGGCCTCCCAGACACCCGACTCACAGTCTAGACTGCTTTAAGGGACAGCATTCTGAGGCTCTGGCCTTGCAGAAACAGAGTAAGCACATGCCTACTGGGCTTGCTCAGAGAAGCTTCAAGATCAGAAAGAGATGCACATCTAACCAAGTGAGGACCTGCAAAGTCACAGACACAGGTGGCCTGGGAAGGAAGACTTGAATATGAACAGCTGACCAGCAACGAACTTACTGCCCTGTCTGATGAGGGGGACCAATTCCAGGCACAGACACAGCTCCACATCTAGCCATAATCACCCACTCTACTCAACACCAAAATGTCACGAAACGCCAAAATGAGCACCAAGCCACAGCTCTGCGGATCTGCAGCGGCCAGTCTTGCCTCTAGTTTCCTGCCCTCACCTGCAAGCAATCTCAGGGCCACACGGGAAGGCCACAGGAGTCTCCGCCCTGAGGCAGGCTCCTGTGTGTCTGCCAGCAAGGCCCGAATCCCTGCTGCTCTGCTCCCCTGGCTTCGCATTGTCTGGCCTCAGACATAAGCAGAGCTCACAGCAAGTGGGGTGCCCCAAGGGCCAGCTTTCTGGCAAGGTCACTGAAAAAGAAGAGCCCTATGAGGCAGGAAGTACTGCAAAGATTGTAGAGGAAGGGGAGGCCTGAGAAAGGAGCCTGAGCTCTGGGCTCCCTGCAGGGACACCACCACCCCTAACCAGCACACAGGGCTGCGAGAACCAAACAGCACGCAGTCACCACCAGACAGACTGGCTATAGCACAGGACGGATCTGGGGGCTTTGCAAACCACACTGTTCTAGATCCGCAACCCATGGAAGGCTGAGCTTAACAGGGTCAGCTGCCTGTTAAATGCAAGTGCTACCATTCTCCCTAGGCATTAACCAAAACCTAGACTCCTGTTACCGCATTCCAACCACACAGGACAGTTTACAACTTCTTAGAACACACATGACCTTGAAAATTGCAACCCCCCATGGGAAGAGGAACCAACAGGTGCTTGTGCCAAGAGGACAGATGACACTAGGAATGTCTGATTGAGACCTGAATGCTGCCATTAACTGGACGTCCCAGCAAGTCAGGGTACCTGCTTGTAAAGCAAAGAGCAGCACGCACAGTCTTGACAAAGAGATCATGAACATTTTGTAACTAGAAAACACCGCTCCAGCTACCAGCTAAACCACAGCCACCTAACTGGGAGGGTTCAAGAGCAGAGTGGCTGGGCCTGGCACAGTGGCCTAACAGCTTAAGTCCTTGCCTTGAACACACCAGGATCTCATATGGGCACCAGTTCTAATCTCAGCGGCCCCACTTTCCATCCAGCTCCCTGTCTGTGGCCTGGGAAAGCAGTAAAGGACGGCCCAAAGCCTTGGGGCCCTGCACCCATATGGAGTACCCAGAAGAGACTCCTGGCTTCATATTGGTGTAGCACTGGCCATTGTGGTCACTTGGGGAGTGAATCATCAGATGGAAGATCTTCCCCTCTGACTTTTCAACTTAAAAAAAAAAAAGAGCAAAGTGGCCACACAGGAGAACCACCGAGAACACAGACCAATAAAGGGCGGGATTCTGGATTTGATCATCACCGAGTCCTCAGTGAATCAGAACAAAGGAACAAACGGACAGTATCAGCTTTAAGTTTAGCAAGCACACGCTTGCCAAGTGAACTACGGGAGGCAGTTGGATGACGTTAATAGTACAACCTGTTAAGATGCCAAACATTCAAGACAAGTCCAAACGCAGCCACTGGGCACCCCTCTGAGACAGCAAAGCCTGTCAGTTCCAGGGTCCATCTCCCAGAAGTATCCTGTTCCTAGGAGGGTAGCCATCTCTGGCATCAAATTCTCACACTTCCCTGAGGCAGCCATCAAGGCTAGGATAACAGGGCAAAAGCAGGCAGGGATGGCGGGGGTGCAGGAGAGTCCCAACCTCCCATCCAGGCTCTGCCACAGACAGAACACACCCTCTCTGGACCCTGGCTTCTCATCTATACAAAGCTGGCTCAGGCTACAGGGTCTCAAAATGCCTCTGCTTCCTACCAAGCTCTCAAAAGGAGACTGCTCCATATTCTGCAGCTTAATCAGCAGGATGAGTATCCTTTTAGTATCACAGAGGTAACCCTAGTATGTACTAAAAACAAAATCATGACACAATGGGAACCTAGTTACACAAGGAATTCACAGCTCTAATAAAAACTGGTTTACACAGGGCTGGCACTGTGATATAGTAGGCAAAGCCTCCGCCTTGACACTGGCATCCCATGTGGGTACCAGTTCAGTGTCCCGGCTACTGCACTTCCATCCAACTTCCTGTATGTGGCCTGGAAAGCAGCAGATGAAGGCTCAGGTCCTTGGGCCCCTGCACCCATGTGGGAGACCTGGAAGATGCTCCTAGCTCCTGGCTCCTGGCTTTGTAACAGCCCAGTTCTGGTTGTTACAGTCATTTGGGGAGTGAACCAGTAGATGGAGGATCTCTCAATCTTTTTCTCTCTCCTTCCCTCTATAAATTTGCCTTTTTAAAATAAAAAAAAAAAACTTTAAATAAGTAAATTTGAGAGGCAGAGAGATACACTCCCATGTGCTTTCAATGCCCACGATGGCTGGGCCCAGGTCAGATCCAGGAGCCAGGAACTCAGTCCAAGTCTCTCACCTGGCAGAAGGGACTCACCCAGAGTCACCATGTGCTGCCTCTAGGGTCTGCACAGGCGGGAAGCAGGAGTCGGGAGACGAAGTGGGGATTCAAACCCAACACTGCAATAGGGACAAAGACATCTCAACCACAAGTCAAAGTGCCCCCATCCTGTCTCACACCCACTAACTTTGAAAAAACAAAAAGGACCTCAGTGTTTCTCCCTTCTTGAGTACCTTGAAGACACTATGTGTATTTGAAGTTCTATCCTGAATGTTCAGAATAAAACAGGTGAAGAGCAGCAGACATGGATGGAGCAAGAGTGACCAGACCTCAGTGGCCAGAGAATGGGTACACAGGTCACTGTGCTGTTCTCATTCTGGAAATGATTTCAATTTCCCAAAGTAAGTTTGAAAGAAAAAGATGCTTTGTACTTTATGGTCATTTTTCTCTCATTGGTTTCTGCTAGAGGCCAGCTCCAAAATCCTACAGAACTGTTCTAACACTGGAAGGGCAACAGCGATCTGGGCAGGTGACCGACACACTGCCCATGATGTCCAGGGGTGGGACAGGCTGCCAGGCCCACTGTCTGCCACTACAATCAGAAATTCCTCCCAGGACAGACTGAAAAGGAAATAACTATGCATTACTACAGGCGAAAAAGGAAAGAAAACCCACTTGCATAGCCCAAGGAGGGTGGGGAGTGTGCTCTCCTTGGCAGCACACGTACCAAGCAGGGGTGGAAAAGTGAAAGACAGATAGACAGCCGAGCTGTGTATAGGGTGTATAGTAGCACTCTGTGGGGTGATCTGGCTCTGCAGAAGTCAGGCAGCCAGGGGTAAAGAGGTCTACCAGTGCAGAGGGGTCAATGTGCAGACAGACCCTCAGAGCCTAGTCCAGCCAGGCAGCTGAGGAAGCATAGAAGGAAGCCCAAACATGGGAGCCAAGGAAAGTGGAACAGGCCCAGGGAAGCTGGTGGACAAGAGGAGGTCAGACAGATGGGAAGCAGTAGCTAATGACTAGAAAACCAAGGTCAACGGGGCTGCGGCCCTCACCTTGGTCTGCTTCTTCTCCGTGGCGTAGACGATGGAGGTGCAACAGACTTCTGCGATCTTGCGGCCCTGCCCATAGAAGGACCAGCAGCAGATTTCATCCCCGATGACGTCCTTGATGAAGAGGACCCTCCCATTGAAGCGCAGGGACAGCTTGTCAAACAGCTCGATGTTCTTCAACATGTTGTCGTCAGAATTGCTGCAAGACAGCATCACACAGGGTGACCACCGGCCCACAGCAACAGGCATCCTTTGTGGAGCCCTTCTACACGCAAGGCCCTGCAGGGTCCCTTCTCTCCACAGTCTCATTTCAGTGTGACCACAATCACCCGTGAATGGCACTACAGTCTCTGCAGTCAGAAAAAGAAATTCAGGGTCAGAGAAGCCAGGCAACTGTTGGAGGCCAAAAACTAAGAATTGGCAGAAGCCAGGCCTCCAAACCAGCCAGGCCTGACCCTAAGCCTGCGACCCTCCCCAGCTGCTCTGGGAGTCAGATGACACTGCAGATGCAGGGTCTCCAGATGTGGGACAAGAGCACCACTGAGCCACGCTAGCAGCAGTGGGCAGTGCCAAGGGAGACTGTCAACCTTCTGTCAGTTTACAGCCTCACTAACTTCTCCCTTAAGTTCTCGATTTAGCACCCCATGTTCCCATGTTTAGCACCACAAGGCATTCTAGAACCCCCACAGGGAAGGCACAAAGGTATAGCCACTGTGGGGGAGTCTGACAGGTCTTCAAATGACTAAGCCTGGAGCTACCACGTAACCCAGCAACTATGCTTCTCGGAATCCACACAAAGCCTTGTACATGAATGTTCACAGCAGCACTCCACACATCAGCCAAGCAGTGGAAACAACCCAGATGCCCAGCGAATAACGGATATGGACAAACAAAACATGATGGAGAAAAAGAATGCTGCAATGTGACTCAAGCTTGAAAACACTATGCAAAAGCAACATGGATTCCAGTCATATGAGACGAGCGGGAAATGCAAATCCATTGAGACAGAAAGTGGATGAGTGGCCACTAAGGGGTCCAGGAGTTCCTGGTGGGGCAATGAAAGTGTTCTAGACTTCATGGTGACGGCCTCACACCTCTGAGGGCTGCACCTTAGAGAGGTGAGCTGGACGGCGTGTGCAGTTCTCTCTGAAGCTCTCCTTTCCTGTTTCCCCGAGCCTTTCAGAGGCGCAGGGCAGTCAGCTCTCTGGACAGACAAGAGGAGCCGGGCCTGGCTGACAGGAGCAGAGGAGCTTAGCCCAGCGAGGGCCGACGCCTTGGCTGGCTGCCACCTTACCTGGTGTAGGAGTATTTGTTGTTACTTCTATTGTAGAGCAACTTCACAGCTGGCTGTGGAATGTTTCAAAAGAGAAAGAAGACAGTTACTTGGTGTGTAGGTGCAATGAGCCACCAGCTTCCCTCGGGGTTGGGGACCCGCCAGGAGGCAGCAGAGGTAGCTGCAGACAAACAGAGCTTGCTGGCTGACTGGGGGAGCCTGCATGCCCCCACAGCAGTGGGCACACAGAGGAGCCGCTGCCCCCGTCCTCAACTCCTGCTCGGGCCTTGTGAGGACAAGGGCACACTTTTAACTCACAGCTTGTTCCAAAGCACTGCTGTAACTTCAGGCGCCTCTCACATACCTTATTTGAAGTCGCTATAAGTTTTTGCTCTTCCTTGGATGAAGTGATGACAGGAACCTTGCAGAAAGGCTCATAAGTGTCTTTGTTCTGCTGGAACAAAACAGATACTGTCAGCCTGGAGAGTCAGCCTTGTGCTGAATGCACTGTTGGCCACTGGGCAGAGGCAGGCTCCAGCCTGGGGGACGGGGCGGCTCCAGCGAGGGGGGACGGGGCAGCTCCAGCGAGGGGGAGGAGGTGGCTCCAGCGAGGGGGGACAGGGCTACACTCAACAGCCATTAATTAAGACGGGCAAAAGTGAGAGTTGAATTTTCCAGTAGGTCTGCTCTTCGGTTAGGGCTGTCATGGGCAGCAGTGCTCGGAAGACGCTACCAACGGTGACACGTTTTTCACTCAAGAAGTCACTCAAAAAGAAACCCCCAACATGGCAAGTGGAACTCAGTTTTTAACCCCAAGGTCCTAAAACTCCACTGTAATGGCTGCGGAGGCACAGAAAGAGAATACATCCAGAAGGAACAAAATAGCAGAAGTGAGGTCAGCAGACAAAGAGGGTCAACATTTCAAGGTGAGGAGGCAGATGGCTGCCTGGCGAACATCAAGGAGACATGGAAAGGGAGAGGTGGGCGGCAGACAGAAGACAGGGGACTACGGAGAGAACAGCTCTGGGGCTGGTGGACTGAGGGCAAGCAGGGAGGGCTCCAGCCTCCGGAAAACCTCCAGATCTAGCCTGTTCCCAGAAGGGGCTGCTCTGTCCCGGAGCAGATTGCACAGCAAATGATGGAGCCGAGCTTCCACTCTGAGGGGGCTGCCACTGTCCATTCACTTGGCACTGGCAGCAGGGCAAGACTGGACCCACAGCACACAAGACAGAGGACCTCCACAAAAAGGCTCGCTGGGTCTACCACCTGGGGTCTTTCTACACTGAATACAGCAGCTCTGGTGTCTGCCAGGCAGCCCTGCCCTGACCTCCGAAGCCCACTGGATGGTGGGTAGGAAGCCTAAACATGAGATGGAAACCACAACACAAAGAAGAGGGGCGAGGGCCCGGCTGCGTGGCCTAGTGGCTGAAGTCCTCGCCTTGAATACGCCGGGATCCCATATGGGTGCCGGTTCTAATCCCGGCAGCTCCACTTCCCATCCAGCTCCCTGCTTGTGGCCTGGGAAAGCAGTTGAGGACGGCCCAAGGCCTTAGGACCCTGCACCCGCGTGGGAGATCTGGAGGAAGCTCCTGGATCCTGGCTTCGGATCGGCATAGCATCGGCCGTTGCACTCACTTGGGGAGCGAATCATCGGACGGAAGATCTTCCTCTCTGCCTCTCCCCCTCTGTATATCTGACTTTCCAATAAATAAATAAATCTTAAAAAAAAAAAAAAAAAAGAAGAGGGGCGAAGCCAGACAGGTACAGGGGCAGAAAGAAAACTGGGAGAGGATCAGCAGGTGGCCGAGAAGCGCCAGCCAGGGCACCTTCACCAACGTGACCGCATGCTCCACCCGGCAGAACGCGGGGAAGCGCTCAGGAGTCAGAACTCAGAGCAGGAATCAGAGATGCAATAGGAGGACAGAAAAGACAAAACCTGGGGCGGGGGGGGAAATCAGTCATAAAGAATTAAAAGGGAGAAAGGAACTGGCAGGAAAGAAAGTGGGGCCCCAGTCACAGAAGTGTTACCGCAGGCTAACAGAAACCAGACAGGGAAACCGGAGCTGCCAAGAGCAAACAGCCGCCAGGGTCTCCAAGGTGGCTCCACTGACCAGAGACTGACCATCTGTCTGAGAGCCTGGGGCTGAACCGGGCTCATCAAAACAAACAAGACCATGGCTAATTCTGTTAAGTGCAGCTCCACTGGAAACAGCGCCAGCCCTGTCATCTCAGTCCAAATGTCACCCTGCAGACTCCGGTCCCCGACGGGACTGGGGTGACCACTGGGATGAGCTGCCCTGGCGAACGGGAGAGGTATGTGCAGACACCTTGGGGTGGTTGTCTGGGGAGAGGGGTGGGAGCCTAAACTCTAATCTGCTACAGTGGAAAACCAGAGAGTCACCAGATAACAGTGTGAGCACCTTATGTGACCGCATGAAAGCAAGCAGAAACGTGCAAAGACGACTCAGCAGCAGCCCTGCGGGGGAGGGTGCGCAGGTGACAGTGAAGGGTGGCGCTCTGGGTGACACCCCTCGGGTACTGCTTTAGTGATGGGCACGCACTGCTTTAGCAAACATTAGGAATGAAAAAACAATGAGAAAGCAAATGCTGTAACACGCAGTTAAGAGTCACAGTGGGCTCTGGGGTGGCAGCAACAGTTCCTGGAGGAGCAAGGCATTGTGGGCACTGCTCCGGGTTAGAGCCAGTCATCACAGACATGTGGCTTAGGGGAGGCACAGAGCTGCATGTATGCAGATGCCCTACCGCTGAACAGCCCAGTGACTCTCCTGGTCTCCACCCTGCTGGAACTTTGCTGGCTACATTCAGAAGCACGCTGGGATGATGGGATTTATGTTACCCTGGACCCCAAAGGTCCTGTCCCAGTCCAGCTGAGGAAGGGCACCTATAAAAACTAGGCTGGACTAGCAACAATGACCCATGGGGCCAAAGTCCCCAAAATGGGTCTAGAAAAGTGGCCCAGGTCTGCCTGTCCTCCGATTCACTGTATACTCATCCACATGGGTGTCCAACACTGTGGGCCTGCAATGAGCAAGCGCTAGGAGGGAACTTGTACCAGTGCAGCAAAACTCAATCAGCCCTATTCCACACAGAGAGAACAGGGAAGCTAGAAGGCAGGAGTAGGAAGACAGGATGATGCCTACTTGTAGGGCGGCCTGGCACTCCTCCAGCAGGCCCTGGACCAGGTAGTACTTGGCCTCTGCAAGCAGCTCCTCCATCTCCCGACGGCTCTCGGGCAGGGGGACTGCCCCATCGCGAAGGTAGTTGAGGATGGTCCCAAAGTGCTTCCCACAGCGGTCGATGAGGATCCAGCCTGCAGCCAGAAAGCAGTGGAAGGGAAGGTGCTTACCCAGCAGGTCCTAAGGGACAGCTGGCCTACAGGGAGGGGTGTGGCCTCATCTGCCTACCTCAGGGGGCAGGCTCCTGCCACCACCCCAACCCAGACTCCTCAGGGCCTGAGGCTCTGTTGGGGGCCTGTAGGGAATTTCTGCAGCCCAAGAGGAGCACCTCCCAGTGAAAGAAGCACTTCTGGAGAAGAAAGGCCTACCTCTTCCTGCTCCTCCCTTTCTGTGTTTTAGACACTTAAGTAATGGGCAGCTTTCCAGGGAGGATAGCCACAGCTCCAGTGTGTGATCTCTGACACCCACAGTGACCCTACACACTCCCACCTCCAGCACAGGAAGTCTTCTCCGTAACTTCCTGCAAGAAGCGCAGACCAGCAGGGTCAGCAGCTCAATATCACCATGGAAAGGTGTGCCCTGCTTTAGGCAGACATGGAGACAAGCAGATACAATGAAAACCTCCTGGGCTGGGCAAGGGAGCTTCCCCCTCTGTCATACTGCTCCAACCTGCACTAAGAGCTCCAGGGCATTCTGAATCCCCAAGTGGCAATGAGCAGGCCCTAGGGGGTGTCTGAGGCCTGGAAGAAGGGGTGCTGGAGCAGAGACCAGGGACCCCGGAAGAGAAAGGCCAAGCACTGACAGGTGGCCACACAGTGGCTATGTCTCACCCTCCAGCCTTCCTGTCCCTTCCCCAAGGCCACAGGGGCTTAGGTAGGCATCTGTGATGCCCCCACCAGTGACCCTCCACCAGCTCTGCAGAAAGGCCCCCATCTCTGTGCCTTGAGCAAGGAGGAGACAATCCAGCAGCAATATGCCCCGCCCACCGCTGTTGTGCCCACTGCCCCAAGTGAGGGCCCCTCCCTGTTGGGGGAGCAATTCACGACTGCTCTCAGCAACCTGCTGGGAGTTTAATAACAAGGCTATTTCTATGCTCCCTTCTTGCAATTCAGCTAGCCTGTTCAGTCTCTACTCACCCCTCCCCCTGCCTTCCACTTGGCCCTCCCACATGGCAGGCAGTGGCTTCTAGAGGACAGAGAAACATGGGCCCCCACGGAGGGCAACCACAAGCAAAGGTGGGGTTTGCAATCAGGCCCCGGCTGCCCGGAAGGAAGAGGCCCTGCCGGCGGCCCATCACACCTCCCTGCCGCAGCAGCCAAATGTCTTCCCATGTTCTCCCACAGACAGTCCGTACCATACACAAACACCACTTGGCTTCTTTTGCAACTTGCATGCTTGGGGGCTGGGGAGGGAGGTGTAGATGCCTACAGGGGGAGGGGGGAGGAGGAGGCTTAGCTCAGGCCAAGCAGAGCATGCATCCCAAACCACGGGCAGGTCACCTCTTCCCACTCCAGCCCAGGGGCCAACCAGCGACCTGGGCCCAGGGCTGCCAAAACTCACATGTTGCAAGTAGTGCCAGAAATCCACATTGCCTTGTGACTCTCCTGGTTATTATAGGATAATAAACTTATTAAAAATGACAAAGCTGCCACCAGCCCATTACAGGGCAAACCCACAGCTGTGCAGCGTGATCTGTGCCACCCGAGGCAGCGCTTGGCTTTGCCAAAGCAGACAATGTGTGCAAATACTGAAGCCCCTCGCAGGGGTCTCAGAGAGGCAGACTCACCCTCGAGTTCTCCCAGACAAGGGGAGGCTCAGCAGCCTTGCAGAACACAGAGAGCAGGGCAGGGCAAGCCAGCAAGAACAAGGACGGACTGCACATCCAGGCTCCTGTCCTGGCAGCTGAGATGCAGTCAGGGATGCCACGTCCCCATCTCAGAACCCAGGCTCCTGGGTCAGCCCTGCCTGTGACAGAGATAAATCACAGGAAAAAAGATTCTCTCTGCCTTTCAAAAAAAAAAAGGGGCGGGGGGGGAATGATGGCAGGGGGATTTTTTGAAGTAGAACCTCAGCCTTGAAGAAAATGGCAACCAAGCAGTCAGCTGCTGAGGGCAGAGCACACTGCCTGCTCACTGCAGTGTGCACCGAGAGCAGCGCCCCCAAAGCCATCCCCCGGGGCCCAGCCAGTTTCCACAGATGAACAGGCGGAGCTTGACGCGGGCTCTGGCTCAAGAATGCCGCCAGGAAATGCTTGTGGCGAAGGAATCATACTTTGGACAAATAAGGGCAAAGAGGCCAGGCACGCGCTCCATGAGGTTCCAATTAGCATCCTGACTCAGGAACCTTTCAGCTGCTTTTGAAGCAGGGACCCTGCCCCATGCATGCTCACAATGCAGAGCATTGGAAAAGCAAAAGCCAAGTCCAGGGGCTCCTTGCTGGGGCGAAACGAGGAGAGGCTCTTTCCTGCCACCTGGATGTGTGGGAGCAATTCACGGACGCTGTCCTGTCAGGGCCAGGCTGGAGCCAGGGCAGGCTGGGACCTAGGGTGCCTCCCACACCAGATCATGGGCTGATGTTGGGTGCCGACACGCTTAATGTTGTCTCTAAGCAGCAGGATCTTCTAAAACTGGCATCGCATGAGGCTGGCACAAAGACAAGACAGGAGAACAAACACCAAACACGCAGTACAAGGCTGGCTGGCTTTACTGGCAGCACCCTAAATCAGCCACAGGGGGGTTTTATTTTGTTTTGTTTTAAAGGCAGAACAACAGAGACAGATATCTTCTTAGCTGCCAGTCCACTCCCCAAAGAGCCACAATAAAGTTGTGCCAGGTTGGAGCCAGGAGCTCTGTGCCAGGCTCACACATGGGTGGCAGGGACCCAGGCACTTGTGCCACCATCAGCTGCCTTCCCTGGAAGGCTGGCAGCTTGCAAGCTGGGCCTCAAACTGGTACCCAGACACGGGATACTCAGTATCTCAATACAAAATCTCAAGCAGCACCTTAGCATGCTGTGCCACAACACTAGCCCAGCTATAAGTCTTTGACACTGAACTCTTCACCTAACTCATCATTACTGTTCAAAGACAGAAAAGAGGCACAAGCCCCAGCCCAGGAGGGAATCCCTGGGGCTCTGTGGGTTGGGGCTTGATTGGGTCAATAGGCTCACTTCCTCCCCAGTCCCAAAGGTGTAACACACACTGTGTCTCTGGGGGTGACTGGCCTTCTCTTTTAATTTCCATACCTCTTCCAGGGAGCCTTCGCTGATTTCTCCTGGCCATATTAAGTGCATTGGTGGTTCCCAAACTTGCCTGATGATGAATTTCATTCACGGTTTCTGTGAAAGGGGCTGGCGCAAGAGCTCAATTGGCTAATTCACCACTTGAAAGCACCAGCATCCCATGTGGGCACTGGTTTATGTATCAGCTGCTCCACTTTCCATCCAGCTCCCTGCTTGTGGTCTGGGAAAGCAGTGGAGGATGCCTCAAAACCTTGGGAATCTGCACTTGTGTGTGAAACCTGAAAGAGGCTTCTGGTTCCAGATCAGCTCAACTCCGGCCATTTGAGGAATGAAGCAACGGATGGAAGATCTTTCTATCTCTCCTCTTTCTAAATCTGCTTTCTTTCCAATAAGAATAAGTTAAAAAAAAAAAAAAAAAGATACTTGTTACAAATTCTGAGTCTAGGAACCAGCCTCATTCCTGAGAGCATTTGGGAAGAGAAACAGCAAATCAAAGATCCTCTCCCTTTCTCTATAACTCTTTTTTTTTTTTAAAGATTCAAATAAATCTTAAAAACACACAGAGGGCAGTGATGTGACTGTAGCCCCAGCAGGGGTGCCCACATCCCGTATCAGAATGCTTGAGACCAAGTCCCACCTGTACTTCCTGCTGGACCCGGGAGGCAGCAGATGATGTTTCAAGCACCTTGGGTCCCTGCTGCCCACATGGTTCTTAGCTTCAGCTACTGCACACATCTGCGGAATGAACCAGCAGATAGAAGATCGGTAGCTCTTTCAAATAAATAGAAATAAAAATATTAAGTTGAAAGAAAAAATTGCTAGGGTCAGCACTAAGCCTCTACCTGCAGCGCTGGCACTCACCCCGCACTGGCACTGGTTTGTGTTGTGGCAGCTCCATTCCCACCCAGCTCCCCTCAAAGGTGCCTGGGAAAACAGCCAAAGATGGCCAAAGTAGATGGGCTCCTGCAACCACATGGGCAACCTGGAAGAAGCTTCAGCCCAGCCCTGGTATGGCTGTTGTGGCCACTTGGGGAGTGAAGCAGCAAATGAAGATTTCTCTGTCTCTGTAAATCTGCCTTTTAAGTAGAAATAAATAAATCTTTAAAACAAGAAAAAAAAACTGTCGGGACAAGTCAGACTGGGAGAAGGCCAATATAGAACCACAAAGACATAGGATGCTGAGCATAAGCTCTGTGAAGCAATAAACGTGTCCGCAAGGATGCTGCAACCTTCTGGGGAGTGAACCAGTGGACAAAGATCAAATAAATACATCATCTCTTAAAAATTAGGTTATTTGGGCCCGGCGCGGTGGCGCAAGTGGTTAAGGTCCTTACCTTGCACGCCCGGGATCCCATATGGGCGCCGGTTCTAATCCCGGCAGCTCTGCTTCCCTTCCAGCTCCCTGCCTGTGGCCCGGGAAAGCAGTCGAGGACGGCCCAAAGCTTTGGGACCCTGCACCCGCGTGGGAGACCCAGAAGAGGCTCCTGGCTTCGGATCAGCATAGCATCGACCATTGCACTCACTTGGGGAGTGAATCATCGGACGGAAGATCTTCCTCTCTGTCTCTCCTCTCTGTATATCTGCCTTTCCAATGAGAAAATAATAAAAAATAAATCTTTTAAAAAAAAAAAGTTTGTTATTTGTTTATATGAAGGGTACAAAAAACAGATTCCATCAGCTGGGTCACTCCCTAAAAGCCTGCGAGAGAGAGGGCTAAGCTAGGCAGAAGCCAGGAACCCAGAGTCCAGGTTTCCTATATGGGTGGCAGGGAAGCAAGAACTTAGCCATCATCTGCTGCCTCCCATGGTGCACCTCGGTGTGCTGGATTGGAAGAATAGCCAGGACTCCAACAACACCGGGTGTGGTGTCCCAACCACTGACTTAACTGATGGGCCAAGCAACCCTTGGATGGAAGGTGGGAGCCAGCGAGCCCGGAGTTCAGGAGCACCTTTCCCAGCCCTGCAGTATCTGAGAAAGCACGAAAGTGCAGCCGTTCTTGCTCTGCCCAGCCCTCCCACAGAGTGCGGTCAACAGTCCCCACCTACACAGAGTCCTGGAGGCTACAAACCTCCGGGCAGGGCGCTTCTACAGTGAGGAGGGCAAGGAGCTCAAGGGATGTGATGCTGCCAAGGTCAGGGGGTAGGGGGATCAGAGGTGCTGGGTTTATCAGGCAGCACCAGGTGAAAACCATCCCTTGGCACTCAGAATGTAGGCAGTGCCGTTGACTCCACATGCCCATCATGTCCAGCCGGGGGATGGCATGTGAAGATTGCGTCTCATTTGCAAAGGGGCACTGTGGGACCCAAGGGCTTCCTAGGAACAAAGGCTTCCTTCTACCAGGCTTTCCAGGCCTCCTAAGCCTCCCAGCGGCTTTCCCCTGCCCAGAGACAGAAAAACCCGAGCAATCCTGGCTTCTCGGCTGATGTCCATTTCCTCCTGTACCTGGGGTGCTACTGTCTTCATTTCTGCTAATACTCCAGGGCATTGTGGGGTGTGGCACAGCAACTGGGCTCCTCCACTCATAAAATGCTAAGAGAACTTCTGGGTGAGACACGGATGACAGCTCTGGGGCTCCGCCCTCACTGAACTGCAGCTTGGCCTACAACCAGGGTGCACAGGAAGTCCAGGGAAGCGGGACCTCGAGTCCCACCTAGGACAAAGCAAGCCACACCCAAACCGGCCGGCAGTTCCACCTTCAGCCTGCTGAGGATCACAGAGTGAGGTATTACACAGCAGGCTTTGGCCCCCAACTTCACTTGGCTTGAGTCAAAACTCGCCCACCCTTGCACATGCGTGTCCCTGGCAAGGTGAGGGCATCAGTGCAGAATGCCAGTCTTGAAAGAGCAAAGGCAGTGGGCCTGGCGCAGTGGCCTGGTGGCTACAGTCCTTGCCTTGCACGTGCTAAGATCCCATATGGGCACCAGTTCGTATCCCAGCCACCCTGCTTCCCATCCAGCTCCCTGGTTGTGGCTTGGGAAAGCAGTCGAGGATGGCCCAAGGCACTGGGACCCTGCACCACATGGGAGACCCAGCTCCAGGCTTCAGATCAACTCAGCTCTGGCTGTAGCAGTCACTTGGGGAGTGAATCAGCGGAAGGGAGATCTTTCTCTCTGTAAATCTGACTTTCCAATAAAAATAAGTAAATCTCTTTTTTTAAAAAAATGAGCAAAGGCAAGATCCAGCCACACCAAGGAACGGGGATATACTTGAGCCCCAGGGAGCAGCCCTCTAAGCCAGGTAGATAAGCATGTAGTCCCTGCAGGTGCTCACTGACTGCTCCACATGGGACACATCCTCCAGCAGTTCTGGCAGTCTTTTTTGTACTATGTCAGCATCCATGCCTTGTAAACACTATAACCTTACAAAAGTTAATTCATCTCCCAGAGCCATCCATTCTTGGAAATTTCTCTTTCCAATCACTGTCCTATAGAAAACAATGGACCGTACTTTATAAAGTTCTCTATGTAAGGGAAAAAAGGAGCTACTTTTGCCAAGACCACCTCAAAACAGTTCCATGCCACTGAAAGCTGACACCATAGGGTCAGAGTCAGAGGACAGGGCAGCTTACAAGTGACCAACGAGAACAGCTGGCTCAGCCTCCATGTTTCAGATGAACAGGCTGAGGCTAGAGTGCAGCAAGAACCATCTCCCAATCACACAGCCAATCAATCCGCATCTACACCCTGCATGTCGTCAGGCCTCAGCTTAAATACCACTTCCTCCGGGAAGCCCTCCCTGCCACAGCCCTCAGGCTGCATCTTGTCTCTCTGGGACACGTAGCAACACTGAGCTCAGCTGGAGACTGGCAGCTTGTGGTCAGACATGCAAGCCAACGCAGATAAGTGGGGGCGGCTTACCTTCGCTGTCGGTGAGCACCTCCATGCGCCCACTGAACATGGCTTTCAGCATGGTGTCCTGCTTGGTCAGCGTCTGCATGGTGGTGTAGTAGAGAGCCCCACCCACATTCAGCTTCACGTACTTGGAGCTGGGACTCGCGCCCTTGAAGGAAGTGGTGCGGGTGGCAGCCGCTGGCACCGCTGAGCTCACCACACTTTCTCCTGACATCTCTTCCTGCCAGTAGAGAAGACACAGGGCATAGCATGGGGTGAGTTTGCCCCCTTGCAGTTGGTGTGCTGAATCTGGCCTCAGTGTGTTCTGCTGTGCACACATGTGCACACGCTGCTCTTAGAGCCCGCTCCCAGCATGGACAACTCTGGCCAGAGAAGAAAAGTCTGCATTTCTGGCTTCTCCTGAGGTCAGTGGGCAAGAGATCAACAACTGGTGCAGGCTGGAAACCAACTGGCCCCTGGAGACTGCCCACTCAGGCAGCCAGGACACCTGCTGACTCCTATTGCAGGGACTTCCTCCTTGCCCAGCAACCCTGGGAATGGGCGCCCTGGCTGTCTTCTATAGTAGGCTGTGCACTGCCCGGGCCTCTCTGTTTCCTCACTGAATAGCCCTAAGTGCCATCTTTTAGCTGAATTACACACAAAATTTGCCTTTATGTGACTGCTGGAATTCCAGATCCCACGCCTCACAGTTCCTGTGGAGAGAAAGTGTCTCCCCGGCCTAACAACAGCTGTATACTGCTGCAAAAACTTCTGGCCATGATGCCATCAGGAGGCCTAGGAAAGGGACTCCCAACCAACACTGCCTCAGTGAGAGATGGAGAAGATAGCCCTGGGGGGCACCCATCTTCCCTGAGCGTGGGGCACAGCCCCAGACAGGACAAGGCAGCCCTGCTGGCCGAGAGCTAGCCCCAGCCTCATAGCAAGGCCCTGGCACTCCACGTGAATGTGGATGACTTCATAGCACATCACCAACAGACTAGGCCACTCTGTGATTGTGACGCAGTATGACCAAAATGAGGCCATCCCCCAGTCATGTCTGCACACAAACACAGACATGATGCAGGACATGCGATCGAAACACCTCCCCTGTCCTGGCTAACTCAAGTGGCTGCTGTTTATTCGTCCAGCTGGAGTTTGGCCTGGATCCACTCAGGGCCCAGGTCAAAGAATCGGCGCTGCTTGTCAGTGGTGCCCAGGGCTTTTGTATGGACCCAGCCCACACTGTCCCTGGAGGCCACAAGGACAGTTTGTGTCCACGCATGAACACAAGCGAACCTCTGGTGGTGAATGCACAGATATGGCAGCACACAACTTTCCTGATCAGTCCCTGATACTGAACAGGCCTTCTTCCCAGTTCTGTGTGTCTTTCTCCCTCCTCCAGATTGTCCACAATGCACACAGGTTTATTAACCAACGAGACACACATGCACCCAACTTTCCCAGGGAACATGGGCTGGGACTGGCAACCCTGTCTGCATAGAGAGGAAGGCAAGGCTTGGCAGCAGGCTACATGTCATTCAAAGCTATACGGCTTTCCACCCACCCCCTCACCCAGGGAGCCTGGGTCAGGCGCTACACACGTGTCTTCCAGCATTAGGGGAACAGCACAAGAAGGCAGGTGTGCAACAGCTCAGGCACGGCTCCCGGCATCTCTGAGGCCCCAGGTCGGGTATGAAGGGGAACAGGTCAAAAGGAAGCAGCTGCTGTCCTTTGGAATCAGGCCCAGGCTGCCCTAGCACTTCCCTCAGGAGCACTCAGGCCGCGCTGCCTGCCAGCGGGAGGGCAGACTTTGAAGAAGGGGTGGTGGGGTTACTGGGGCTTACAGTAGTGTGCATCAGTTTTTGTTTTTTCCGGGGGAAGCAAGATGGTATTAAGGAAATCTGCCCCCAAAATGAAAACGCTTTTACTTTTTCCAGTACCCTGCTGAGATCTAGACTTAGCAGGCAGTAACTGTGTTCATGGGCTTCAGCTAAGCTTTTATGCCCACTATGAAAGAGACCGTGCACTTCTGTACCTCCTTTGGTTTTCTGATACCTGTTCTACGTACAAATGCTGGTGCCAGTCTGACAGGCTTTGATCAGCTGCACAGCCCCCACCCCAGCGGCAACAGGACACATTTCCATGGCTCCAGAAAGCTCCTGCATGATTCTCCACTAGTTAACTTCTACCACCACATCCAACTTTGTAAACACAAACACCGCTGGAAGACAGCTACCATTATTTCCAGTGAGGATGCAGATAGCACCCCCCAGGGAGGACAGTCAATCCCCAAAGCTGGAGGGGCGGCGGTGGCAAGCACGGTTAGGTTCCCTCCTGCTTTAGCAACAGCTGTTTGGAGCTAGAACATCTATGCTGACAAAGTCCAAAGCTCCCCCCCAAAGGCTGGAGGCAATGTGTGGCTAAGGGACCACGCATGGCAGCCAGACCAGTGTCGGGTCCCTGGTCCTGGCGCTCAGGCGCTATGGGAACTCCAGCAACACATCCCTCCGCAGTCCTATCTGTCCCACAGCCATGTCCCCTTCAGAGAGCTGACATGAACGGGACTCAGCGCAGACTCTCCTTCTAAGCAAACGCCCCACCAGGAAACATCAGCTAACACTCTCCGAGTCTCAAATGAGCTCCTCTCTCAGCACTGCTGGCACCCTTCAGCAGACCTGATTACAGAGCAACAAGGAATCGGCCTGCTTCCACTGGAGACCGCAGGTTGAATATCACCTATCCTACCCTTTCCCAGAGCCTGCGGATGCCAGGGCTCAGCCAGGCCAGCAGAGGCTGAGGCCCCGCTGGAGAAAAAGTGGGGGGTGAACTGAGGACACAGCAGGGGACATGAGTAAACCTGTCTGGGGAGTGCTCTCCTGGGCCGCTGGGCAGGGATCTGCTGTTTCACTTCTTTCACAGGGTGGAATTCATTACCAGTGAGCATGGAGACACCGCGAGGGAGAGGCAGGATGAGAACACACCTGAGGGGCCCGGCGGCAGGGCCTAGCGGCTAAAGAGAACACACCTGAGGTGCCGGCTATAGCTTCTAGCTCACTAAAACCACCACCACCTAACACAGATGGTTAAGGCGCCCACCCTTCCAACATCCCCTCCTGGGGTATGGCTGTCACATCTGAACAGTGGTTCTCCTTCAGCCACACAATAAAATCATCTATGCAGCTTGAAAAAACACTGCTGCCTCAGCTTACCCTTTGAAAATTCTGGTATAACTGGGCTGGGCTGTGACGAAACGCCCAACACTTCCCCCAGGAGAACCTAATACCAAGATTCCAACGTACTGCTCCAAAGAGTTCAGTTCCTCTGAATTCAGCTACAGCTCAGTCGAGGACTGGGGAGAAGCACCCAGACCTCCAGCACCATAGGCCTGGCTCATTCCTGAAAAACTAAAAACACAAGAACAAAAGCCAAGCCGCCAGCTCAGAGTTTCAGCGCCACAGGCAGGAAGCGACCAACTGTACACACCCAAGGAACCATGGGGTGCAGCTGAGAGGGACAATTCCTCCATTGGAAAGGAAACCCAGGCAAGCACGGTTTGCAAACAGGCACCACATCCCTACAGTTCTGTGTATAACTGGATTACCAGACAGGAAATGTGCACTACAATAACTCCACCCCCTTCCAGCGCAACACTCAGTCAGCCTCCCGCTTCATAAAATGGAATCTTCATAGCTATAATTGTTAAAATGACCCTCAGGGGGTCCAGTTCAATGGCTCAATTAGCCAATCCTGCCCTCTGCAACCCGGAATACCATATGCGTGCCCCCCAGCTACTGCACTTCCCATCCAGCTTCCTGCTTGTAGCCTGGGAAAGCAGTTGAGGAGGGTCCAAAGCCTAGGGACCCTGCACCAGCATGGGAGACCCAGAAGCAGCTCCTGACTCAGATCAGCTCTGACCACTGTGGCCACTTGGGGGTGACCCAGTAGGTGGAAGAGCTTTCTCTGTCTCTCCTCTCTCCGTAAATCTGCCTTTCCAATAATAATAAATTTTTTTAAAAATTATCCTCAGGGAAGGATATCCCATTCATCCTTAGTGTGGTTTCCACTCTGTGCCTGAAGTTCCAAGCCCCACAGCTCCCAGAGCTAAAGACCAGAGTGGCCTGCTGGGCTCACTGGGGTCCTGGGGTGGGGGAGGCTCAGGGCCCACCCTTGATGGGCTCTTCAGGGCATTCTGAGCTTGCCCCAGCCTCAGTGTCGTGGAGCTCAGGTGTTTAAGCAAGCCGGTTCTAAGAAACACCAGGGGAGCACGGCGAAACCGTCCGAAGCTTCCCCAGATGGAAAGCATTTCCTCCACGCGGAGCAGTCCGCCACTCCATTCCAGCCAAGCTGAACCCAATCAGTCCCCGGCATCCCAAACGGGTGAATTCCACACGTCCCACCAGGCGGCACTGTCTTCTGGTGTGTAGCAAACAAACTATCGGCCTATTTCGCTCGAAAGTCTGGCAAAGCAAGGCGTGGAATGCAGAGGAGACTAGGAGTTAGAGTTCTAAGGGCCCCTCTGCCGCCAATTCTAACAGGCAGCCATAAATCGCTTACTGAAGCTCCATCCCACGACTACCAGGGCTGGGACAGCAGCAGAAACAAATCCCAGGTGATGCTGCTGGGCTGGGAGGGAATCCGAGGCCCACCTGTGCCACCCACCTTCCCCTTGGCTAGCCTGCTCTGTACAAAGTGGAGATCATAATCAGAAACACCTGGACTCGCTTTCTTCTGCCCATGGCCTTGTGCTAGACCCTACCCCGCCCCCCGAGCCAGTGACAACAGGGACAAAGAGGATCTGAGCTGTGTTCCGGGCCACCCCCACCCACGGACAAAGAGACACTCACCAAAAAGACCTGTGAGGATCTCAAGCCCACAGCTGAGAGGCAGCAGGAGAGACAAGTCGGGATGCCCAGGTGTGGCCACCACAAAGGAAGTGACTACACGGGGACCCAGGAGGGCAGGCCAGGCCCCTTGACCTCAGGCCTCTGGCATCCCTGCCCTGAACCCCAGGCCTTGGACACACAGCCCTCCCCTGAACCCCAAGCCTTGGACGCAGACACACACATCCCTCCCCTGAACCCCAAGCCTTGGACGCGAACACACACATCCCTCCCCTGAACCCCAAGCCTTGAACAGGGGCACACACACCCCTCCCCTGAACCCCAAGCCTTGGACGCAAACACACACAGCCCTCCCCTGAACCCCAAGCCTCGGACACGGACGGACGGACACACACACACACACACAGCCTGAGGGCTCCCCTCTTCACCCTCCTCCAATCATCCCGTGCTCAGCCACACCTGGAACGTGCTTCCCTGCCAGGTGACCGCGGGATCCCAGCCGCTCCGCCCCGGCTCATCTTCCTCTACCCGTTCACTGCTTCACGACTCCCCTCCGCACCCCCCACCTTCACCCTCACCTTTCCCCGCCGAATGCCCACTGTCAGGGACATCTCTTTGTTCGCAACAGACACCGCTTCGACCCTCGCAAACCCCCTCCCCACTCACCCTTCAGTACTCGGCACGCCCAAGTGGTTTTCCCCCATCCCCAAAAGCCAGGGACACCCAAAGCCCTTCCCCCACCCGGACCTCGCCCCCTCTCGTTTCCCAATTCCCCCCTAACCGAGTGTCGCTCGACTACCGCGACTGCCCCCGTCTAGGCTCCCTTGCCCTCCACTCAGCCGCTTTCCGTCTCTGGCGGCCCCCCAAAAGCTCCCAATTGGGGGCACCGCCCTCCTTACCATGAAAAGCCGGAGAACGCCGGACTGTCCACACCCGCAGACTGAGAGGCAGGAAACACCCAGCTCACGCGAGCCACGGGCGGAGGCGGGGCCTGGGCGGGGACTTCCGCTGCACGCCCGCCACTTCCGCCCCGCAGAGGGCACCTCCTTAAAACATCCGTCGCAGCCCTAGGCGTCGACAGCTTTCGTTTTCAAGCTTCACGGCAAGCATCGATTCCGCTCCGCTTCGGTTAGGTCAAATATCTATGCCGTCCCCTAAATGCTTCGCCTTTTCAGCCGCCAGAAAGGAAGACGAGGTGCGGGAAGGCCTTCCTTCCAGGGTGAAGTCTGGCCGCGGAACTGTCGTTTCCCGGAACTGAATATCTGCTTCTTAGGCGGAGTTGGAAAAGCGAACACCCCGGGGCAAGATGGCTGTCCGGGCTGGGTCCCTGCCCCGGGTCTGGCCAAATTCGGGGGTATCGGGCTGAAGCGGTAGTAGCTGCGGCCCCGATTCCGAGCCCGGGAGGGCTTCCAGCAGATAAGGGTCCTCGGCCTGTGGGTAGCGAGTGGGAAGAGTCGTCGGCTTTCCGGGGGCGGTGGGACTGGGGAGTTTGAAGAAGGCCGAGTCGGAGAGTTCAGGTGCTGGGGAGCTGGCTGGCTTTTGGGAAGCAGGAGAGACCCTCCTCCGCTCTTCCCATTTCGTTCCCAACCTGGGGTGACAGTCTTCACTAGAGGACTAATGCTGGGAGGAAAAGACCTGTTCTTGTTGATGCGAAAGAAAAGCAGCGGGCTTCAGGAATCGCCCCGGCTGGGAGTCGAATTGTGTTCGCTCGCTGTGTGACCTCGGGTGAGTTCCCTCACCTCTGTGAAATGGAGTGGTTGGTTCGTCCTACGAGGGGGTCTTAGGTCTCAGCGCGATGCCTGACACCGAGCAGGAAAACCCGAAGTTCCACTCCCACAGAGTCCCACTGCAGCCTTGCGTTCTAAGCTTCTCTCTGCTGCATGGAGGAGCCTTGAATTCTGTGTTAATTAGCAATAAATCATTGCTTTGACGTTTTAAAAAGCAGGGTAGGGGCTCCAGCTCAGGAACCCAACAGCCTCCAGCAAGTCATCACACACACACTGCCTTGCGTCGTCCTGGGGAAAGGTTGGGGTTTGTAACAACGTCCCCCTCCCTAGATAGGCTGTAACTTTCAATAGGAATGTTATTACAAATCATTTGTTCTCTCAAATCATTCTTGAAGAAGTTTCAAGATTTAATATTTTTGTAAATTCCCAAGAAGGAATTTTGACTTGCCAGACACAAGGTTGATTTCATTCCATTCATCTGTTGATGTCATTGAAATGACTCCCCCTTCCCCAACCTCCCTTACGGTTAGAAACGCCAAAAGTCTTCAGTGTTATAACATAGCACAGTATTTGCATCTAACCTGTGTACCTTCTCCTCTTGGCTTCCCATGTAAACAAATGTATTGTTTAGGGATTGACAAGCGAGTATCCATGTTCAGTAAAGACTGAATATTTTCCAAAATCTTTTTTTGTTTAGGGATAGATTTATCCCAAGAGCACAGAAACAGAGGGTTCTCATCCACTGGTTCTCTCCCCCAATACCTGCCAGGGCTGGGACTGGGCTGGGCTGAAGCCAGGATTTATTTATTTAGCAGGAAGCTGGAATGGAAAGTGGAACTGGGGCACAACCTCGGGGACTCGAATACGGGACCTGAGAATCTCCAGTGCCCTCTAACCACCATATGTAACACCCACCCTTTTAAGAGTATTTTCCTTAAAAAGAAAAGTTATTATTTTTATTGGGAACACAGATTTTCAGAAAGAAGGATTTTTCCATCTGCTGGTTCACTCCACAGATGGCCACTGTGGCCGAATGTGAGCTGACACAGAGCCGGGAGCTTCTAGGTCTCCCATCTGGGTGCACAGTCCCAAGGCTTTGGACCAACCTCAACTGTTTTCCCAGGCCACAACCAGGGAGTTGGATGGAACATGGAGCAGCTGGGACACGAACCAGTGCCCATGATGGGATGCCCGTGCTTAGGGGTGGAGGATTAGTCACTGAGCCATCGCACCAGGCCTTGTTACAAGCTTCTTAGGGACAAGACAGAACAGCACACTCTTATGCCACAGGCCTCTGGTTATTCCTAAGTGTTACTTTTCTGTTCTCAGCAATGAGTCATTGAAGGTAACAAGAAGGGGGACTGCTTAGGTAGCCCTGGGAGTAGGTGCTATTATTTTTCTCAATTTACCAATGAGGAAATTAAGATCCAGGGAGGTATCAGTTAACAACCCAAGTGAGAGGTGGGCTCAGGACTGACAAGAAGCCAGAGCAAGGCATTTCCCTGCTCCATACAGCCTTCTGGCTGGCTCTCCTCACGTGTAACAGAGCTTACTAGATGCCTCTGTATTGCATGGGCCTGATGACCTCTGGTGCACTGTGTGCAGGTGGAGGAGGTACCGGAGCTCAGAGAGAAACTGCTAGAGTTGGCTGTTGTGCTGTGGTGCATGTGGAAAGCAGCAGGAAACCTGGCTGAGGGATGATAACCTCCAGGAAGGGCTCTTGTCCTGGCACGAATTGCCTTGACCCTTCCTGTGAGGTTCATTAAGAAGAGTCTCCCTCCTGTGTCCCTCCCCCTCCCTAACCCTTACTCCACTTCTGCCAAGGAGGGGCTGTCTTTGTCTCCAGGGTATGGAGAGGCCATAGCATTGTGGTCAGGCTTGTGCTCCGAGATATATATATATAATTTCTTTTTTAAGATTTACGGTGAGAGAGGGATATTCCATCCACTGGCTCACTCTCCAAATAGCCACAACGATCATAGCTGGACTGCCCATGATGTAGACCCAGAGGCAGCTCCCAGCTTTCAGCCTTGGATCTGCTCAGCGCTGACTGTTGGCGGCCATATGGGGAGTGAACCAGCAGATGAAAGATCTCTCTGTCACTCTGTAACTGTGACTTTCAAGTAAAAGTAAGTTTTAAGAAAAAAAAATCACACATACTTCCATGGCTTTTTAGTATTCTGTCATCACCATCACAGAGCACAAACTTTGATTCAGTATTTGTTTTTTAAGATTTACCTGTTGATGAAAGGCAGAGATCTTCCGTCTGAAGGATCACTCCCCAGATGGCTGCCATGGTGTTGATTAGGCCAGGTGGAAGCTAGGAACCAGGAGCTTCTTCCAGGTTCCCCACATGGATGGCAGGGGTCAAAGCACTTGGGCCATCCTCCACTGCTTTCCCAGGCCACAAGCAGGCAACTGGATGGGAGGCGGAGCAGCTGAGACACAAACCCGCTACACCACAATGCCGGCCCCAGGGGTTATACCTCTTTAAATTGTGAGGACTGGAGAGATGGTCTTTGCATTTGTAGGAGATATGAACAGAAGAGGACCCCAGGGGTGTTTGTTTAAGTCTGGACTGTGTGTGAAAGACTATGCCCAGCAAGGAGCGTGTTTGACACCATCCCAGTGAAGCCTAGAACCCTGAGTCGAGAACTCTCTCTCCTGCTTCCCCCAGAGAGCAAGACTGTCCGCAGCTGTGAGGCTTGAGCAGCATCCCTCATGACTACCTGACGTTTCTGCGAGGTCCACAGGTAAGCGCTATAGACACACACACACGCTCGGACAGCCCAGGAGGTGGGAGAGCCTTTCTCTCCCCCAGCTTCTCACAAGCCATCCCAAGTCAGGCAGGCCTTGTCCCTGTCTCAAGAGTTGCTGATGACAACCACTGCCCCAGGCAGTATGGAGATACCTCCAAAAAAAAAAAAAAGGTCCCAGCACAGTAGCCTGGTGGCTAAAGTCTTCACATTGCATGCGCCAAGATCCCATATGAACGCCAGTTCATGTCTCGACTGCTCCACTTCCCGTCCAGCGCCCTGCTTGTATCCTGGGAAAGCAGTCGAAGATGGCCCAAAGCCTTGGGACCCTACACCTACATGGGAGACCCACAAGAACCTCCTAGCTCCTGGCTTTGGATCAGCTCAGCTCTGGCTGTTGCAACCACTTGTGGAGTGAATCAACAGATGGAAAATCTTTCTCTCCTCCTCTCTCTAGATCTGACTTTCCAATAAAAAAAAAAAAAATAGAAATAGATTCACCTTATGACCCTGTGGCCACTGCAAGACATAAAGCCAAGGGAAATGAGATGGGTTTGTCACAAAGCTGTTTTCAGACCCATGTCGATTCCAGTTCTGGTTTGGAATCAGCCTAAGTATTCAACAATGAATAAACAGGTTGGAGGGCAGGGTAACATAGATGCCATGGAATCCCATTGTACGCAGAACATAATAGACACCTGACACTTGTGGCTGCACGGCCGGCCTGAAGACGTTCTGTCAGGGGAAACGAGGCAGACGCAGACACACAGCCAGTCTGTGCCGTCATTCCTGTGGAATCCTGCAGCATTGACGCGTAGAGGCAGAGAGCAGATTAGTGGCTGCTGGAGACAGGGAATCATGGGGAGGGAGACAGGTGAGTACAGGCCGACTAGAGGCATAAACTGTTCTAATTACACGGCAGGGAGAATACAGTTAGCAATGCAGTACATTTCAGAAGAACTAGAAGAGAGGCGCTGGTCTGCCGTGACCATGACGTCATGGTAAATGGAGTGGGCACATAGCCTAAAAGAGCCAGTGTTCATAGCAGAGGGCCTGCGTTCTATGCGCAGCTCTGCCTGCCACTCCGCCCAGCTTCCCGTGTCTCTCCTCTCTGTAAATCTGATCTGCCTTTCCAGTAAAAATAAATCTTAAACATCAACAAAAGTTTTAGACACTAAGCTATCACGCCGGGCCCGGGAATGTAAATTTGTAATGTCTGTCTTAAACAGTCTTATTACATCTGCTAGAGAGGCTTCATTGCCACTTTGTAGATAGCAGAATAAGTGGCTCCCACAACTGAACACATTCAATTTTATGAACTGTAGTGAGTACTAAAAGTCACTATTTTTGCTCCTTAAAAAATTCATTCATGTACTCGAAAAGCAGACTGATAGGAAGAAACACCGATTTTTTTTTCATCTACTGGTTCACTTCCCGATGGCCTGCCACAACCAGAAGCCAGAAATATCTCCCGCGTGGGTGACAGAGTTCCAAGTACGTAAGCCAACTTCTGCAGCTTCCCAGGCACATCAGCAGGATACTGGATCCAAGGCAGAAGTGCCAGAGCTGGAACCACTGTGGTATGATAAACTGTGTGTGTGTTTACTTACTAATATGTGGACAGAAATGTCTCCTGTACAGTGGTTTACTCCCCAGATGCCCACAAGGGCCAGGACTTGGGTCCAAGCTGGGAACCAGGAATTCAGTCCAGGTTCAGTAACAGTATGCTAGTTCTTGAGAACATCATGGCCGCCTCCCAAGATGTGCAGAAAGCTAGAATGAGGAGGCAGGTATCAAAGCTGGGGACTCAGACACCCCCAGTCAGTGTCTTTACTGCTAGGCCAACCACCCATCCCAAATGTAACCATTTATTACTAGATCAGCATCCCTGTCCTAGGAGAGCTGCATGAAAGGAACCATAGGAGGTTGTGCCAGGAGAGCTGGGAACACCCCAGGGGGCCCTGAGCATCCTCCTGCCATCACTGCCCATCCTACGCTCGTGAGGCCTTTCCGTATGTGTGTCCATTTCCCACAGTGACCTGCAACAGCTTGCTCTCCGTTGTCCCTGCAGGGTTCGTGCGAGTTGCAAACATGTTCACCGTGTCTCAGACCTCAAGAGCATGGTTCATCGACCGGGCCCGACAGGCACGAGAGGAACGGCTGGTGCAGAAGGAGCGGGAACGCGCCATCCTAGCGATCCAAGCTCACGTGCGGAGTTTCCTCTGCCGGCGTCGCCTGCATAAAGACATCAGGTTAGGCACCAAGAGCCCCTTGGCCTGTTTGACTCTGGGTCTTCAGCCATGGAAAGGGAGTTCATGCTTAATGTTCTTAAGAGAATTCAAATACTCTGAGCTCCCAATTGAAAACTTTTTTTTTCCCCACCCTTCCTAGGAGAGAGATCGATGAGTTTTTTAAAGCAGATGATGCTGGGAGCAGTAAAAGAAGTGCACTTTGTATTTTTAAGGTTGCCAGGAAGCTGCTGTTCTTGTTCAGAATTAAAGAGGATAACGAGGTAAATGATCATCCCAGACTTACACAGTCCTCCCACATGGCAGGTCATTTTCTTACAAGTAGTTTACAGAGATGAACCTGTTCTATCCTTAGAGTAACTGGGTGAGCGATGCACTGTCTCCCCTTACCCCCAAGTCCCACCTCTCATGTCCATGAGAGCTGTATTGTAAGGAATCCTTGAAAATACTTTGTTTTGTTGTTTGTCAGAAAGCCTGAGTGACAGAGAGGGAGAGACAAATCCATCTTCCATCAGTTGGCCATGAGGGCTGGGGCTGGACCAGGCTGAAGCCAGAGGCTCCAATCAGGTCTCCCATGTGGGTGGCAGAGGCTCAAGCGCTTAGCTTACCCAGTGCCAGCTTACCAGTGTGCTAGCAGGGAGCTGGATTGGAAGCCAAGGATCTGGGTCTCAAACCAGTGCTCCAGTATGGCCTAAGCAGGAGCTTAGCCCATTACACTGCAGTGCTGGCCCCTGTTTTGTAAGGACTACACCCAGTTCTCAGAATCTTTTTACACTGACTGTTAGGAACACACATTGGACTCTGATGCATATGGGGCAAGGCAAACTAGGAAACTTGGTAGAAGAACCCCCCCACCCCCATGAGACAAAATATAATATGAAGTATGAATCAAAACAAACCCTAACTAACTGGCTACAAGGGCTCCACTCCAGCTAGTGGTGGACCCAAGCTCTTATCTTTTTTCTTTTTTTAAGTGTTACCCACAAACTGTATCTTCACATTCATTGTTCTACTTTGTACAGTTGGTAACTCACTGATACATGTTTTTTTATATCCTGCCAACCAAACAAAACATGGCAGTTTACACCTTCCGCATGAGCACAATCCCAGGAAAGCAGCAAGGTAGCTGTACTAGTGGTGGGGATGCCGCCATGGAAGCAGGCCACCCCCTTGGCAGCTGTGAGCCGTTTTGTCATTGCTCAGCCTGCTCAGGGCAACACTGTCTCAGATGCCCCATCCAGGATGGATACCTCTGCGTGTGTGACCTGCTTCCCAGGTATCACTTAAACAGGGTGATGCAACCATCTGATGATCGTGATATAAAAGCCAGTGTTTGTGGTGCTAACAAAATCACAAATGGGGAAGCACAGTTGAGGAAGCAGCTTGGGTCTCTGCAGGAATCCAAGTCCAATTTACCAGTTTGATTCTTTGTCCCCTTTGGGGAAAAAAGGGAAAGTCCACCTGGAATTTTATGTACAGTATATACCACTTTATAAAACATCCTGTCCCTGGGCCATCTGTCTGACAGTTGCCTCTGGCCCTTCAGGAACTCAGGCCCCACAACCGTAGGAGGGCGTGAAATCCCATCACCCAGGTGACGCCCCGGCAGCTGGGGTGCACTTACCAGGAGCACGGCGAGCATGAGTGAGTCTTGATCGTTTATAACCCCATTCTGCCTCTTGCAGAGATTTGAGAAGTTGTGTCGCAGCATCCTGAGCAGCATGGATGCCGAGAGCGAACCCAAGGTGAGGAAGACACTGCCAGCTCTTGCCAGCCAGCCTGACTGACCAAGAGTTCCTTCTGAAACCCTCTCCTTCTCCCCCTACCCCCATCGAGCCTAGTTCCCTTCCTCATACAACTGAGTGATGGGTGGAAGGCTTAAGGAGGTGTGGCCAGACCCTTAGCACCTTGTCCGGGGAGCCTTGTACTGCTCTCACCTTAGTCGGCATGCGAGATTCCCTTACTTGTCCAGTTGATCTTGACCTTCCATGTTCAGAGAAGTCCTGGGTGCTGCCTTTTTGTCCACTCCCTTCCTGCTTCAGTAAGACCTCCCTTCTGGGAGATCTCACTCCAGTAGCCAGGATCCACGACGTGATGTGCAGTAACCTCCCTCTTGCTTCTGCTTGCAGGCGTGGTACGTGTCTTTGGCTCTTTCCAAGGATCTCACCCTCCTGTGGATCAAACAGATCAAGGACATTCTGTGGTATTGCTGTATGTTTCTTGAGCAGCTCAAGGTAAAAGAAAGAAAGAAAAAGCAGACTAAATGCATCACCCTCATCTGGGGCCCTTCTTCCTTGTGTCCCGCATTCCCGTCACGCCCTCCAGGGTTATACCTGTGGGGGTCCACCAGCCATAGCCTGATTGGTTGAGTTCCTATTCTGGGAGAACAGGTCTGTAAGCACACTTAATGAACACATAAGGCTGAACTTTGGGTGCTCTTGCTGCCCTGTCCATGTCAGGGAGCCTGTTGTTGTTCTTTGCTTGCTTTTCATGTAATGGACACTTCATGGTCTGGTGACTAGAGATGCCTCTTGTTACATACAGAAACCTGTTTTGAACACAACTCGTCCTAACACAGAGGCTAGGCAAGAAAGAGCATCTTGTTCCAGAAAACTGCCTGGCGTGGCAGCTGGGACGATCTGCATTGGGTTCGTCTGAATTCTGCCTTTCATTTTTTATGTCTCATCCCTGCTCTCCCTCGGGTGTCAGTGTATTCTTTCCTGCTGTCGTCATGGCAGCCAGCATTATTGTCTTCACAATCTCTCCTTTTTAAAACTATTTTATTCATTTGAAAGGCAGATACAAAGAAATATCTCTGCTGGTTTGTTCCCCAAATACCTGCAGTACCCAGGCCTAGGCCAGACTGAAGCCAGAAGCTGGAAGCTCAGTCCAAGTCTCCCACATCAGTGGCAGGGACCCAAGTAATTGAGTGTTCCCCTTCCGCCTCCCAAGGTGTGCGTTAGCAGGAAGCTGGAATCAGAACCTAGGGACTGCAAAGTAGGAAGTTACCATCCCAAGTGGCACCTTAACTGCTGTCCTAAATCCCTGCTCCCTTTGCTTAGTCTTGAGTGAACAGAACGGAGAGGGGCCTGCCTCACATGTCAGTTGACAGAGTCTGGGCAGACTCTTGAAGTCTCATTGGGCTCCTGGGCTGGACGGATCACAGTAGAGAGAAGACGAGTTACTGCCACTGGCTGAGCCGGGTCCCATGGCCACCCTTGTGTCAGGAAAGGGTGGGTGTGGACAGACAAAGCAGCTACTCTCACTTTGCCTGTGGGAGGGACGGACCAGGCAGGGACTCAGGAAGCAGCTGAGGGATGAGGTACATGGCCCCAGAACCCCCAACCCTCTCCCCACCCTATGACCCTTACCCAAGCATCACGGGGTACTCAGGAATAGCTCTTGGCCACCCCTGTGCCCAAGCATGGCAGTGAGGCAGCAGCAGTCCTCTTGTGGCCTGTCCGGTGAGGCAGTGGAGGCTGAGCAGCACTCCTCAGACCTGTTCTTTGGAGTTCAAGGGTCTCACCCAAGTGCCTCGCAGCCAACTTGGCAGTTACTCTACCAGGCAACAATTTGTTTCGTACCAGGCAGTCACGTGTACCCTCCTGTGAGGCGGACACATCTGTGCTCTGCCTTCTGTCTACATCCAACACATTTCTCTTGGAGAAGAGGCTCTTCTGCTTTGAAACAGTAAATGTATGTGGGAGAATAGACATAACCAGAAGTCACTAGTTCTGGAGCCAGGGAGATCCAAATTTCATCTCAGTTGTGCTATTCATTTCCCATGTGCCTCTCCCTTTTTTTAAGATTTATTTATTTTTATTGCTAAGTCAGATATACAGAGAGGAGGAGAGACAGAGAGGAAGATCTTCCATCCAATAATTCACTCCCCAAGTGACAGCAATGGCCAGAGCTAAGCTGATCCGAAGCCAGGAGCCTCTCCCTCAGGGGTGCAGCGTCCCAAGGCTTTGAGCCATCCTTGACTGCTTTCCCAGGCTACAAGTATGGAGCTGATGGGAAGTGGGGCTGCAGGAATTAGAAACAGTGTCCATATGTGATCCTAGCATGTTCAAGGCAAGGACTTTAGCCACTAGACTGCCACACCAGGCCTTCTCATGTGCTCTTGAGCAAGTTACAGCCCCTCCTTTACTCCATGTCCTTGGGTGTGTGTGTCTATAAGTTTATTTTGTCATTTTAATTGATACGTATTTATGAGGTACAGTATGTCATTTTGATCCATGTATACAACATGTAATGATCACATCAGGTAACTGGTATCCATCATCTCAAACACTCATTATTTCTTTGTGTTAGAAATATTCAGAGCCCTCTCCTAGCTTTTTTTTTTTCTTCCATTATTAATTTTATTTATCTGAAAGGCAGACAGACCTCTGCTGGTTCACTCTCTAAATGCTAGCAAAAGCCAAGTTGAAGCCAGCAACTAGGAACTCCATCCAGGTCACCATGGGGAGTAGCAGGAACCCATCACCTGATACCTTTTGGGATCTGCATTAGGAGGAAACTATGATCGAGAATGGAGCCAGGGGCCGGTGTTGTAGCTCAACAGGCTAATCCTAAGGAAAAAAACAGGTTAATTTTGTACTTGCAAGCGCCAGCATTCCATACTGCTCCACTTGCAATCTATCTCTCTCTGCTATGGCCAAGAGTAGCAGTAAACCCAAAGCCTTTGGGACCCTGCCACCATGTGGGAGAGCCAGAAGAGATGCCTAGCTCCTGGCTTCAGATTGGCTCAGCTCAGCTCTGGCCATTTGGGGAGTGAAACCAACAGTTGGAAGATCTTTGTCTCTCCTTCTCTCTGTAAAACCTGCCTTTCCAGTAGGAAGGAAGCCAGCCAGCCAGCCAGCCAATACTTCAACCCAGACACTCCATTGTGGGATATACATCTCTCTGGTAGCCTTTTAACCACTACCCCAAACACCCTGTCTCCTGATTCTTCAATATGCAGTGTTTATTGTTATAATTTGTAGTTATGCTTACAGAACACTAAGAAATACTCCTGCTCTGCTAAACCCATTAACTCTCCCCTTTCCATCTTCCTGCACTCGGCACCCTTCCCAGCCTCTGTAACAACTTTGTGCTTCTGTGAGGTCGGCTGTTTGGGCATCCGTGTGTGAGAATGTGCAGTGCTCATCTTTCTGCCCCTGATGGTTCGCTTCACCTAGCGTACTCCTCTCTCATCCATGTCACTGCAGATGGCAGGATTTCATTCCAGACCTTACTGCTTAGAGCCCAGTGCCCCCTGGGTTCCCTCCAGGCACATGTGCTGTAGGATGGCCAGACAGGTTTCTTGCCCAGCTCACTGTGAAACAGGGAGCCATCATCAACATTAGCACATTAGACAGCACCAATTGCCAGGCTCTGTTCTCGGTGCTTTGTGTGCATTTTCTGTTCTCGGTGCTTTGTGGTCCATTTACTTCCCTGGCAGCCCTGTGAGGAAAGCAGGGTTACTCTCTCTAATCAACCACAGAGGAAACAAAGGTACAGGGAGATGGAAAAACAGCCAACATCACACAACCAAGACACAGCCGAGCCCCAAAGGCCAACTCCAAAGTACCCTTTATGCTCCATTGCAGCTGTGCTGTCTGGCTGACTGCAGGGTCGCAGGCAGAGCGGGTCATCTCACTCTCTAGGAATGTCCAGTTCTCCATTCCTAGGAGTGTTTACTTCCATGGTCAAGCAACCATCATTGACTTCTTGTCATTCAACTCCTAAAGTGGTCATTGTGCTGGCCCAGGGCGTGGGGATTGAGATGGAGGGAATGATGAAGACGCAGCTTGGACTTAACTCCTGATGCAGTTAATAGAGTTGAGAAAAGCAGCCCAGTGGGCACTGCGCAGTCTGGCCCAGAGGGCGTGGGTCTTGTCTCACTTTTGCTCCCCTATTGTTTCCAGCCTGAAATCTTGCAAGACTCCAAACTCATCACCCTGTACCTCACCATGCTCGTCACCTTCACTGACACCGCAACGTGGAAAATTCTGCGGGGAAAAGGTCTGTGGGACTCATTTCAGATTCCTCCCTGGTGTTTCCCTGCACAGCCCGGGGTCCTCTTTGCTTTGTCATTGGTATTTTGGTCCCCGCCGCCCTCCACCAGACTGCATCATCCTGTCCAGGATGTTTGGTTCTGTGTATTCTTCCCCACCCCAGTTGCCCCACATTTGATCTGCCTTCATTTTCATGATATCTGTAGCTCCTTAGCCTCTGAATGCTTAGTCATTTAATCTGTGTGGTTCCTCTGCAGGACACCCTGGTGAACACGGTGGTTTCTCTGGGTCTGTGTGGCTTGCTACGGGATGTCTGCAGACATTAAAGCCACAGGCGCATGAGTCGCTTAGAGCACATGGCACGCTTGCCCCAGCTGAGGCACACTCTCCCTAGGCTGCTTAGACTTCCTGATACACTAGAAAGGCTCTGTGAATAGTTGTTACACTGTGCACTTAGTGCAACCTCAAGAAAACCAATGCCTGCACATGTCTGCTGGAGATGCAGCTTTTCTCCACAATGTCTTCAAGCCATGAGTGGTTGTATCTGTGGATGCAAAATCCACAGGTGCCCTGGCAGAGGACTCCTGTTGTTCCTTTTAGCTCATAAAATGTGCATTGCATCGCCGCCTTTCCTGAAACATGTGCTTAGCATCTCAGATTTCGCATATTTAATTCACTCATCCAGCCACCAAATCACCTGCTGTGTGCCAGCCACTGTGCCGAGCCAGTTTTGGGGGCTGGCCACAGACACTCCCTGCCTCATAGGCTGGAGTCTGCTAGGCTGGGGACACTGAATAGCCGTCACCCGTGTGTATGTAAAATGGCCATGGTGTCATTGGTGCTTGGAAGACGAGACAGGGTGTTCAGGGCAGTGGGGCCAGGGGAGACTCTTGGTCCTGGGCTCAGGCTATCCTGAAGAAGTGGTGTCTGAGCCAAGAGCTGAAGGGACAATTGGGAACCTTGCCTCCCCCGAAAGAAGGTTTGGGAGCAGCGAGGGCTGTGAAAGCACTGGCCCTGGGCCAGCAGGTAGACGTTATTCTCGCCTCTCAGAGGTAACACTGACTTCCATCTGGAAGCTTCTGTCCCTGGGTGGAGAGGAGGTGACCCTGGGAACTGAAATTTACCAGGCCTAGGAGGGGTTAGACAAGACACTTGGGGGACAGGGGTTGCTGTGGGGTCAGATGTTGCTTCCAGCTGGGAGAAGCCACAGGTGACACCTGAACCAGGCTGTCCCAGAGGGACAATTCCAGTTGCACAGGGCCACCAACCTAAGGAGCTGAAAGGCAAGCCAGATAGCATCAGGTTCTCGCCTGGCCTTGATGCAGGGCAGCATTGTCACCTGTAAGAGAGAGGTTTTTTTCCTGAACCTTTTTTTCTTTATTTAGGCGAGAGCCTTCGGCCAGCCATGAACCACATGTGTGCAAATATAATGGGACACCTCAACCAGCGTGGGTTTTACCCTGTGCTGCAGGTGTGTGACCCCAAGCCCTCAAATGCAAGCTCCCCACACACTCCAGTTGCCCAAGCTTGGAATTTTGCCTTTTGCTTCAGCCTACCCAATGCCTTCCTCCGAGAAAGCAGCCTTTTGCAGAAGACTTGAATGCCTTGTATTCTCTCCTCCCTCCCCCTGCCTTGGATCACCTGCGGTTCGGGTCAAGGGAGGACAGTGGCACCACAATCCTTCTAGGCACTTCTCGCCCCAGGGGTAATCGGTCTCTTAACACTGAAACTCAGGCAGGAGCCTTGGGCTCATTCCCTCGGGTTCCTTGTTGGCTGGTGATCAGGAATTAGATTTCTAGCCATGTGTCCTCAAACACCCTCTGTCCACTCCACCTGCCTCATGCCAGTCTGCACCTCCAGGCATTGTGAGAAGTATACTTGCTGTGTAGAAATACAGGGAACAGGGAGACTAACACTGGGGAAAATTGATTTATCCCTTCCCGTCTGCCTGGCGCTGTCATGGGCTGCTTTCTGATCCTGTTTAACGTTCTGATCTCCACACCCCCTGAGATGGTGTGAAGCCACAAGGTGGGGTGGTGAGCAGTGGGTCTAGGCGGAGGATCCCTCTCCCCAGCAGCCCGATTCTGAACTGCCTCCAAAATGATCCAGTCACTGGAAATGTCAAGTCTGGTATGCTCTCTATTAACTGCGTATTTCCAGCTGTTTATTATTATTTTTAAATGTAGCATAATTTGAAATAGAGAGTGAGAGGTAGAAGGCACTTCTGTGTGTAATCCTTTTCTTCCCTTGTCCTTTTAAAAAATATTTAAGTACAGTTTTTTTTTTTTTTTTAATTGAAGCACTACCTTTGACTTCCTTGCTGCTTTTTAGTGTTCAATCAAATAAAGCTGGTGCCCACCCTGAGCAGTTCACATGTTCTCTTCAGGTGTTGTTAACACGAGGCCTGGCGAGACCACGGCCTTGCCTGTCCACAGGCATGTTGACAGCGGCCTTCTCCCTGGCACTACGGTGAGTGAGACACGCCGGCCGAAGGGTGAGCACGCTCCAGCGCCGGGTCCTTGCGCTTCCCTCTCCTCTCATTCTCAGTGATGGAGACAGACCTGCCCACCTGTCGGCTTTGACAGGGGGAGTTGTTCTTGGGGAAATCAACAGAGCTGTGACGGCTGCCGTTATTCCAGTCTTCCTTGGTGCCCTGAATGTCCCTGCAGGGTGACCCCCACAGGAGAATGTCCAACATGAACCGCCTACATCCTGCCAGGGACCTAGAGGCAGGCCTTTCTTGTAAATCTTAGCTAAAACTTGGGAGCCAGAGCACAGCCATCCACGGGTTTCACTCCGCAGGTGCCCACAGCAGCCATTATTGGGCTGGGCTGGAGCCAGGAGGCAGGAATTCACTGCTGCCTCCGAGGCTCTGCATTCTCAGGGAGCTGGAGACAGGAGCTGGAGCCAGCGGCTGATGCTGGATGTGGGCATCTTGGCTGGCATCTGAACTGCTAGGTTAAGCACCTGCCCTCGATCCACTTTTTATTTCTGGCAAAGTGAAAGAAACCCAAGAGCTGGGGGAGGCCACCAAGGACAGGGGGAAAGTGTAAATGGCCTGATGTTAGGGACATGGGTTTCAACCATTAGAACGTTGAGGGACCAGACAGGATGTGCCACGTACATGGAGTCCCTCATCCTAGTTGCTTGGGGAATGGGAATCCTTAAGTTCTCAAGAGAGCCCCCAAAGAAGGCACTCTGTCCCATCTGCTTCTCCTGTGTAGAGAACTGTTCAGTCCCATTATGAACAAATTCCTTCTGACTTGTGGGAAAATGTGGGCTCTCTTTAGTTTGGATTCAGTGAGATTAGCTTGGTTGGTCAGCACTGTCTGAACAAGTACTCGGCGTGAGCATGGATATTCTGTACATTTCAGCCTTATATGTTATAAGGTTCTCTTATGCCAACAAAATTGATCTCAGAAGTATACTTTTTTAAAAGGTTTATTTGTTTTTGTTGGAAAGGCAGATTTAGAGAGAAAGATCTAAAAAAAAAAAAAAAAGATTATTTTTATTGGAAAGGCAGATCTTCACAGAAAAGGAGATTCAGAAAGAAAGATCTGCCATCTCTGGTTCACTTCCCAAATGGCCACAGTGGCTGGAGCTGAGCCGATCCAGAGCCAGGAGCCAGGAATTTCTTCCAGGTCTCCCCTGCAGGTGTAGGGTCCCACTTTTCCAAGTGATTAGTAGAAAGCTGGATCAGAAGTAGAGCTGGCAGCTTGAAGTGGCTTTTTCATAGAACGTAAAATGCTGGGGCTAATCCTCCACTTTTGGTGCCAGCCTTCCATACGGGGGCCAGTTTGTGTCTGGGCTGCTCCACTTCTGATCCAGCTCCCTGGTTCTGGCCCAGATCCCTGGGCCCCTGAACCCACAGGGGAGACCCAGAAAGAAGCTCCTGGCTTTGGATCGGCTTAACCATTGGAAGAGTGAAGCAGTGGGTGGAAGACTTCTCTGGTTCTTTCTGTTTGTAAAATCTGCCTTTCTAATAAAAGTGAAATAAATCTGTAAAAGAAAGTCTAGGTAAAACAGTAAAATATAATAAAGAAGAGAGATTTCTCATGACTCTACAATCCAGTCATAAATTATCACGTTCTCTCAGTCTTCCCCATCTTCAGTATTTTATGTTCACGGAAACCTCAAAAAATTCATGGGAAGCACCTATTATGAAAAATTCTATGCACAAATTAAAAAAAAAAAAGTTTCACACCAAAATAAATGAATCTTGTCATTGTGTTTTTTCCATGTGCTTTTTGCAATGTTTGCATTTACATGTTTGTCAATATTTTTAAGTATTCGCATCATTTTGCATATATGCTTGTTGAATAAAATGCTGCCCTGAAGTCGAGTTATTGGTGAGTTACCACGTAGCAGATGTATCTGGGCAGGTACCCCCCAGTGGAGAGCTGAGCTGGCCCAGCACTCCGAGAGCCCCTTCTTCTTCCTCACCCCATGTCCTTCTCTCACCTCTCCCCTGCCTGTCTTTTTATCCTGCTGTTTCTAAAGCCTTAACTGCATCATGAGCATCCTCTCATGTCAGGGAAACTTGAAAAAATGATTTTTTTTTTCCCCTGCCTGCACAGTATTGCACTTTCACAGTCTCAACCATGCCCCTTGTTCATGGGAGCAGCTATTTGGCATAGTGGTTTAAACACTTAGGTAAGACAACATCAAAGTGCATGGGTTCAATCCCTGCTACCACATCCTGAATCCAGCTTCCTGCTAATGCAGCCCCTGAGAGGCAGCGCTTTATGGCCCGGGTGGTTAGGGCCTTCAACCCTGCCTAGTTCCAGCGCTGCAGAGTGAGCTAACCAGTGAGAGCTCTCCAGCTGTATGATTCTTTCTCAATAATCATTTTTAAAAATAAGTTCATGGAAAAGGGGACTTAAAAACAGTTTATGTTGGTGCCTCAAAAAAAATAGAAATCTGTGCCTGTCAGGGCCCTTTAAAAGTTCGTGAAAATATATATTAAATTTTTAAAAATGAATTTCATTTTTTTAACCCCCGAATAAGCATACATTTGATGCCATTTTTCCATGAACTACTTGAAGTTTTTTCTGGAATTCCCATGAAGGGTAATTTAAGGGATTTGGCAGGCGCTGATGGGTTGGTCCTTAATCCAGGGGCACACATAGACCCATCAGAACAAGCTGATGTGTGTGTGCCATTCTGTCCGTGTCCAGCCCTGTGATTGCTGCCCAGTTTTCGGACAATCTACTTCAACCATTCCTCATCCACATCATGGCTGTGCCTGCTCTCATCACCCACCTCAGCACAGTGACCCCTGAGGTAAGTGGGCTCTCTGAGCATCCCCCTGAACCCCTAAAATAATCCCATTTTATCTTGTCTTGTTAGAAATGAGAAAGTCAAACGTCATGCCTGCTGATTCCCATCCTTGGCCCTGATTTTTCTCTAAAGCTAATAAGCCACTGAAGACACACTGGTGTTGAGCAGCCTCGAGAAGCCATTCTCCTCTTAGTCCATTTTCTTCTTGCGCCTGATAGTGTGTTCCACACCATAAGGGGTGATCTGCAAACAGACAAGTTCATGCTCTGGTGGGAAATTCCTCCCAGTCTGTTTCTACTCTAATGGTGTGCTATTGTTTGCAGCGTCTCACCGTTTTAGAATCTCATGACATGTTTCGTAAGTTCATCCTGTTCCTAAGAGACAAGGATCGGTGCCGTGATGTATGTGAAAGTTTAGAGGGATGCCATACCCTTTGTCTAATGGGTGAGTGTCGGCGGCTGGGAACCCACGGGGTGTTCTGGGTGGCAAGGGAAACCCAAATGTTTGAACATCTCATTAGAGATGTTTGTAGTAATGATTGTGAGTACTGATCAGAAAGAGCTTGTATTCTAAGAGGCAGTTAAAGTAGTTGCATAGAATTGGAAATCCCTCAGGAGGTGCAATAAGCTGGTAAGCTAGCAAAGCAACCGTAAATGTGAAACATTGGATGTCAGCCCTAGGCTTCCTGCAGCTAAGGGAGACAGGACAGCACAGTGAGCACCCAGAGAGCTGGGTGGGGCTCGAAGCAGCTGGTACCTGCCTTGCTGGTTTGACAAGGTTTCCATTGTCGGCGAAGGAAGACCAGAGGACAGACTGTGGACAGAAGCCTTTGCACACAGTTGGAGGCACTTACTCTCACTGCCTATTAAGAAACTGGCATTAGACAGAAAAAGGTTCCTGGAGCTGTGTTTTATGGGGAGGGTCCAAAACATACCTTAACACCAGGAATACAAAATAACCCAGGGAGCGTGGTGTCAAGGCAGTTTCCCAGGGCATTTTTCTTAGGTTTCCCTCTTGATTTTTTTTTTTTTATGGTAAAAATCAGTTGCTTTCATTTGTTAAAAACAACCTGGTGAAATTATTTGCATCTCTATATGTGGAAACTGCTTTCACTGGGAAAATGGTGGTCGTTAAGAACACCCTTGGTTTTTATTTGTGTCACTTGTGAGTCTGACTAGAGATCATGCACCGCTGTGTGCCTGCCACTCCATGTGGGCCTGCCTGCAACCTCAAGTGGAAAATGAGAATTGTTCTTCTGATCATCTAGTGAGGAATTAGGCTTGGGGGGCCTGGTGGGAGTCAGGAAGGACCACAGGAGTCTTCAGTGGCAGAGCTGGGCTGTTCACTGTCACCCCGCTGTGTCTTGCCCCTGCTCGGCAGCCTCCGGCACCGTGGGTAAAGAACAGGACTGCGAAGTGGCTGGGCCTATCACCCTCACCTCTGTCTCGGCAGGCAACCTCCTGCAGCTGGGCTCACTCAACCCCCGCGTGCTGGAGGAGGAGACGGACGGGTTTGTGAGTGTGCTCACCCAGATGCTGTGCTACTGCCAGAAGTATGTGTCACAGAAGAAGTCCAACCTGACGCATTGGCACCCCGTCCTTGGCTGGTTCTCCCAGTCTGTGGATTACGGGTGAGGCCCCGAGACAAGCTGGTGTCTCTTCTGCTCCACCTGCATGTCCCCCCTCCAGCATCCCCTCCTTCCTTTGTTCTTCCTTCCAGCTTCTGTTACATATAGTAGTTGTATAAAATATACATAAGACCAACAAGAATGAAAGTCATCCCATAATCCCAGTACCCTGAGACTGAGTGAACATCCCTTTCTGTCAGTAGATTTAAAAACAATGAGATTTATGGGGCTTTAAAGATTTACTATTTATTTGAAAGAGTTGCAGAGAGAAAGAGAGATCTTCCATCTTCTGGTTTATTCCCCATGTGGCTGCACCAGCCAAGGCTAGCACAGGCCAAAATGAGGAGCTTCATCCAGATCTCCAATACGAATGCAGATGTCCACACACTTGGGCCCTCCTCCACTGCTTTTCTCAGGCCAATAGCAGGAGGCAGGGTCAGAAGTGGGACACCTAGGACCCAGTGTGGTAGCCTAGTGGCTAAAGTCTTCACCTTGCATGCCCAGCATCCCATATGGGCACCGGTTCATATTCCAGCAGTTCTTCCCTTCCAGCTCCCTCTTGTGGCCTGGGAAAGCGGTAGAGGACAGCCCAGAATCTTGGGATCCTGCACCCACCTGGGAGACCTGGAAAAAGCTCCAGGCTCCTTGCTTCAGATAGGCTCAGCTCTGGCCACTGTAGCTTCTTGGGGAGTGGACCAGCGGATAGAAGATCTTTCTTTCTGCCTCTTCACTCTGTAAATCTGACTTTCCAATAAAAGTAAATAAATCTTTTCAAAAAAATAAAGAAAGAAGAAATGGAGCACCTTGTACTGAAACTAGTGTTCATATGGAATGCCAGTGGCTTTATCCACTACACCACAATGCCAGCCCCATGAGTTTTATTTATTTACTTATTTAAAAGTCAGAATAATAGAGAAAAAGAGATCTCTGTCCACTGGCTCACTCCCCAAATGCCTGCAACAGCCAAGGCTGGACCAGACCAAAGCCAAGAGCCAGAAACTCCCTATGGGTTACAAGTACCCACGCCATTATCTGCCACCTACCAGACATGTTAACAGGAAACTGAATCAGAAGTGGAGTAACTCGGCCCAGCGCAATAGCGTAGCAGCTGAAGTCCTTACTTTGAACACACTGGGATCCCGTATGGGCGCCGGTTCTAAATCCAGCAGCCCCACTTCCCATCCAGCTCCCTGCTTGTGGCCTGGGAAAGCAGTGGAGTATGGCTCAAAGCCTTGGGACCCTGTACCCATGTGGGTGACCCGGAAGAAGCTCCTGGCTTCAGATTGGCTCAGCTCCAGCCATTGCGGCCACTTGGGGAGTGAACCACCAGATGGAAGATCTTCCTCTCTCTCCTCTGTATATATATATCTGCTTTTCCAATAAAAGCAAATTTAAAAAAAGTGGAATAACCAGGACTTGACGTGGTGCTCTGATAGGAGCTGACCCTCTGTATGGGATGTACCCAATGCCCACCCCAGAGATCATTATTTTGTAATTTGTTCTTTTCATTAATAAATTATGTATTATATCAGTCATTTTTCAATGTCTTTTCTTGATTGAGCAGACCGCCATAGGTTGGAGATGTCAGTAAGAAAAATGACAAAGGGAAGGGAGTGGAAATTACCTTAGATCTTTTTCCTTTGAGACACTACAACGTGAACTTTCAAAACTTCCCTTAGGAGCTGGATAGCAGTGGAAACACAAGAGGGGGATAAGGTAGTGTCTCAGACGGGAAGCCTGTGTGCTGGGCCACGAGAAAGCCCAGGCAGCTAGGCTGCCAGCTTGGTGTCTGTTCATTCCTGCGTGAGGCATGGGGTCCCAGAGCCCTCAGGTCCAGAAGGAAAGGAAGTTGCTCCCCATCATCCATGGGCCTCGTTGCCAGTTGACGGCACTCTGCAGTGGACAGCCCAGCCTGATGATGGAAAGGGGTAGCGTGAGCATGTCCCGGGGCAGGTTGGGCAGAACACCTCCACAGGCAGCCAGTTTCAGCTCCCCCGACCCTTTAGGTGGCAGCTCACTTTGTCTCCCATTTCCCCCTCTGAAATACGGAGTTATCTGTTAGGGTTTTCTCAGGACTAAGACAGTGCCCAAGTGACCTGGTCCAAGCTCAAGGGCTGATGGCTATTCCCACCACAGTGGTCCAGCCAGCGTGGGCCTCTTCCAAAGGCAGGCAGTGCCTCGGATTTCATTGTGAAAGGAAATGCTGAGAAGGCCATTGAGTCACTGGATGTGGGGACTCCAGTTGCAGGCTAGCCAAGAGGAGAGCAGCAAAGCAGACATGCGCTAACTTGGATCTGCTGGGTGACAGGGAAGGTCTCTGACATGCCCCTGATGTGTCAAGCCTGTGGATAACAGTCACACTGATGGCGAGTTTGGGTAGGGCAGCAGGCCAGGTGGAGAGTTGGCGCCTTCAGCCGGGGCAAGCCTCAGGGGAACTGACAGGCGCATCTCCTGCTCTCTCCTAGCCTCAACGAGTCGATGCACTTGATCACCAAACAACTGCAGTTCTTGTGGGGGGTGCCCCTCATCCGCATCTTCTTCAAAGACATCCTGAGCAAGAAACTGCTGGAGAACCAGGAACCTGCCCACACACAGCCACCGCCAGCTGCGACAACATCCCCGCAGAACGTGCTTCCGATGAAGAGTGAGTGGCCAGGGCCGAGGGGCTACCCCGGACTCTTCCTAACCATGTGCACCACTGATGGTGGGGTGCTCTGAAAGTCTGAGGTCGCTGAACTCAGGTTCGTGTTTAACAGCACAGGGATAAACAAGCCATAGGACTTGGGAAACAAGGACCGAGTATGTATAAATACATGAACCAAGGGAGGATTCCGTATGTAGAGAAATGTCAGCCAATCCATGTTGTCTGAGGGCCCCTCAGATGACCGCTGAACTTCACTTTAGTTATGAATTTCATTTGTTCGTGTTTTAAAATTTTATATTGACTTATTTGAAAGGTAGAGGGACAAAAAGATCTTTTATTCACTGATTTCACACCCCAAAAGTCCACAACAGCCAGGACTGGGCCAATCTGAAGTCAGGAGCCAGGAACTCCATCCAGGTCTCCCGTTTGGGTGCCACAGCCTAGGCGTAGTCACAGGAAGCTGGGCGTTCCTAACGTCAACGTCCACGATGGGCTCTTCCTACAGAGGCCCGAAGCACAGGCCACTCTACCAGCTCGGCAGCATCCCCTCCACAGGGTCAGGAACAAGCCCTCTGGACAGGCTTTTTGTTGCCCACTCTGATTGAATTTGAGGAACTGCCACTGCCACCCAGGACACTACAGTGAGCTGCCTATGGCAGATTCCAATTCAGCTGGATTTTCTCCTACTCTTCTGTGTATTGTAAAACTCTGTCTGTAGCTAGCCGTGAACATGGGCCCAGCAGGCCATGAATGAGAAGGCTTAGTAGCTAAAAGAAAACCCCAGTAAAAACCCAGGTTCGGGGTCAGGCACTGTGGCACGGCAGTTAAGCCACCACTTGTAACGCTTGGCTCCCGTGTTGGAGTGCCCAGGATCAAGTCCTCCTGCCACTTTCTGTCCAGCTGCCTTCTGCTGCTCACGTTGGGGAGCTGTAGATGATGGCTCAAGCACTGGGATCCTGCCACCTTTGAGAAAGACCTGCAGGGAATTCCTGGCTTCTGGCTTTGACCTGTCCTTGTCCCGACCGGTGTGGGTGTTTGGGGAGTGAACGAGCGATGGAAATCTTGATTGATCTCACTTACTCACCCTGCCTTTCAAATAATTAAACCAGAAACCCCAAGTATTGATATTTATCTGGTCTCATTTCCTTTTAAAAGCACGAAGAATTGAGACAACAGAGCTCCCCTCCCTAGGCTCCTCTGTCCCTAACAGTGTCTCACTTCCATGCCCTGCCCTCAGCAGGATAGAGCTCAGCAGATAACTGACCCTCTGTTTGCATCCCCCTTTTCTCCGTACCAGGCCTCCTGAAGCGTGCATTTCAGAAGTCTGCGTCAGTTCGCAACATCCTCAGGCCTGTTGGGGGCAAGCGTGTCGACTCTGCCGAGGTACAGAAGGTCTGTAACATCTGTGTCCTCTACCAGACCTCGCTGACGACGCTCACCCAGATCCGCCTGCAGATCCTCACAGGTTTGGACTCACCTCTCAGAATCAGCAGGCTTCTTCTGTGGCAAGGCTGATCTTCCAGCTTCCTTGGCTCTCAGGAAGTCAGCTGTGAGGGAGCCTAGTAGGAGCTGACTGGTACACCTCAGTGAATCAGCTGCTGGCCACATCCCTGTCGTGGCCCTTACTCTAAAATGCAGCTCTGAAGAAGTTCTTACTTTGAATAGAAAGCTAGAAAAACCAGCAAAGCTCTATCTTCTGTCTTCTATATCCTCTCCATCATTTTTTTCTTAAAGAGGACAGCTAATTCAGAGAGTACCATATAAATTGAGAGAGACTTTAAGGGCTGCTTTCCCAGGCACCTTAGTTGAAAGCTATGTCTAAAGTAAAGCAGCCAGGACTCAAACTGGTGCCATTATGGGATACCAGCATCCCAGGCAACTGCTTAACCTCCTCCACACCAATGGCTCCAACCCAGGGCTGAGTTTTGTATAATAATTCAGAATGCTGCTGTCTGCTATGATCATTCACTGCCTTTCAATTCTAAGCAAGAGTAGAATAAGGAAGTTTGTTGAATGTGAGTGAGCCTACAACTTGATTTAAGGCAGGGATCAGCAAACTACTGCCCATAGGCCAAGTACAACTTACTACTGTTATTAAAACACAGCCAGAGCTATGCACAGAGTGGTTGTGACAGTGTTAATGAAATTTGGCCTGAGGAGGCCTCCATAGTTTGACCGAGAGCATCATATAGGTGGGTAAGATAGCCGAGTCCTAGCCAATCACAGCTTCTGTGTCCAGTCAGTTACAGATGGGCAGCTGGCCAGCTCAAGTTCAGATAAGGCCAATGCCAAACTGTTTCTACACCTCGCTTCCACTTTTATGTCCTCAGTTGCTGCCTGTCCACACTGCCAGGCGCAGCTCTCCAAGCCTAGCCTGGTCTGAGGGCTGCCTGAATTGCACATTATTGTTTGCTGAGACTGCCCAGGTTAGTTTGTCTAAGGTTTTTGATAACAGCAAGACCATCTAGCCTATGAGGTTCAAAAATAGTCTCTGGCCTTTTCCAGGAAAACTGTGCTGTCTCAGATTTAAAATGTAAATGGTATGTCATACTGACCACTCTGACACACACTGGCTGTGTGCTTTGGGGCCCCTTATTTAAAAACTCTGTGTGTCAGTTCCTTCCTTTTTAAACAAGGCTAGTGTTGGGCTTCACCCGGCCGAAGGGCCACGACCACATGTTTCCAATATCTGGTGCCCAGCATGTGATGAACTCTCACTAAACACTTGCTATTCACTTGTTGATAATGCTTCTCTTCATTGTTCCTTCTTCTCAGTCACTGCATGTTCACTGAGAGATGTCAGCTTTTTCTTTTTTCAGTGAGCAGGAGAAATCACCAAGCATGTGGAGTCTCCCCTGCAGTGTGGGCTTCTCTCTGCTTTTCTAGGTCTCACTTACCTCGATGACCTGCTGCCCAAACTGTGGGCATTCATCTGTGAGCTGGGGCCCCACGGAGGGCTCAGGCTCTTCCTGGAATGCCTAAACACGGACACCGAGGACTCCAAGCCACTTTTGTCCATGCTGATGCTGTTCTGTGACTGTTCCCGGCACCTCATCACGTAGGTAGACTACCGTGGGGCTGAACATGTTTGCTGGAATCCAGAGGGACCAGGGACTTGGAAGCAGCAGGTGGTAGAGAGAGCACTGTAGGGCTGGGCTCAGCAAGCAGCTGGAGCCAGAGCAGAGATATGGAGCCACTGGAACGGAGGCGCCATTCACGCCTGGAAAAGGGTAGCCCGAGAGCGGGCTGTACTCTCGAGCTTGTAAGCAATTCATTCATCCATTCAAGTACCTAGCAGGAGACGGGAGTGCCTCTCTAGGGTGCTGAAGGAGATTCCTCAGCTCTACTCAGCAAACGTGGACACAGTCAGGAGGCCTTGTTCCTGCAGCATAAGCAAGGCCAAGGATGAGCAAAGTGTTACACTCAGATCCTTAGGAATAAGAAAAAAAAATTCTTGTAAACATCTTACTTAGAATGGCTTCAAATAAATAGAAAGAATGGGGTGGTGGCAGGGAGCAGAATGAACCCTCCTCATCCTCACTAGCTCAGCAGCTACCCACCCGTGGCCAGATTTGCTTCATCTGAACCGCCACCTGCCCTCTGCCACATTGTTCTGAAGCGTATCCTAGCCAGCCTCTCCTTTCGACTGTGAAAACTCTTCTGTAATCGTCTCCAGAGCATAGGACTTATCTCTTTGTTGGAAGGTCACAGACTTAGGTCCCCTCGGTTGACCTATTCTCATGATGAGACTCTGAGTCCATTTCTGTTTGGTTTAGGATCCTCGATGACATTGAAGTTTATGAAGAGCAGATCTCGTTCAAACTGGAAGAGCTGGTCACCATCTCCTCTTTCCTGAATTCCTTTGTCTTTAAGATGATCTGGGATGGCATCGTAGGTAAGAGGGAGGTGTCTACCCTTGATTGAAGTTACACCCTGGGAGGCCAAGAGTTCTTAGCGTCGGTTGATGCCCAGCTTTGGTGGTATCTGTCAAGAGCTGATAATGCACACGGAGCCACCTCACCGGAAATTTTATCCCCTCACTCCCGAGGACCTCTTTTTCTTTTCTTTTCTTTTTTTTTCAGTCATAAATAAGTAAATAAGACCAGGCTCTCCCATCTACTGGTTCACTCCTCCAAATGCCTGCCACAACCACGCTGGGCTGAGTCGGCCACAGACAGGAGCTGGGAACTCCATCCAGGTCTCCTGCACGGGTGACGGAGGCCCAACTGCTTGAGCCATCACCTGCTGCCTCCTAGAGGATGCATTAGCAGGAAGTTAGAATTGGGAATGGAGCCGGGACTCAACCCCCAGTGCTCCAGTCTGGAATGCAGGCACCCCACATTGCATCGCTAGTCCAAATGTCTGTCCATGCCCACTCCACCCCCAGGGACCTCTTCAGACAGTAGTGTGGTCACAGACACCTCACTCTCTCTTGCATCCTTCCTGTTACATGTGTATGTCCAGATTCCTGACAGTGGTTCACTTTGCCCTGAGTCACCTTAATTGACTTTGCAAGTTAATTTCCATGGCGACTACACATGCGTCAGTTCCCACTTGAACTAGGAGCCCTCTCCTGAAGTGTTTCCAGTTGCCCAGCACAAACCTCCTTGGGTTAGAAAGATCCCCTGGACAAGGCACTTCTGAGAGGGAGCATGAGTGATTGTGTTCAAGAGTTGCTTAGGCCCTGCAGACACCTGGGACACCCAGGAGTCTTCAGAGTGTGGAGGGTCAAGGCTTAACATGGGCCTCAGGTGGTGGGAGCCCTTCCCCTTACCCCTCTGCAGGGCAGTCACCCTGGTTTTCTCCCACAGAGACCGCCAAAGGTGAGACCCTGGAGCTGTTCCACTCTGTCCACGGGTGGCTGATGGTGCTCTACGAGCGGGACTGCCGGCGGCGCTTCGCCCCCGAGGACCACTGGCTGCGCAAGTGAGCAGTGGGGCTTGGGACCAGGGGGCCTCATTAAGGCTAGAGTCAGCTCAGCGCTGGCCGACTGCTCAGTGCTCACGTTCTCCTGTCCAGATGCCTCCCTAGCATGCACTTCTATGAGATGCTTAGGCTGGGTTTGATTCAAGCTCATTAATAGTGGCCAACTTCATTCAGGTCCTTACATTTAGCAGCTGTTTCTCACCCACACTGGCAAGAGAAGTTTTTGTAGTTGAGCTGAGCAACAGAGTGTAGAAAGTTAAACCTTAGGTTTAACAAAATTACCAGGGTAAAAACTGCTTTTAAATTTTGGAGGGAGTGGGTGGAGACCCCCTGCAACTCTTAGATGTAAGAGAGTCTACCAGCATTTCCCCAGGGATACACCAGTTCCGTAGGTCTTGATGCTGCAGCCCTAAAACACAGCCTGGCCCACTCTGTGTGTTAGGGGCCCATGGTGGCTGCTGTTGTGGACCAGCTGGTCTACCACAGCCACTGAAGCTCTGCTGTTGGACATGAAAGTAACTGCTGATAACAGACACAGGAACAAGTGTGACACATGCTCCACTAAAACTTGAGCAGCTGATCAGTAGGCTGGATTTGACCCATAGGCTGTCGTTAACCAACCCTGCACTAAATGTAGGCGTTCTTGTTGTAATTCTCTCCCCTCAAACCCTTGTCTTCTCCAGGGATCTCAAACCCAGTGTGCTCTACCAGGAACTCGACAAGGACAGGAAGCGGGCCCAGCTGATCCTGCAGTACATCCCTCACGTCATTCCTCACAAGAACGTGAGTTATACACAGGAGCTGGGCTCCTGGGGCTCCCTGCAGTCCCAGGCCTCCCATTGCTGTTGGGCAGCCACTGGGCAAGACTGGGCAAGAGCAGATGCTGCACTGAGTGCTGGGGACAGAGGCAGGGAGGACCATGTGAGTGGGCGACACTGGTGGAGTGGGAGGTGTACATGGTGACTTGGTACTGTGGGAGCCCAAGCCTGCTGCCTCTCACCCACAGCACCTCCATCTCTGAGCTCTTCCCTGTGGCTTTTCCACCTTGACGCACCACTTATCTTCCGATTGGGACTTAAGGTCCCTGAGCCTAGAACACACAGGTGGCGTGGAGTGGAGTGTGGCAGTCAGTGTGTGAACTCCGATATTGTTGTGCCTTCCCACTCACTAGCGGGGTGACTGTGGGTGTCTGTTTGCTTGTGGGCACAGCATAGCCAGGGCTGCTCACCATAGGCCCACTGCAGCCACCCAGGGTTTCCAGCCTCCCTCCCTCAAAAGCTGACCCTGCTTCCAGGCCTCACCCAGTCCAACCTTGCTGTGGTCACAGGGAGGCCGACTCTGTCCGCCACATACAGGGTGCTGCCTGTGGTCTCATGTTCTGCAGAGCACTGGCACCCCGCACTCCCTCCTCCCAACCAGGTGGCCATGCTCAAGAGTGGCAGATGTCACATGGCCCCCATGTTCCTGCCTCCCAGAGTCTTGCCAGAAAGAAGGTTGCAGTGGAAGCACCCTTCCCCCACACCAGCAGCCACCTTGCTAGGTTTTCAGCCACATGCTGCTTTCCATGTGGCCCCAAGACTCCAGAGTTCTGGATGGACTCAAAATGCCAGGCTCATAGGCCAGGTGCCTGAGCAGCAACCCCTCCCTTGCATGTCTCCGGAGGCTGGAAGTTTTACTTCTGTGTAGAATTCTGGACTCTGTGGTCAGCATAATGATTAAATGCAGATGCACAGGCCCTCCGCCATGGGGTTAATTCTGCTTTTCCTTCCCTTCTTGGTGGTGCTTTGTCAGGCTCTCGGCTTTGGGGGTGGGGGCCCCTAGCCCCAAACTGGGCAGAGACTGGGCTCTGCCATCTGACAAGGAAAAAGAGAGGGTTCGTGGTGCACAGAACAAGCTGTGACCACTGGCACTGTGGCCCTCAGGCACCTGCACACTGCAACAGCATTGTAACATATCTGGCAGGGGAAAAATTACTTTTGAGTTGTTTCTGGACTTTAAACCAATCATATTGATTTCCTTTAAAGCAAGTCCAGCTGTAGAACAGCCTTTGTAATGTGGCCACTGGGGCCTTATAGGGGTTTATTGACCCTGGCCCCTTTCCTGCCAGACTCTCACTGTGAGCAGGCCACTCCTTCCAGAACATTCTTCCTGGGCATGTACTCAGCTAATTTCTATTTCCCATGACTATCTTGGAGCAAGCCCACTGTCCTCCACTGTAACTAGCAGCCCTTAACCGGGCGGCCCACACTACTAGTGTGTCTCAGGGCTCTGATTGCAGGCCTCTTTTGAACGTCATTTTTACAACATAGTCAGTCCTCAGCCGCTTCTGTCATTTCAGAGAGTCCTCTTGTTCCGCAACATGGTTACCAAGGAGAAGGAGAAGCTGGGGCTTGTGGAAACCAGCTCTGCCTCCCCACACGTCACTCACATCACTATCCGCCGGTCCCGGATGCTGGAGGTGAGTACAGCCCTGTCGCAGAGAGGCGTGTCTGTTGGACATGGGACACGATCAGTTGGCAGCTGGCCTCTAGACTGCTTATGTCCCTCCTGGGTCTGGCTGAGCTCCAGGAGCAGGAAGGACTGCGCTCTCCTGCCAGCAGCTCTCTATGGCTGCTCAACTAGTCTTGGGCATGGCAGACCTGCACCCGGTGCGGACCCCTAGGCCACAGAACCACACTTGGTGGTGCCTCTTGGGAAATGAGGCCATGAGGCCATACTGCCACCATCTCTTCTATGGCATCCCCGTTTGTGTGTCCCCCAGGCACTCCGTCCAGACTCCTGATTGTGAGTGGGGGGGTGGGTAAGAAGAGAGCCCTTAGGGTTCCTGAGCCATTCAGAAAGCACATTCATCCCAGGGCCTGAGGTTGTGTGTGGATGGGGACTTGGGAGATGGAAGGCAAGTGGCTCACATACAAATTAGCAATAGGAACCTTGCCCTGAAGCACTTGGCCTCCAAATGTCAGCAGATTGTCTTAACATTGATTTTGTTAAAGCAAGACTCTGCAGTAGTCTCCTAGAATAGGAGTATAATGAATGGAGCTCTCTGACCTCCCTGCCCTCCCCAAGGCCCAGATGTGCCCATCTCATCAGCCCTGGGATTAATTGATGGCAGAGTGTGTTGTGCTCACATCATTTGATCTGCTGTCCTTTTATCACACAAGGCCTCTTCCTCATTAGCCTATTCTTTCCTGGGAGGGAAGACTAGGAGCCTGTGGCCTCACACAGCCATATGGCCGGCCACCAGCCCAGGGCTCTGGGCCACAGCCCTCGCTGCCCCCACATCTGCAGTTGCTACTGGGCTCCTAGAGCTGCTGGATAAGGCAGCATGGGGAGACATGTGATGCTCGGAGACAGAAGGAAGCCCCACAGGGACCCTGCAGGCCACATGCAGGAGCCAGCTACCAGGGGCGGCTCCCAGCAGGGAGCATTACCCTGCACTGCTGCTGCTCCCTCCCCGACAAGAGGCAGCCTCCTCTCAGCACCCTCTGACTTGCCATGTGGCCATGAAGGCCCCATGGAGTTCTGAATTGCTAAGGCCAAAATTGAGCCTTTGTGTGGATTCCCCAGTGCATTAGTTAGACTTGCTTTTTTTAATACACCTGGGAGGCCAGCTATCATCCGCCTTCCACCCAGCTCAGTCTAGGTCAGTCGCTGCTCTGACTCAAAGAGAAGGCCCCATTATGCTGAAACTACTCCCTTCAGCAGCACCCTCCTCACCAACCCGGGACACAGTTCCCGTCTCTGCAAGACCTTGGGACGTGCCTACTTGGACCCACTGGCCTGCAGAGTCCAGGGTGGTGTTGGCAGTGGTGCCTACTTGGACAGCCCCTCCACATCCTCCTCGAGTGTTGTTGCTGGGGCTGCTTTTAAAACACCTTTTGGGGGACTCAGAAAGCATCTGTCTGGAGATTTGGGCAGTCTGCTTTCTGGTTCCTTTTCCCCTAACAGCATGCTTTGTCAGGCACGGAGTTAGGGAAGAGAGTGGCATTTATATGCCCATCCCTTCTCTGAACAGGTGGTCTGGTTAATGGAGCACCAGAACCCAGTGGTCTTTGCTGGTCTGGGCCACAAGAGGGCGTCAAGAAGCCAGGGCCAGGTTCTTTGACTTCCTCTCTTCAAGCCTGCTGTGAAGGTCTTTTTCTCAGGTTGAACTGGGCCAGAGGCTGGTCTTTGAGAACTAGAAGCCTCAGGCATTCCCTTGACCAACCCTTTGCTCTCACCCCATCTTGGGCAGACCTGAAATTCTCAGAGTGAGTCACCCAGCTTTTGAGGGACTGGACGCGACCTGGCAATGCTGCAGCTGTGGCTGGCAGGAGATGTCTCGTGGCCTCTGCAGGGGTTCTGGCCTGGCTGGAAAGATATGAGTTTCACCCGAATGATGAGGCCTCCCGCATCAGCTCAGAGGACCACTCCTGAGCCCCACCATCTTTGACCCTTCATGGATTGTTTTGGTTATTGTTCCAAAATCAAAGCCTCAGCAGCTTGTCCATGTGCCTTTCAAAAGCCGGAGTACACTGGGGGGCAGGAATGAAAGCCAGGAAGACCCTGACAGATAAGAACCAAGAAAAACTAAGCAAGATGCTTCAATATAATACCTTTTGAGCTGTGTCCTGAGGCTGTGTGTGTGGACTGCCAGACTGGGTATGTCTGCTACAGAGGCAGGCAGTGGTCCTGGGCGGGGAGAAGCTGCAGGAGGCTTCCCCTGCCCCCACCCTGGCCAGGCGCACTTCCATCGCCTCAGCCCCTCTGCCTGCTGCCTTGGTCCCTGTCTGATTTCTGCTACGCTGACAGCAGGCTTGCCACACTGCTCCCTGCCTTGATTCTCCTGGGGAGCCCACATTCCTCCACACCATGCTCTGGGGACGGAGGGGTCCTTTTCTCTACTTCCTAATGTCTGTGATTTTTTTTAACAACTACCTAACACTTTTTTTTTTTCTAAGATTTATTTTATCTGAGAGACAGATTTACAGATAAATCTCCCCAAATGGCTACAACAGCCGGAGCTAGCCTGGTCCAGAGCCAGGAGGCAGGAGGAAGTCTCCCCACGCCAGAGATCCATGCAGCCCCATCCTCGGGATGTCTCTCGCGTGGCAGCCAGTGAGAACTGCTCTCATATATCCCCATGTCCCAACGTGCACATGTAGCAGTTCCCCTGGGGAATCCTGGGGCAGGGGAGAGGGCACCACAAGGAGGGCATGTTGAGTCACACAGGAAGCTCCAGCTCTTCATCCTCTGTCTCGGGCAGGACGGCTATGAGCAGCTTCGACAGCTGTCCCAGCACGCCATGAAAGGTGTGATCCGCGTCAAGTTTGTCAGTGACCTTGGGGTGGACGAGGCGGGTATCGACCAAGACGGCGTCTTCAAGGAGTTCTTGGAGGAGATTATCAAGAGGGTCTTTGACCCAGCACTCAACCTGTTCAAGGTAGTCCGAGGAGCCCAGAGTGGGGCCAATGGCCACCACATTCCAGGTGAGCCCAGGGCTGCACAGTGCAAGGCCTAATAACCCCTGTGCCTCTGCCCACCGTTTGTCTTGCAGACAACCAGTGGGGACGAGAGACTGTACCCTTCACCCACGTCCTACGTCCATGAGAATTACCTGCAGCTCTTTGAGTTTGTGGGCAAGATGCTGGGGAAGGCTGTGTATGAGGTATGCATGCCGCACAGAGCTTCCTGACTTGGAAGTGACGCCTTAGAGGGTGTGATCATTCCAGCGTGGGATGACCTGTGACAGGGACAGCACCCAGGCCATGTTAGACATTGATGCTAGATGCCTGGCCTGGGTCTCCTCCCTTAGGGCTCTCAGCCCTGTGACATGGTTGTTCAAGGATGGGAGAGGCTGGGAGCAATCACTTGTCCCATGGGCTTGATTGTTAAGTGCTAGAAGCTGACCACACTGGAGCTTGGTCCCTATTGTAGGACAGTAATGACCTTTGGGCTCTGGTAGTCTCAGAATGTCTTGTTACCTGAGCAAGGGCTCCTGGGGAAGTTGAAGGCACCTGCTGCTTCACTGATCAGAGCAGGGAGGCCAGGACAGATACCTCCCTGGGCAGCCATGCAATTTGCACATTCCCATGGGTCCTATTCTCTCCTGTGTGTGAGGGACTGGGTAGCTGTGGGTGGTAAGTGGGCTCCGGGGCCTGGTAGCTGCCCACCCTGGGTGAATCGGAGCCCTCATCCTCACCATTGTTGAGTATCTGAGCTGCTGTTCTTTGGTCTCTGCCACGCCCTACAGTGAGGCACACCATCACAAGCCAGAAGAGACTCCCCAAGTGTGGTGCCTGAACAGCCTACCCCCAGGGGGCCCTCCCAGCAGAAAATGTCAGCACCTGGGCTGCTAAGACAGCGTGGGTTCACAGGGCAACTGCTTTGCCTCTGGACTAATCCACTGTGGTCTCTCTCTGGCCTCAGTCCCAAGCCCTGGTGACATCAGATGTACCCTCAGTCCCTGCCCACATGCTCCCCAGTGCTGCTTCTGCCCTGTGTGTTGTGTGGCCTGGGCTCATATTCTGTGCCTCTGTTTCTTGTCTACAAGTTAGAGATACTTTCTCAGCCCCTCTCGTTCTTGCAAGACCAGGGGCTGTCAGCAGCCACTTTGGATGCCTCCCGTCAGAGAGCCTGGGTTTGTGTCCAGGCTCTGCTGATTCCAGCTTCCGGTCTGTTTACACCCTGGGAGGCAGCAGGTGACAGCATGAGCCTTAAGACATGTCTCGGGACTCTTGGGGCTGGGGTTAGGGGGCACTTGGTGCCAGCACTGCAGCCCAGACCCCAGACAGCGGGATTGCCAGCATTACCTCTCCTGCTGCAGGGCATCGTAGTGGACGTGCCCTTCGCCTCCTTCTTCCTGAGCCAGCTGCTCGGGCACCACCACAGTGTCTTCTACAGCTCCGTGGACGAGCTTCCTTCTCTGGACTCGGAGTTCTATAAAAACCTCACCTCCATCAAGGTCAGTGTGGCCGGAGTACAGGTGTGAACTCGGAGCCATGGGCAGCTGGGGAGCTCCGTGGCACCCTGAATGGATCTGCCCTCTCCCTTCCCACCATCCCTTCTGGGCACTCTGACCCACCCCTCAACCACCCAGTCAGCCCATTATCAGCCCTGCCCACACAGCACCCCGCCAAAGGCCACCTCTGAGGTTATGGCGCTCCCGCGCTCCAACTTCTCCCCCTTCTCTGTCCATCAGCGCTACGACGGAGACATCTCTGACCTGGGCCTGACGCTGTCTTACGACGAGGACGTTATGGGCCAGGTAGGTCTCCACCTGAGCCCTTTCTGCTTCTCCCACACCACCAAGGAGCTCTTGTGCTGCCCGCCGAGAGGGACTGAGCTGCGCACTGAGAGTCTGTCCGTGTCACTGCTGTCCTCAGGACCCTTGATTCCTTGGAGTCCTGCACTTATGCCCACGGCCCTCAGGGTGGAGCAGGCAGGAGAGCCCCTGGGAGCATGGAGCCCCATTCCTTCCTGGCTCTTCTCTCATCTGCCCTCCACCACTGCCCCAGCAGTACTAATGGGTTCTGAGGGCCATCCTGGAACTTGGAAGGGCAGTCAGCTGCCTATTCTCACTTCTCAGTAACTCACAGGTCACCACAGTCTTCCATGCACCAGGTCACGTGGTGAGCGTAGCAGCGCTGCCTTCGCTACCTGCCATTGCCCTCCATGCTAATGCCCTGCCCACTCCTCCCCGATGGCATCCCAGAGCCTGAATAACAAATCTCTGGGAAAAAAGGGCTGAGAAGAAACCCTTCAAATGGATGGTCCAAGATGGGCTTGTTGCCGCTCCCGCCTCAGTTTTGTCATGAGGAATTATGATTCCAGAACACAGTCCCTCTTGGTTCCCTCCATGTCAGGTTGATGGGTGCTGGGCCCTCGCCTCTATAGGAAGCTCTGTTACCCCCAACCCCCTGCCACCCCGATCTTCTGTGCTTAATGATGCCCCCTCTCCCCCACCAGCTTGTGTGTCATGAACTGATTCCTGGAGGAAAAACCATCCCTGTCACAAATGAAAATAAGTGAGTACAGCCATTCGGTTCTTAAGGTCACTGCCTGAGGAGACTTTGTCCATCCCTGCAGGCCTGCGTGGGGCACTGATTAAGACAGACTGAAGTAGAGGCCACAGAGTAATGGAATTGACTAGTAATAATTCAGAGACTGAAATGGCATCAATTTCAATTTGCAAAATAAGAATTGACAATTTAGAAATTTTTTTGTTGGTGGTGGTGGTTGGTGGGGTGGTGGTTTGCAGTAACACTTCCGAGGTCACAGGCCCCCATGCTGTAGTGTTCTTGGGATGTCACAACAGCCATAATTGCAGATCCACTATCCTGAAGGTCAAGGGCACAGTGGTGAAGAGACACCTTGGAAGGGCCAATCACTAGTGTGATGGCACCTGACAGTTGTCTGGCTGCTTTTTTCTTTTTTTAGACTTCTTTTGCTTGTCAGAATGACAGAGAGAGAGGGAGAGACAGAGAGAGATCTTCCATAGGCTTGTTCATTCCCCAGTTTCTGTAACAGGCAGAACTGGGCCAGTCTGAAGCTGAGAACCTGCAGCTTCTTCCAGATCTCCCACATGGGTGAAGGGACCCAAGCATTGGCTGCTTTCCCAGTCTGTCAGCAGGAAGCTGGATCAAAAGGAGAAACCAGGACACGACCAGCACCCAAATGGGATGCTGGTACTACAGGTGGATTAGCAAGCTGTGCCACCGTGCCAGCCCAGGACAGTTCTCTTAAGCACTGTTCTTGAGAAGGTTCAGAAGTTCGGAGCAGCAGGTATGAGGGTTCAGAGGAGGCCAGGGGCTCCAGCAGCTTGCACAGCGAGTTCTAGCACTCTCTCAGCCTTTCCCATCCCTAAAAGCAGAACTTTTCAGTGTCCCAGCTCCACCCGGCTCTGTCCTTTCCCGATGAAAGCTATAGGACAGCTCACAGGAGAAGACGGCAGTGGCTCTTTTTGGTCCATCTGTGTGTCTTCTGGCACTGAGCTTGGCTGAGCCTCCCCGATCTGTTCATGAGAGCATTGGTTTCTCGAGTGACAAGAGAGGGCACAGTGCCACTGGGGAGTCGCTTGGATCAGCCATGTGCTACAATCCTGCATGCCTGAGAAGGCTGGCCCACCCGGGTCGGGGAGTTCAGCAAGCCTGTGGTCTGCAGAGAGGAGACCCTGTTTTCCTCTTTGTTAGAATCTCTCTGCTTTCCCCCTAGGCAGCAGGGCATTAGTTTGAGAAGTCCACAAATTAGGCAAGGCTGCCTGGGCGGTAGAGAGTAGCCAGGCTTGGAGATGGTAGGGCACATCCTGGCACAGCCGGCATAGGATCTGGGACCCTTCCCAGAGCAGGTAGACATGGGGCAGTGTGGGCATCATCAGGACTGTTCAACTCAGAATGAGGCTCCATAAAAGAGATCTGTGATGGTTATCATTGGGTACATGACATGTCTGATAGCTGTTCCCACCCCAGGGAGGTCACTTCTGCCATGTGCTGCCGCCTGCCGGTGATGGCAGGAGCTCTGTGTGGATAACAGCCCAAGAAAGTGGGCTGGTGCTGGAGGGAGAGGCCTGCCTGCCTCAACACCTAGCATTCCACACACTGTCAGATGTCCTTAGCATAAAACCTTTGTGTGAGGACCCAAGTCCTCAGGCTGCAGACCAACCCCAGGCCTAGCAACACCTGTTCCCTTCCTTAGGGCATGAACCTTGGTTGAACAGGCATGAACTTCCTGGATTCTGAAGTTTCCCACTTTTTTCCCTCCCTGCCTCTTGGAAGTGCCTTCATTCTGCCTCACCTCATAAAAACTAAAAATGAGAGCATTGTTGGTGCTGAGAACACAGGAGGGACAAACGCTGCAACGCGGAGGGTTGAGCCACCACTCAGGACACCTGCAGCCTGGACCGCATCCAGGCACCTGTTGGAACCCCCGCTGCTGCTCTTCCCCTCTGTCTAGCTTCCTTCTGATGTGTCTGGGAGGCAGCAGATGATAATCCCACTAGCTGGGTTCCTGCCACCCGCGTGGGAGACCAGAATGGAATTCCAAGCTCTTACCTGCAGTCTCACGCAGCCTTGGCTGAGTCTTAGGAGCATTTGGGAAGTGAATTAGCAACTGGAAGATTTCTCTGTCTCACTTTCTCTCTGTCACTGCCTTTTAAAGAAATGAATAATCCTTTTTAAAAGAACACAGAAAAGGAATAGCAATAACGGCAAATTTCCTGTCTGAATATATTAATATCCAGATTGACTATGGGATGTTTCTTAAAAAGGGAAATTTGTCAAGGTTAGTGACTTAGATCAAAACATCTGGGGTATTTGTAGTAATTCAGAATCTGTAAGAACCAGGCTCCATTTCTGTGGGTTTACAAAGAGGTGAGCAGTGTTAGCAATGCTAGATTCCAACAGGTGTTGACTATGGTCAGGTTGTGGAGGAGAATGCAGGGTTCCTGCAAGCAGAGTGGACACACTGCTGACAACCCATATTGGTGACTCTGATTTCCCATGGAAGCCCAACATGAGCCCAGCCACATGGTTAAACACATCTGCCTGGGCTGCCTCTCGAGGTGTCCAACTCTTGGTCCAGATGAGCAAGGTTTTAATCGAAGGTTCACAGGGCGCAGTATCTAAGCTCCTAGTGTAGTGGATCAGTTGTTAACTGGCTTATGTCCAGAAGGATGAGCTGAAGGAAAAGCTGAAAAGCGGGACATGTGCTGAGAGGGAGGCCTGCTTCCTCCCCCAGAGAATGCCTCGCCTTCGTTCCTGGGACAGTGTGGGACGCAATCCCGGTGCTGTTCCTCGGGGCTGTGGAGCACCGGCTGTTTCACAGGGTACCATCAGCCATCAGGAGCTGGCGTTGTTGTCCCCATGAAATACTACTTGGGATTTTTTTTTTTTCTTTTTCAGCAAAATGGTTCAGAAATAATGAGGCTGAGCTTCTCAGTGCTATGGTAGCTGCCGGCCTCAGCCCACTCATTTCCGTTGTTTTCTCTTCTTTGTTGATCACAGAATTAGCTACATCCATCTGATGGCTCATTTTCGAATGCACACTCAAATTAAAAACCAGACAGCTGCACTCATTAGCGGGTTCCGCTCTGTCATCAGACCCGAGTGGATCCGAATGTTCTCGACCCCTGAGCTGCAGCGGCTCATCTCTGGCGACAATGCTGAAATTGACCTGGAAGATTTAAAGTAAGGGCCAGGTGGGGAAGGGAGGGTAAAACCCTTAGGTCTCCCAGCCAGGTTCCCTGGGGTAGCTTGGCCGCATTGGGCTCTGTCTTGCCCGACTTTGGGTTGGTTGGCTTGGAACCAAAGCCCCACCACTCGCCTAGCTAGAGGCGCCATGTGGAAGCAGGTGTTGGAGCTCTGAGAAATGGTGTCACAGGACACGGTGTCAGCCCCTGCTTGCAATCCACAAGGCCAGCGCTTGGACTGTCCACGCATGTTGCTTCTGGGGAGATGCAGTTACTAAAGCCAGAGTGTGACTGAAGGAACATTTTGAGCAGCACCCAGCCCCTCTCTCCTACTCTCCCTGGGGCCCATGGGAGCCAGCTGGAGCACCCCATATCCACACATTGTTCCTCCTGCCATCTGCCTTGCTTTCAGGAAGCACACCGTGTACTACGGCGGTTTTCACGGGAGCCACAGGGTCATCATCTGGCTCTGGGATATCCTGGCCTCCGACTTCACGCCTAACGAGAGAGCCATGTTCCTGAAGGTACTGTGTGTGTGTTACCTGCACATGCGCCGCCAGGTGCGTGGGCGTTCCCATAGACCTAAGCGGCCGGGCAATATGGTAGTTCACACTGGAGAGAATGAAATTACCTGGAAGGCCTCATGTCCTCTACAAATCCTCCACCATGGGTGACCTCCCTGGTGGGCTGAGCAGTAACCAGAGAGAGGCACAGGGAGAAGCTGAGCCCCTGGCCTGTGCTGCTGATGGCAGGACCAACCCTGCACAGGCAAGTGTGCCCCGTGGGCACCATAGTCCAGCCACCCCTCTCCAATGCCAGCCCAGTTGGCCACCTCTCTTCCCTTTCACTATGAAACAACCTGTGTTTAGAGTGTTGCGTTCCCTGCCTGCCAGAGCCTGCCTCGATGTGAAACTGGCTTGTTCATCTTGTAGTGTTGGACAGAGTAGCGAGCATTAGCCTGACCCCTGGTGTGGGCTCTAGAGTTGTAAATATTCTCCCAGTCCACTACAAGACCAGAATCAGTGTTTCACCACCTGTTTCATACTTAACCAGCTTGGGGCTAATTTGTTGCCTTGAAATGCCTGCCTTTGGGCGCTGAGGTTTCCTGAATGGTGTGGCTCTGCACAGCCAAGATGGCACGGACAGTGTCACCTCCACTGAACTGGCAGCTGGTCTATCCTCTCCATGTCTTTTCACCCTGCTCCGGTCCAGCAGGTGCAGAAATGCTCTTGACACCCTCAGGGTTCAGAGTGGGCCAGCAGAAGTAGATCTAGGGAGAATGCATCCAGGCTTTGCAACCTGTGAACCCCCTCGTACCTCTAGAAGAAGAGGCAAGCCAGAGTATATCCTGTGCAGCACATGCACACACGCCTTTGGGGAGCCTCTCTTGTCACATCCTGACCTTGTTCTCTGGCTGCAGACAGGCCCAACCAGGTGGGTGGGTAACTCTTGCACAGGAATGAGTGTGACTCTGCTGCATTAGTCAGTTGTTGTCATTCATGTATGAGACAGAGAGCTTTCATTCCCTAATACATTCCCAAAATGCTCACAGCACCCACCACTGGACCAAGCCCTCCATCTAGGTGGCAGGGATCCAGCTCCTTGAGCCATCATCTGCTGCCTACCAGGGTGTGCATAAGCAGGAAGCTGGTGCCTGTTCTCAAACTCAGGCACTATGAGGTAGGTTGGGGGCCTCTTGGCCTCTGGGGAGCATGGCCGCCCTCGTGTGCTGCTACTGCTGGCAGGAAGGACGGTGCAGCATCTGAGAGCTCCCTGTGCCCTCTGCTTCCCCATCCCTGGACGCTGAGAGCAGACACAGGCCTGAAGTGGCCCAGCTGGGAACCTATGGCCCTCTCCTCACTCTGAAAGCTAGACCAACAGGAGTTCTCACCCGGGCAAGCACCCAGATAAGTGCTGCTGGGCAGCTGTGATAAAGACCATTCAAGTGGGACTCTTAGGGCCCCTACTCTCTGTGAGAACTTTGCTGCAGCCTGATACATGCACCGTATCTTAGGATGGTCTCGGGAATCTCAGAGCCAACGATAACATCATAGAACCAATAGCATTCCCTTCACTGGCTGCTGAATTTAGACAGTGTCACTAAGTGTGTAGGTAGCAGACCCCTGGTTCTCCCAGGGAAGGAAGCACATCTGGGTTGATCAGATGCCCTTGCCCAGACATAAGCTAGCATGCTTAGGAGAACAGCAGGTTCAGAGAAGACCAGCAGTTCCCAGAGAAAGCCAGGGAGTGTGGCCTGCTGCCTCTGCCCTGGTTAGCCCAAGGGGCCTGGGTTTTGTCAGTGTGCTAAGAGCAGCTCCATCTCTGGCCAGATGCGAACCCCCTTGGGGGCCTGAGAAAGCAGAAGTGTTTGGCGCAGCTGTGGGAGCAGAGTGTGTTCCCTTTCTGCTGACCCCGGGTTGCCTTGCAGTTTGTGACGAGCTGCTCCAGGCCACCACTGCTGGGATTCGCCTACCTCAAGCCTCCCTTCTCCATCCGCTGCGTGGAAGTATCGGATGATCAGGTACCTGCGGGGCTCGGGCAGTGCGTCCCACTTCCCTCTGGGCTGTCAGCAGCCATGCCCTCTTTTTGTCTCAGCAAAGGGGTGCAGCTGGGCTCCCTCCAGCCCCATGACTGTGCTGCCCTGTCTTGGGGAGGCCCATTCCTCTTGACCTCCTCTGGACAGAGTCACTTGATAGGAATGGGGACACGGATGTGCTGTTTTTAGAAGCTGCTGGGCCATCCAGGTCTGAGCTTCAGGTCTGAGGTTTGGGGAAGGGAGGACAGAGAGGAGAGTGCAGCTTGGATGGCTCAGGGATGTAATTGCCTGGCAGACCCATTGCAGGTGCACGAGCGACCCATCCCCAACCCCCACACAAACCCTGGGCCTCTGGGCATGGTTTCCTCTCACCCCACCAGCCTGAGCTGGTCATGCAGGACACAACCGGTCATCAGCCTCCATCCAGACAGGGACAGTGACCCATTTTCTTTGCCACATCTGTGGTACTGGTGAGGTACCACACCATGTTTGGTGCCTAGAAGAGCCTGACAGTTCCCTGCCCCTAAAACACTGCTTAGCCCTGCACCAGCTGTGACCCGGATGGAGCTGCCTCGACATGCCACCTGTGGCCAGCTTGGGAGCAGAGGCTGCTCTCTGTTCCAGCTGCCAGGCCCTTGGTCATGAGCAAGGGATGCCCTTGGGCATCACATGCTCAGAGGACCGGGCTCTCCCAACCCAAGGCTGCCGCGTGTGTTTTCAGGACACTGGGGACACCCTGGGCAGCGTCCTTCGGGGCTTCTTCACTATCCGCAAGCGGGAGCCGGGTGGCCGGCTGCCCACCTCCTCCACCTGCTTCAACCTGCTCAAGCTGCCCAACTACAGCAAGAAGAGCGTGCTCCGGGAGAAGCTGCGCTATGCCATCAGCATGAACACGGGCTTTGAGCTCTCCTAGCACCCGGCCCCTGCAGGGCTCCTGGTGGTGGTGCAACCATCAGGCCAGGTGGCCTCAGTGCCCGACCCCCTCTCTACAGCCATGAGACTCTCCTATTGGCCTGCAGAAGTTTGTACGCAGGTGCCGACACTACCCACACCCTCCAGGTGGTGCCCACAGGCAGGGGCTGCTGAAAATAAAGCTCCAGGTTCCACCCACACTGGTCCCCTGTTCCTGCAACCACCACCACCCCACCCACCGGTCGGAGGGCCCCTGGAGCTAGGCCCAGCCACAGCAGAGAGGCTGCCTTTTTGGATGGCTGGGACTTCTGAGAGTGTGTCCACCCTCAGCCCTCTGAGTGAGAGAGCCAAGTCCAGGGACTCCAGGCTCCCCAAGAGGCTGTGACAACAGGCCATGCACACACCCAATATGCCCTCCACATGCAACCCCTTTCTTCTGTTTCTGAAACTGCTTCACTCAGGTCAGGCCTTGCCAAACCTCTATGCAGCCGGCAGCCTCTGCCTCCATCCTGGGCCGCACAGACAGATGCCAGGAGATCTTGAAGCCATGAGGCCTGCCCTACATTCCCTGTCCTCTCTCTTTGGAGCTCTCCCTGGCTGGGTCCCCTCTTGGGCCTTCATGCAGCCAGCAGAATAGCTCTGTGTGCACAATGTGGTGGCAGCTGCCCCTTATCCTTCTTGGGGTCTCCCGAGAAAACATGCACTCGGCTGGGCTCCCTGTCCTGCGTGGCAATGACTCCACAGGTCTAGCTGCCAAGCCTGCCCCAGCACTGGGAACCCAGGAGCTCTTTGTCCGAAGAGGCTCCTGAGGCTGAGGAAATGGGATTTGTGCCCTCCTTCTTTCCCTTGCTCAGGAGACCTTTCTCTTGAGACTCTCCCAGCAGCCAGCACTGATGGCCATCCACTCCATGCCATGTCCTCATGCCCCTGTGTGCACCCCACACCCACCACACCAGGATAGGGGTGCCTGGCCACACCTTTACCTGGTGGTGCCAGCTTCAGGCCCACAGCTTTCTTCAAAACCACAGCGTACCATCCACCAAGAACCTGCATGTTGGCAGCAAAGCAGGCAAGACCCATCCATCCCTGCACAGCCTCCTCTGGATAGATTCAGCCAGGTCTGGGCCTGAGCCTTCTTGGGGCAGGGAGGACTCAGACACAAAGCTGGTGAGCAACTACAAGACAGGAATTTGCTAATTATTTAAGATCTGCCAGTACCTCTGATCTGTGGACTTTGCACTTTCTCTAACCCCTTGACGCCTTTGAAGACTTCTTCCAGATGTGTGTGCACTGAGCTAGTTTGTACATAAATGCTGGGACCTACACAGGGTCAGGGTGGAGGGGCAAGGGGTCCCGTCCTAATGTGTGTATCCCCTGACAACAGGAGCCAGCGCAGGTCCAGGGAGGGTGGCTCACAAGCCCCAGCATCTCCCCCACGACCCCACCCCTGCTGTCTTCTTGCCCAGGACTTCTTTCCAACAGCAGAGAGATCCTGTGCTGAATCTGTGCTTTGGTAGCTGGTGTTCGCTGACACCACAGTGGCTCTTGATGGCTCAGAAGAGTCGCAGGATCCTCCGTCTCCCTGTCTTCCTGCTGGAGGTGCGGTCAGCGGCTTGATTAAATTTGTACTTTGGCACCAGTGACTGTTTAGCTTCTTGTCTTGACATGTCGCCTGGGTGGCTCGAGGGCCTGGCACAGGGCCACATGCCAGGCAGCCACACCTCTCCAGCTAGAGGCTACAGTTGCTGACCCTGGGGTTATGGGTGCATCCAGAAGCAGCACCTGACAGAGAAGCACTCTGGGGGCTCCCTCATGCTTTCCCCACAGAAGCACCCCCAGCCGGGGCGTGTGTCTCTGCAGTCCCTGTTGGACAGTCAACAGAAAGTGATCAGCATCTGCTGGAGAGAAAAAGCCAGGTAATTCACCCGAGTGAGGACCTTGCCTGCCGCCTTTGTCACAGGACATGCAGCCCCCTCGCTCTGTCCTACCAGCCCCAGTTGCCCTCAAGAGCCCACCTGTCCCACACCTGCCATTCCTTCCAATTCTGCTCCCCGTGGCTTTCCTTCTCCCAGAGTGGAGCACCTGTAGACCAGAGCATGACCTGTCCCTGGGAAAATCCAGACCACGGACACTCCGTGGCATGCAGGAGTCTGTGCTGGTGGGCTTCCTCACGTGAGGGGTTAGCACCCTGAAGGGAAAACACTGCCAAACCCCACCCCTCAAGCCCCGCACCGTGTGCTTTGGGAACCTCCAGTGTGGCGCCATCCATCTGGACAAAGAAAGCCTTGGTCTGTGGCATCTGGCTTCTACTTACCAGTGATCACTGCAGAAAAAGTGTGCCTTTTTTTTAAAGATTTATTTATTTATTTTTATGCAAAAGGTAGATTTACAGAGAGAAGGAAAGAGAAAGATTGGCAGCTGTGCCAACCTAAAGGAACCAGGAGCTTCTTCTGGGTCTCCCATGCAGGTGCAGGGTCCCAAGTCTTTGAACCATCTTCTGCTGCTTTCCTAGGCCGCAATCAGGGAGCTGAAAGAAAACTGGAGCTTTGACATGCCCATATGGGATCCCAGCACTTGGAGGCAGAAGGTTAGCTAATTAAGCCTTCACATCAGGCCCAAAAGCATACCTAAGTGGGAAAAATAATTAGAGCTTTTCTAAAATGATTAGAATGAAAATACAGGTTTTTGTTTTGAAAGGGAAAGAGACAAGAGCTGGCTTCCAACCACTGATTTATTTCCTCCAAATGCCCACAGCAGCCATTCCAAAGCCAGGACCTCAACCCAAGTCTCTTGGATGGATGGGAGGAACCTGACCACTCAGCACAGTTGCCTGTGCCTCCCAGGGTCTGCATGTACAGGAAGCTGGTCGGGAGTCTGAGCTTGGCGTTAGACCCACTCTATCTGCTGTGGCTGTGCTGCTGGCTGGCTATGCACCTGGCCCTGACAGGACTGTGCTGACAGAACTGGCACGTGCCTGGGAATGTCTGTGGTGCACAGTCAAGCGAGCGCTGGTCTCCTGTGCTGCTTGCTGGCAGCAGCGAGGCTTCCAGCCTGGCTGTGTGCAGGTGTCTCACAGCTGAGAGTGTGTGAAAGGGCATAAACAGACGGGTTGTCTTTAAACTCGGTTAACCTGTTAAATCCAGGACTGCTGTAAGAAGCCTGGGTTGGGCCAGTGTGGCCAGGCTGTCTGCAGAGCATGGCCTTCCAACAGCCCTCTCCAGCACTAACTGTGGCGGTTGTCCAGGGGGAATGGAGGGCTCCAGGCAGAGGGTTAGCTCAGGTGGGGCCTGCCATCTGTTGCACCTGATGTTAGTTGAGAGCCCGTGCTTGACAGATGGCGCCTGAGTCCAGCAGGTTCCCGGGGTGCAGGAGTTCCTGTCCCAGCTCTGCCCTAGCTTCCTGGAACCATGGTGTCCTCTGCTGTGAGATTGGGGTGGCAGCCCTCCCCAGTGTTGCCATGAGCAGCAGGAATTTGACCTTGAAAACCGTGGCTCGCTTACACTTGTGGCTGGCATAACTGACATCACTCTGTCTCTCGGACCAACTTGACATTCTCTCTGGACTTAACTCTGTCAGTCAAGGTCCTTGCCTGGGGGCGTCATAGACACTTTATAAGCCATCTCTTACAGGCATCTATGGCCCCAAATTGCAGCCTTGCTCTGTTCCATAAACATTGCAGCATCTTCTGCCAGGGGCAGCCTAGCAGCTGTTTCCTTCCAGTTTGTCTACTCAGAGGCTCAGGCAGCATGCACTTTGGCAAGATGTATCACTTTACAGACTGTGGGAGCCTGCTGCTGGACGTGCAGGGAAACCTTGTGAAGATGCACCCCGCGTTTCTCACCCCAACAGAACCTGTGGCTGAGGGCTTCTGCTCCTTGACTCTGCCCAGCTCTGTAACTAGGGGTGTGTCAGCCTTACTTCAGTTAGGGTCACCCAGCCAACTGCCTGCTCCTCATCTCCCTTTCTAAGTTTGGCCCTTTGGGGGCAAGGTTCAGTGGCCGTTGAATAAAGCCAAACATTTGTCTGGATGTCAGGCAGTTGTTGAAAACCTCAATATTGGGCCCAGTGCAATAGCTCAACCGACTAGTCCACCCCTATAAACACCAGGATCCCATATAGGAGCCAGTTCCTGTGCTGACTGCTCCACTTCCCATCCAGCTCCCTGATTATGGCCTGGAAAGGCAGTCGAGGATGGCCCAAAGTCTTGGGACCCTGCACCTGCATGGGAGACCCAGAAGAAGCTCCTGGCTCCTGGCTTTGGATTGGCTCAGCTCTGGCTGTTGCGGCCACTTGGGGAGTGAACCAATGAATAAAAGATCCTTCTCTCTGTAAATCTGCCTTTCCCATAAAAATAAATAAATCTTTTAAAAAATATAATATCTCAATATTCTGGAAGCTCCGTGTTCTTGGCCTTCAGCCCACCAGTATAGGAAGGGAAGCTACTAGAAAGGAGTCCAGGCAAGGCACTGCCCTGTCCCGCCAGTTTCTGATGGTTCCTGGCATGGCTCAGCTCAGAGTTGCATCCCTCCCTTCTCAGCTTCCGTCCGCACTTGACCTCCTGCCTTGCTGTGCTTCCTTGTGTTTTCCTGTGCTGGCTGTCAGGCCCAGACTCATCCAGATTATCTCATCTTGAGATCTTCCCCATAATCACATCTGTAAAGACTTGTTTTCAGTCACAGGCACAGGTACTGGGGTTAGAACTTGCTCACCTCCCTTAAGATTTACTTATTTATGGGGCTGGCGCTGTGGGATAGTAGGTTAAGCTTCCACTTGTAGAGCCGGACAGCCCATGTGGACATCAGTCCTAGGCCCAGCTGCTCTACTTCCCGTCCAGCTCCATGCTAATATGCCTAGCACAGCAGCACAAGATGGGCCTCTGCATTCATGTAGGAGGCCTAGATGGAGTTCCAGGCCAGAAGATTTCTCTCCCTCTGTCTCTCCTGGCTTTGGCCTGGCCTAACTTTGGCATTATGAACCAAACCTTAACCAGCATCTTCATTGGCATAGGCCAAACAGTGCTTAGGGGCAAAGGAAGGGCTCACAGTGGCCCACACAGCAGCGCTGCAGAGTAAGGAATGGCCTGCCACTCAAGTATCCTGCACCAGAGCACCGGTTCAAGTTCTGGACGCCCCACTTCCAATCCGGTTCCCTGAGGATGCACCTGAGAAGCAGCGGAGAATGGACCAGGTACGTGGGCCCCTGCTCCACTTGGGAGACCAGGATGAAGTGCCAAGCTAGAAGATTTCCTTCTCTCAGTCACTTCCTCTCTTCTGTAATGTTGCCCTTTAAATAAGTAAGGGCTCAGTGCAGTAGCCTAGTGGCTAAAGTTCTCATCTTGGATACACCAGGATCCCATATGGGTACCGGTTTGTAACCTGGCTGCTCTACTTCCCTTCCTGCTCCCTGCTTGTGGCCTGGGAAAGCAGTGGAGGTCGGCCCAAAGCCTTGGGACCCTGTACCCATGTGGGAGACCCAGAAGAAGCTCCTGGCTCCTGGCCTCAGATCAGCTTAGCTCCGGCTGTTGGGGAATGAACCAGCAGGAGGAAGATCTTTCTCTTTGTTTTTCCTTCTCTCTGTAAATCTGACTTTCCAATAAAAATAAATAAATCTTAAAATAAATAAATAAATCTTTAAAACAGAAGGACAGAATAGGGTTGCAGGAGGAAGGTCTTGGAGTTGGGGGCACTGAGAGCCTGGTTGGGGACATAGTGGCACTTTGTGAGCAGGACAGCATTGCCTGCTCTGAGCACTTGAGCTAACACCAGCTGCATGGCCCTCTCACTCCAGGGGCTGGCCGTGTTCACCCTCCCTGGCCTGCCCCCATCCCATGAAGGACAATTGTGTGGGACAGTAAGAGGCTCAGCATGGCAGTTGCCAGGTGATCTGTCACCATCACATGCAGATGGTGCCAGATGGGCTGGGCAGCTGACAGGTGTCCCAGCTGGGAGCCAGCCCGAGAAGGCAGAATGCCAGGAAGTTTACACTCATTCACCCAATGGACAGATGCCAGGCATTTCCTGTGCAACTGGCTAGGCAAGTGTCCCTGGATGGAGCAAGATGGACCACCCCGCGCCCCAGCGCTCACTATCTGATGGGGAAGGAGTCATTACTGATGCTGGGAGAAAGGGCACAGACCCTGCTGTGGTCTCTGTTCTCCATGTCTTGGGCCACCCCATTGCGCCCACTTTACAGGCAGGAAAATGAAGGCTCAGAGGCAGTTTTCTACTTGCCCAACGTCCCGAGGCAGTCAGTGGCAGGACCAGGAGTCACACACACTCGTTGGCCTCCCTCCAAATCCCTCACATGGTGTGAGGATGCAGGGGTGAGTAGGAGAGGCTCCTGGGCCTGAACGAAACCATGGGGACGGCTGTGTCCCTGTCCCCAGTCTGCCACACCTTCGGTTCAACCCCACCCAGGTGGCCCTTGCTGGGGGCTGCTCAAAACTGATAACCTTCCACCCATATTACCAATGTCCCCGTGTTATTTAAAAATAAAAGATTTGTTCATTTTGATTTATTCTGTTTTATTGGAAAGATACACAGCAGAGAGGAAGAGAAGAGATTGAGATCTCCTATCTGTTGGTTCACTCCCCAGATGTCCACATAAGCCAGGGCTGGGCAAGGCCAAAGCCAGAAGCCA